TGCTAGGCGAAAACCTCACTATAACTTACCAATTCTCGATGTTCTTGACAAGTTGCTGTAATATTTGGATAACTTGGACCATATTACATACATCATGACCTTTGATAACGATGTTGTAATGAATTGAGTATGTAACAGCTGAGTTTTCTAGATCGGCAACTATAGTGCGTGGGAGCCATGTTTGGTTTACAACTGGCATATATAAACAGCAGTGTCCCCTCAGGCCAGTATTGCCATCTCAGGCCAGTATTGCCCTCTCATGCCAGTAATGCTCTCTCAGGCATATGAATGTGGATAACAGCACAATATTTTCTGCTTACTTAATAGATACATATAAGAAACTAACAAACATTTATCAAGTAACATTTACAACATTGTACCAACTTTAAGTTAATTAATGCTTTATTTGTAAATGTGTTATTTGTGCATGAGAAAAATTCCTTCTAACTGTACATGAAGTCGTAAGAACTTTGTATTTGCATTAAACTTTATAAAAGAAATATTGAACCNCAGAAATGAAGATCAATTCATGAACTGAATTATTGTTATTTTACATTGGACATCATAAATACATAAGTGTGAAAAATGCCTTGCTTCTGTGAATGACTGAATAATAATAAAATGCTAACAATGTTGCTTATATAAATGGTTGCATTCATGGTGAATATTAAACTCTCTCAAACAACAGTCTTGTTACATGTACTTTCTCATGAACCAATATGAAGTACAAGAATGCTGAAATAATTTCTGACAGCTTCACGATGTAGAGATAAGTCATAACTGACAGCAATATTTCATGTCATAAGACAATCCTGCATACATTCTTCGTTGACTCCACAAGGGTTTATCCTGATGATCAGCTCAAATTTCTCCTTATATCTATCCTTTATGAAAAAAGTTGCTTCTATGTAAGGTTAAACTTATGATTACACATTAAACTCTCTCAAACTATAACTGTCATTACCCAATGAACAAGAAAAATCGAAGTACAAGATAACTGAACTATCTTCTGACAACACGATGTTGGATAAGTAGCATTTGGTAGGGTTTCACGTTTTTAGACTGTCTTGAGTTCATATTGGTCGATCCTGCTGATCAGCTGAAGCTTCAGCTTGTATATATCCTTTTCCTTTTGGTGTACTTGATCGCGATATGAAGTTTATTTTATTTTATTTGGTTCACCTATATTACCGCTACTATTCCCCGTCGTTCTTTCCCTCCAGCATGGCCGCGAGACTAGTGTTACGGAGCAAATATGACGTCACTGTAATCGGTTAAATTAGTGCAGGATATTCTTGAAAAGTTCGAGGCCCATAAACAGAAATGAAATGTATACATGAACGAGTTGACTCCTTTGAATTAAGACATGAACAGGGGCATTTTATCAGCTGCAAGCAACACATGAATTACACATTACAAACGTACGGAAGTCTTGATAATCGGTGACAAGGTGCGGGAGGGGAGGGGGTCTCGATAATCCGAAAAATCATTGGTCCGAGAAATCGTATGTACATGTACGCGCCGCTGATGAACTTTACTTTATTAACGATATACTATTACGCTTTATTCGGGCCATGGACAAAATTTCGTTAACATGTCCAAGTTCGGACCATAGAACCTTCGGAACAATGAACGGCCCCGTGACAGGTAACGTGACGTTATGTTAACGTACGTCATTATAATTAAGTTAGGGGAAAACAACTTTGGTTACATGTTATGCTGTTGTTTTTAGCGAATGTTGAACGTTTACCTGACTTCTTAATTAAACTAAACAGAGAGCTGTCGAATAAACAGACACCATACAGGAAACAAGTCTGCACAGCTGACAAATGTTTAGACGTTATGCAGAAAAAGGTGCAACAAATAATATGTTTAGGCCAATTTTGATGCACTGAACACATTACATAATGCTTTAAAACAGCATAATCACTCTTATCCTCTTACAGGTAACATATGCAATGAAAATCTGGCAAATGATTCAGTTCCACAGGATATAAAAGCCACTGAAAATGCTACTGTGTGAAAAAATAAATTTCACAATAAATAAATAAATAAATAAATAAATAAAAAAGAATAATTACTGTAAATCTAGATGTAAAGCAATCATACGGATTTTAAAAAAGCAACCTGCCTCTTTAGCAAACAAAGCCATCCCGTAAATTTAAAATAAAATGAAAATATGGTGTGGTACTTATTGGGGGAACGTCACCAAAATTGTGAAAAAAAAAAGAATAATTACTGTAAATGTAAACCAATCATGCCAATTTTCAAAAGCAATCTGCCTCTTCACCATACAAAGCCACTCAGTAATTTTTAAGTAAAACAAAATTACGGTTTAATAAATTGAAAAATTGGCAGTTATTATAGGCAAACATATGTTTCAGACAGCGACGGTGACAGACAGATCAATCAGAATACATACAGACACTTACAGTGTCTGTGTATAAAAAGTCATTATCAAAACTGATTGTCTCTCTCAATTTTTTTTTTGATCCATGATCATTCACCATCAGAATACAATCCGATTGGTAACGTTTGATGTATTTACTAAAATTGAAAGTTGTACAAAAAATTCTCTTAATGAAGAACTTTATTGGAACAAATAAATCAGACACCACTAAATCCTAATGATGCAGGAAATGTGCACCCTACTTACATCAGTAAAATGCTGAACTCTGCTTGCTTCATTTGTCAGTTGAAAATGCGAAAAACATCACTTCCTCAAAGAAAAAGTTTATTGGCTCTGTTGAGTAAATTGGGAATAAATTACACATGTAACTGACAGAGGCACCAGATATAATGCTCAAGTACAATTATGTGCCCTTCATGATTTAAATCAATTTGTTAAAATATCATTAATTAAATGACATGCAAAACTGCTTGAAACAGATTTAAGTTAAAACAATTTGAGAATATACTTTAAGTATTAACAACATATAAATGTTATTATATCAAACAATTTTAATGTTTTAAATTTAAAAATATCTTGCAGAAACAAAAGAAAGCATTGAACTTCTTGGCAAATTTTCTTACATCTTTTCATTAAGGAACAAGGAATTTTTATGGTGTAAGAATCTTATTTATTATATGCAGAGCAGACATATAAACCAAATATGTTGTATCAAGTTGCAACTTGCCCTTGACTCTGCTCGATGTATGTCTAAAACAGTGAACAGCTACTAAATACAAATACAAAAGAGGAAAAAATATTGTGCCTGATCAGACTATTGCTTTTCATTTTCATTTTGGTCCAAATTAGTCACTGAATTTTTAATGACAAAAGTATTACTAATACTGACATGTGACTAGACAGTATCACAGCAACACTATTATACAATAACATCTGATAACATATCTGGGCAAGTAGGGGTACAAGTAGATTTATTATATTCATACATAATTTAGTATCACAGGACTCATGAATGCATGGTGGAAAATAAAAAATTTTACTCCCTGATCTTCCACTGTCATTCAAAGAGAAACTAAAATGTGACTATGAAACCTAAGTACTAGTAATGCAAAATTTATGTTGGAATGAGATCAAGTACTATAATACTTATTATTTCTGATCATAAGATACAAGGCAAATATAACTGTTTTATAATACTATGATGTAACAAAGTGTGTAGTATATTAAAAAACAGACACTTAAGTCAATGAAGACCACACAGAAAATCCCAAAATGACATATTAAGAAGTCTTCTTGTTGGCTTGGCATAGGTTTTGGGCATTTCAACCAGAAACTCCACCATAACACGACTTCTCTCAGGATATTCAACTATTAAAGCCCAAGCATGCCCTTCAGTTTCCCAGACTTCTGCAACGCAACAGTTTCGTCTCCACCCCCAATACATTTTCCATTTATGAACACTCTTGGCACCTGAAATATATTTCACCAAATTAGTGGAAGTGATTTTTCGTTAAACAGGGACAAATAGATTCATGTACATACCCAAGATCCGAGATTCAACAAGGCATATTTACCGTACCCTCTGACTACAGGGGCTCTTTTAAAAGATCTACACAATTTAATAGGCCAATAACTTACTACAGACTAGTGCACCCTGAGGTTAGACAGTAAGTATGTTTACCGTACATCGAACCACGAAGTACTCAGTGAGTATATACTTCCATGATTGAATCAATGTCAGTGACGCACTGGTCAGCGAGACACTAACGATTGTGTAGTTTTTTCAGAGATCTTTCAAATTCAACTCACCGATCTTGCCCCGGTTATTTGGCAAAGATAATCTTGGATAGCGCTGCAGTCTGGATTATCTTCTATCTCTATAATCTCAATATCTTCCGGGATATTATATTGCTTAAGAACATCTTTAGCTTTTTTGCAAAAGGGGCAATATGTTTTAGAATATACCACAACTTTTTTGCTATTAATTTTCGCATCAATCATTTTCTTAACGTCTGCCATCTTTTCTTCCGAGTACGATTGGGTTGCTCCCATAAAGTTATTAAGAATTCAATGTAAAAACAGAGTACAGCTGCTGCCTCTAGAAAACGCTTATAATATTTAACGCACCCTCAATTTTTGTGCTTAGTCACTGTAATACGCAGCGTATCCTTGGAATTGCCTGTTAACATAGGTGGCGCCACTTGCAAGGGGCACTTACACGTCAAGGTTTATAAAAAGAAATAATTATTAACGTTAAAGTTAAAAAAATGTTTAAAATTCAGACGTGTCCAGAAACATTTGACCCCATTGAGTTGGAAGCAACAAATACATTAGAGACCATTTCGAGACAAGTTTTATTTTGACCTGAATTCTGACATTAGTTTATCGTTCAAGACAAACAGATGAGGATTCGTCACAGGGCCATAGTGCAGTCTGGTAATATTTCTCCATTCCCGTGACTATGAATGCAGCTTTTTTAGTCTTCGTCATACGGTGCACAAATCAATTCGTAATTTTTTGGTAATTTTAATAAGATATGAAAAAGTGTTTACTGTGATTTTTGAATTTAGGCCTATTATTTTATTTCCCGCGAACTGTGATCACTATCCCCCTCCCTCCTCCCAAATAGTTACATGTAATAGTAAACATAGATCTATGGACTTTGCTGTAGACTACGTCTGACATCTACTTTGAATAGAACCAATGGCGGATTTAGGGGGGGGTGGGATCAGAGGGGTTACACACACACACACACACACACACACAATCACACTTATATTCCCCTCTTGAAATTAGAGTTCGACTAGCTGAATTATACGTAATCTGAAGCCCACCAACAAAGCTTCTGCGGCTCAACGGGACACAGCTAAACACTTCTAGAATGTTTAATGTAATATTTTTGCTGGAAAATATTTCTAAAATTTGCATTTGATTAGTATAAGAAGAAAAACGCATATCATCCAAACCCTATATAGAGGTGCATTTCACACCCCGAAGTGTCCAAAAATAAAATTGAATGAATTAAGTTTTATTCAATTTTTAAAAACATAAATGTGTGTAAAACAATAATCCACGAAAGTCTCAATTTAAATTTAATTTTTACCATGCCTTTAGATTATGCAAGAAGCCCTAAATGGTAACGTGTGTTCCGGTAACGTATGATCCGGGTCATTTAATTTTGATTTTTATACTGCGTTCCGATATATTTTGTAGTGAACTTCCTGGCTACGTGCCTGCTTATCCATATTACTTTCGTCTTTTGCCAAAATTTCGTTGCTGCGTAAACATCAAAACAATAGCTAAAATAAAGATATAATGAATCTGACACTGGATTTTACTTAAACGAGTAACACTAGGTTTCGACTTTCTCAAGGTCTTCCTCAGGTGATCCACTATCAGATTCAATTTTTCTTTATTTTTGCTATTGCTTTGATGTTTACGCAGTTTTTTTAATTCAAGAAAAATCGAACATTTATGAAATGAGATAATAGAGACTTTACAAAGAAATCTCAACAATATTTAAAAAATATCCCAGTAACACAGAAAGTTAGGCTAACGAGTGTCACCTCTACCTGAGGTGTGCAAAACGCTGAATCCCCGATGAAAGTGACAAGACGGACACTGAAATAACGAAGTGAAAAATTGACTTGTATTAATAATTGATTTATACAGGCTGTTACTATGACTCAGTAAAAGAGTAAAACGTACAGCTGATGATGTTCTTCAAACTAAACATTGAAAGACTTCAATTGAAATTACTTACCTGCATTGCCGATTTGATTTGTCTATATTATTTTGTCAAGTCATTATTTGATTATAATAAACTCTTAACACATTTCTAAAACATAAAGAAAAAACCAAAGCGTTACTTTATAAACCATAAAAACAGTTAATTGAAAAAAGGAAACAGCTTTTTTTATTTATTTTATTATTATAATTTTTTTTTTAATATGTGTGTGTCGCAGTGAAGGACGTAGGCCGTGCGAGGGAATCTCTCTCTCTAGCAATTGTCAATATTGACAGGTAGGGGAGACCGGGGCTAGTTGGCCCAGTTAGACACTTTTGGCCTTGTAGAGCCAACTAGGAATGAGCTAGAGTAACAAAACCGGTTTCAAAGTAAGCCCCATGAACTAAGCTACGTATGCAACGTCATTATTTTTCCAATATAATGCCAGATGGATCACGGGGCAGGTTGGCCCCAGGGTCGGGGCAAGTTGGCCCCCTATACAAAAATGGAGTAAATATCCCACGTAAACGCCTTGTAATACATTTTTATACATTTTTAATTTATTAAATTGACTTTTGAGAGTCTTTGATGAATGAATAGTTCAAATGAGGCAGATTTATTGAGGTTTCCGTACGTCACGTTGTGGGGGGGGGTGGTATAAGTTGCAAGAAGCAGAATATCTATCAATAAAATTTGTTTTATTTTAATAAAGAATTTATTAATAATGGTATAAAGCAGGTTTACAATGAATGAAAACGAATAATAAATTTTCATTTTAAAAGAAAGTTACATATTCAGTTTTAAACCATTGAGTTTGTTTCAACAATGGTCTCTAGCTGTGTTGCGCGCAAAAGTTTGTGGGTAATATGAGGGTCCAACTCGCCCCGAGTCAAGGGGGCCAACTAGCCCCGGATGCACACTTTTTATTTTAAAGGATGGCAGCCATTTATGGTGCTAGAATGAGCAACGATGATACGTCTCTGTGAAACTTGAAACAATGAGCTTCAGTTTGATGCCCTACACATATATTATATTCGATCAAAAGCCTATGAAATAGATTTTAAATCTCTTTAACATTATTACTTTTAGGTGCAAAAATACTTTATTTCGACTCACCGCTTAAGTAAAACTTTTTAACGTCCGACACTTCCTTAGCATTGTAGGCTACGGTCACTTTACAAGAATATGTGGCCAATTTTTTTTACCTCGTAGTTACTTTGTCATAAATTGACGGGGGGCCAACTTACCCCGGGGTCCAACTAGCCCCGGTCTCCCCTATGCACTGGTGATCATTCGGACTTCGGCCCTATATTGCAATCGAGAGATTATATAAAGTGATTATATGCGCATCAAACCTGTATATCATAAAAGCTATAATATAAATAACTTATAATTCTATATCCATAGAAAGACAGGAAATAAGCTCTTGTGTGTTTCTTTTTATTGCATTTCTCAAAAACAAAATAATTTTGCGTAACTCGGAAGTTTATTTTGTAGGCCTACTTATGATTCTGATAAACAAAGCCATCTTGTTTATGTGCTACTTCAAATTAACCCTAACTATGAGACCAGCGTACAAGAGACGCACAAGAAATCAATCTATTTCAGTTTCTTCTCCACCTTGGCAACCTAAACACACCTTTTCATTCCTAATTATAATCTTTTCTTGCCTACATCTATCATGAGTGTGTGATTTGTATATTTGAAACTTGTTATTACATGTTTACAAGTGTCTTAATGTAACTCTCAAAAATGAAAATTTTCTTGAATTATATCTAATTTACTAATATTCTAATCCATCATGCTATGTTTGCATACTAATGTGTAAACATCGATCAGCTCTCCTCCAGCTGCAATATTTGATGCACTTTTCCTCTTGACCTTGATACATGGCCCATATTTCTGCACCACAATTAACAATTTTCGCTCCCGCACGATTGATTCTCTATTGTACAAAAATAAATAAATTAAAAACATAAACAAAACAAAATTAGATTAAAAATAATTTAATTTAAACGCCTTTCTAGCCTATTATGGGACCCCAACCGTGTGACAAATCGAAATTTAAAAATCGACCCTGACGATAGGACCTAAGGACATTTTAAAATTACGTATCGGATCGGGGGGAGGGGGGGGGGGGGAGCTAACGGTACGAAGCGGTAACAATGTTAGCGGTAACAGATGTTTTTTTATTCAGTTCAACTCACCGATCTTTAGGGGGGGGGGGGTAACGGTTAACGGTACGAAGCGGTAACAATGGAGGGTAGTAACAATGTGGGAAGACAGAAAGATGGAATACATCTCGCAGTTTTGAATGCAGCAGGAGCATCTTTTATAGGTCTAGATTAAAACCTCAAACGAAAGAAAGCAATATATATATATATATATATATATATATATATATATATATATATATATATATATATATATATATATGATTTAAAGTCCCCACATAGGTTCATCGATCATCATCAGTCAACGAGGCATGTTTACCGTACATCAGATCAATGACAGTGAGACACTCGCAAGTCTTCAGATGTCTTTCTATTCAATTCAACTCACCGCTGTTGCCCCGGTTATCAAATGTTGCAACGTGCACACTGATTCAGATTGTGTATGTCAAAGCCTTTTAAGTAATTAAAATTACCAAAGAAGAGATATTAAACAGAAAATTAAACAAAAACGTTTTAAGTGACACGCACTCCTGCGTAATGCGACACTAAAGAAGATACATATAACAAGTAGTGAGGGGATGGCAATTTATTAATTCGTTCAAAAATACTTAACCGGGTTTGATCGATTTTTTTCGTAATAGCAGACTAGCACTGTAGTCTAAAGTCGTTATTTTGTGTCGGTTTAATAACCAAGCAAGGTGACAGTAGAGCGTGATTTGATCCGTAAACGCTTTCTGCATCTTCTTGTCAAATAATAAAACAGCAGTTCCCTTTTTCAGCGAGAAGGAAGTATATCAATTTTCAGACCGTATTAGTTTCCCAAGTATTCCACAGATGTCGCTGTTGACGTTGGTTTTTGCAGTGCAACGAGAAGTATTTTAACCTTGGGAAGGTTTAGAAGGTGACTGAAGTGACATTAACATTCTTACAAGCCTTGCTAGCCGACAGACTCACGTTCTGTACGATTGGTGTAACACGATGTCACTTGCACGTCAAAATTATCACGTAGAATGCGAAGCTGCTGTGAACAAGCAGATAAATTTGGAATTTTATGCATCTTACGTGTATGATAGCATGAGCGCATATTTTGACAGGGATGATGTCGCCCTGCCGGGATTCAGCGCATTTTTCAGGCACCAAGCCGACGAAGAACGGGAACACGCGTTTATGGTAGGTTTTATTATTTTCAATGATTAAAAAAAACGTGCTGTTTTACATTTCTGCCTCAAATAGTAATATACGTCAAAGCGCCAGGTTCCATTAATCAATAATATGTTATACACATTGAAAACCTGAAATGACCTGCAAAAGATGAATAGAGGTCATAATGGTATTGCACGCATAAAACATTCCTTGATTGGTCTTTTCAGTTTTTTTGTATGTAAAGCATTTTCATGTGACGGTAATATTTTGAGTATGTCTCTTGTGTAAGTTAAACGCGTTTCTGTTTAAGAACATTCTAAATCATTCGAATTTACGAGGGTCGATCGGTTTATATAAGCCATTCCCTTTTTGTTCTTATTATATTCAACATGAAAGTCGTGCTATATTAGATCTCACTGTTGTTCATATTCTGAAATCGTTCAGCTGCAGATCGTTATTAAACACTGACTTTTAAAATAGTAGACAGAAGTGGAACAAAAAAATATTGCCTTTGAAATCTCAGAACTAACAACCCAAATATAGATTTAATTTTGGCAAGGCACAAATATATCGCGTATTCACTTCTTTTGTCCATGCTCTTAGCTGAATGATAGTTGGAGTCGATAATAAAACTGGAACTTCTCCAGATTGAAATGGAATGGAAAAAAATTAGGGTGTTACCACACTTGTTCAGAGTGCTTCCCATCAGTGATGGAATTTTCCTTTTTTCATAAATAAAATGTCAAATTAATATTACAGCAAGGGATGAGTAATAAGCTTGGTATTTATGAATTTTAGGGGCATTTATGATTACCTTTCAAAGGGATAGGGGGTCTGGAAAATGATGACTATGGCACTATTTTAAGATAACTTTATTAACCGCTAACTCAGCTGGTGTTATACATATATTTGATATTGTTACCAGGCATTTTCTGATTAAGAACTGCTGGCAAGACTGTTCACATATCATTGTATACATCTGCAAGATTAGTATGTGATCTGTTTGCTTAGTCTAATCTGTTTATCTATTTTCACAAACTTTTTTAAAATTAATTCTGATGATAAATATAGTTAATAACTTTTTAATGAGTTATAAAAAATATACCAGTTGATATACATTTTTCTTTACAGTTCATCAAGTTTCAGAACACTCGTGGAGGTCGCGTGGTCCTGCAGCCCATCCCTAAGCCAAGCAAAGATGAGTGGGGCAGCGGACTGGATGCCATGAAGTCTGCTCTGGAGATAGAGAAAGAAACTAACCAAGCCCTCCTTGACCTACACAAAATGGCAAGCAAGCACCATGATACTCAGATGGGAGATTTCATTGAAGGTAAATTGAATTACTATCTGTTATTGGGGTATGTCCTATCATTCCCTTAGCAAAAATGTGATTTGCACACCTCCTAGCACTGCGTAGAATACAGAAATTCATGGTGATTATAGAAGTTCATTCAAAACAAAATGAGGCATGTTAATCTGATTGCACTCACTGAGAGTGGAGATGGATCGATCCACATAGACCAAAAGTTTCTTTGGAAATGAGCCCTTATACACTCTTAGTCAGCAACATACCTTTTGTAAGTACTGTAGCTATAAATACTGCTTCAAAACTCTTTTTTTTAACACACAGAGACACAACTGACTATGATGGTTGAGGAGATCAAGCATATATCAGACTACATCACCACTCTACAGAAAGTTGGGCCAGGTCTGGGAGAATGGCTTTTTGACAAGGAACACCTGCAGCATGAGTACATGAAAAATGGGTGTGGTGAGAAAAAGCCAGCAGCTGAAGGAGATGCAAAGTTGACATAAGAACTTGCACAAAGAAAAAATAGTGATAGATGCACACAAAATATACTAGTATATTTTGTGTGCATCTATCACACAAAATATACTAGTATGAGCCTGTCTGATTCACGGATGTTATTAATGTAAGATGGATAGGAGTAAACACAAAGAATTTCACCATCAATGAATGTATTATCCATTGTGCATTAGTTTCATCTCATTGTAAGTACATATGAATCATGAGTGAGGGTATTTGTGTAACTTTAGAGCTTTTTATGTAATAGTATTCTTTCTTATTGTTGTATCAATAACTTTCAGTTTCTAAAGTTTTATTTGCTCTACTTTAATTTTTTGTTTTTAGAAATTAGAATTTTATCACTTTTTATTCTGGATTTTGAACACAATGTATTAGATAATTATGACAAAATCAGAAAGCTGTGATGTCTATAGAATCTCTGACAGACCTATTTTAAAAATCTACATGAAAGTTGATTAAAGTTATGGCAGTTAATTAACATTGAAGGTCAACTTTCTCTGATCTCCCATTCACAAAAATCTCTGGGTTGAACTGGGTATCCTGCTTTAAGCTCAAAACAAGAAATGTTATTTTTTTGTTATTAAACAATCAGAACAGGAAATGTACTATCTGATGTCTACAGGTGGACGGATCATTCTAGGGCCTCTTATGGCACCCAAGAATTTTAATTACCATGCTAAACATAGTCCATCTGGTGACATCCGGAAGACTGTTTCATATATTATTCTGTGGTGTAACTACATGAGTGCAAACATGAAAGGAATGGTCTTACTTCCTGTGTGAAGCTGATTTTTCCAAAGAACTAAAAATTGATGTCAGTCAAATAAAAAATACTCATTGATGTATATAAAGCCTGGTTTTGTAAGACAATATCATGAGAGCCTTTTTAGAGATACAAAAATTTATTAAAAGTTCTATTTATACACAACTCTAAATGCATCACTATTTTTCACTCAAATTTTTAAAGGCAGTAGTATTTTTTGCTTTACATTTGAAAGTATATACAAATATGTATAGTTAAATTATTCGTAACATTTTTCGGTACAAAAATTATTTAATACAGTAAAAATCAATAAGTTATCAATAAAAAGCAAAGCTGCTGCCAATATATCAATTTTTTAAATTTTGATAAAATTACACAAATAATTAACTCGGACAACAGTCTCAAATATTCAGGGATTAAAGGAATTTGAAATAGATTTGACAATGTTTCCACTCCCCTGAGATGCTGCTGGAAGCCCCTTGTCTGTCATGACTGTCTTTGTAATCCTATGTTACTCTGAATGGGCGAGGTTGCAAATTACTAGCCTGACTTGTTTGGTATGGGGATCTGAAGGATAGATATGATTTTTTAAAAATGTACACCATTGTGTGGATTATTCCAATGCATTAGGAGGATAATTAAAAGTTGTACATAGTAGTTAACTTTTGCTATCCCTTTCCTGTGAGCATTTTAGAGAGTCAGAAAATACTGTACTGAAATACACTTGCCTTGTTAATGGTTCAACTGGTGCAAATTCATAACTCTCTTTAAAGGTGTGAGAAAACAAAAGCATGGGTGTGGTAGACATGTGGTAGACCAATAATTTTCACCATCAATTTAATGTTCATTCTTTTACCTGGTCTTGTCCTGAATTGGAGATTCACGGAATGACCTGCCACCTGGTGTTCGAAGGTATGACATTGTAGGGTCAGGATCTTCACTGGAAAAAGTTGTAAATATCCTATATCATGGTTAGGGACCAGTTGATTAAAATAACAGCTGTGGAAGTTAAGTGAACCTTGTAAGTATCTTAAGTAAATTTCGCAGCTGATAATCATCAATGCATATGACCACAGATTCAATCTATTTTCTAACATGTTAGGAAACTATAGCAGCAGTAATGCTGTTGAAATATGTAGTTTGTAATACTTTGTTCATAGTTTTTTTCTAGAGTGTGGGACTTATTATTCATTTTGGATAGCATTCCTGAATCATTTAATATTTGAAAATTATTTTGAAATCTAGAAGATCATCATACAGAAGCATGGCCACGGCATGAATAAATGGTGTAAAATAAGTCATATTATTTTCCAGCAAAATTATACTGAACACTAGTACAAATGGGCAATTGAGGGCAAGGACAAATAGTTACAAAACAGAATGAGTTTGACCTTTTTTTCATAAGGCTCCTTGACCTTTAACATAAATCCTTACACAACTGACATTAACAAATTACTTCTGAGCTACAAGGTCAAGTGTACTTCATAGCAAAATATTTTGCTTTTGCACAAGCAACCCGAGTAAAGCAAAAAGTTTACCTTAATCTGAATCTTAGTAACTTATATTTTTATGTTAGTTTAAATGATGTGAGACACTGAGTTATTTCATTGTTCAAAACAGAAACCTTTTCTCCATGTTAAAAATTCATACATTTTTGCATTCCAAATTATGATTATTACACATAAATGTTAAAATAATTATTTTACATGAATCATAATTTTATCTTACACTAGTGGAGCAAATGTTTCTCTGCCATTCCTGTCAGGGCCCATATCATAGATACCCCTTCCACCACGGCTCACATATGACTTCTCTGCAAAGGCACCCTGGTGTAGAGATATGATATACTAAGACAAAAAAACTTTGAGGATCACACTTACAAGCCTCCATTTGGGTAAATTCATCTATTCCAGTTTACTAAACTGTGTCTTGAAAAATGTTATTGAGACATAAATACGATTATGATACATTTATATACCTGATTAAAAAATATAAGCAGTCTGTTTTGAATATCACAAATAACATTTCCTGATCATTGGCAGAAATTTACTTTGTACAGGTGTATTCATTTATGTACAGAACATTTCTTATCCTGGAGATAGCTAATGAAACCACCAATTCACATAACACAGTCCCAGAGAAGGAAAACCACTGGACTTCTCACCTGGCCGTGATCTTCATATTCCCTCTGACATGCTGCATTCAGCTCCTGTTTTAGGGTGCTGATGTGGCGTTTACTGGACTCTATCTCCTCTTCCAGAGCTAGTATCTTAGAGAATGCTTGGTGCTGGGCATCCACAAAGACACTGACCAGGTTCTGACAGGCTATTAGCTGGAAACAAAAAGAAAACAACACTTGTACCATGTTAAAATTTGATACAGACTGAAATAAAAAAATTGCTTACTAAATAATCCTACTGACCTATATCTTTCATTGTGAGGATTCACATTCCTTGCCATATTCCCTTATAACTGAAATAAGAGGCTCCCATTTGTTTTTTAAATATTTATTCTATAAATATTTAGATACGCATTTATTAACTGACAAGACCATACAAAATAAACATGGCATAAATCAGTATCTTAATACTTAAACAGTACTTTTCAAGTTATGGTGATCTCTTTAGTAAAATCCTAATAAAGGCAGAAATTCCCATCACTCTCATACTCGTTCAACCCCCACCTCTACCCCTTTTCACATTTTAATCAAAACTCAGGATATATTTTTTTTCCTAATAAAAATAATATTTTCAACTGAAACTTCTCATAATACACCATACCTACCTCAGGGCCAGGTTTTACAGTGTCAGCTGGAAGAAGATCTGAGGATAGCAGCACTTTAGACAGGGAGAATTCACGACCACGGAAACCTCGCGATAAAATCATTTCTTGCTTGCTCTGAAAGTGGATGAAAAATATATGCACATATACTGGAATGTTTCAATTATCTTAAATAACTCTGAACTTAAAAATAAATACGTATAACAATAATAATAGAAATGAACTTTGTTAGAAGAATTTCACTTTAAAGAAAATGCTAATTAACTTATCTTTGGTACAATAACAAATTATATGAATGTCAATCTTGAAAGAAACATTTAATTTAAACAACACATATCAAAATCTTACCTGTGCCAGAGCAGATTCTACTGCTTTAAGATAGGTGGCTAAACCAGATTTGTCCCTAAAATGATAAATTGATGTTGTATATTAATATAATATTGAACACTGTAGGCCACAGTGTTTGACTTCAATACTGATCAGACAGAGTACCTCACTCCCCCCTTTTTACCAAACTGTCCATGAATAAAACATAAAGAACAATCATGCAGGGAAGTAATATTTAAGCAGAAAACATGTCATACTTCACCAGTAATGTGTTCCACAGTAATTTATTACAGTACAAGAAAAAGTGATGATCCAATCAGTGTAAAACATATTACACACTACTCACTTAGCTACTGTCCTGAGAGTGTTCTCTGCATCAAACACATTGTCCTGAAGTATGCGTTTCTCTTCCTCCAGTTGCTGTACATGTTTATTCAGCTGACGAACAGTCTGTTCTGTTCTTCGAATTTCTTGACGAGCTTCAGATAAACCCTGCAATTTGTAACTTTTAAACTAAATTTTATTGCAATCAATGCTGAAATTTATGACGTAATAACAAAACCCTGTATTGTATATCAAAGGGCAGTATATGACAAACTTTTGCCAAATGTTTCAGCAATAAAAATAATAGCAGACCCTGCATATATATATATGATATTAAACCAATGGAAATAAATGTCACTTGGAAAAATACAGCTTTACACACTGGGTCCTCTTCCTCTAGTCTGATTCATATTTTACCTGCACAGCTTCAGACAAAGTTTTCTCTTTCTCTGACCCTTCAGATGCCTGAATGTCCAACTTTCTACTCAGGCTATGCAGCTGGTCACTTTGTTCGTTCAGTAACTGCTGGGCCTGCATTTCACGTTTTAGAGCACTTTCTAACTCTTGACAAACACTATCAAACCTGTCTAACTGAACCATCTGTTGACCCTAAGAAGAGAAAATAATAAAAAATGAAAAATATTTGCATTTTTGAAAAAATTCAGTTACTCAAAAACTTTCAACATATGAAGAGTTAGAGTTAAATACAAAGTTAATACACAAACACCTCTTTATGGGGAAAAGTCTCAGTTAAGTTTCAATATATATTACCTCTTGCCTAAGTTTGGCAACTTCCTCTTCCAAGATCTTGGATTTGCTGTGGCTATGTTTCAGTGCAGAACTCTCCTGCTTAGATTGGTTCAGCTCCAACTTCAGGTTCCTGCGGTCAACTTCAGCTTTGTGGAGGCGTGCTGTGAAGTCCAAGATGTGCTGGTTTAGACTGGTCATTGTGCCCTGGAAACAGTACATCGCCAATTAATGCTCAAGTTTTAGAAATAATCATATTACATGGGTGAAAGTTTGGAAGCAACATATATAGATGTTTAGAGAATTGGGAATACTAATTAATATAACTTTTCAACAAAGATATTGATAAAAAATATCTAACAAATTAGATTATAACTTAGATTTGATGAGTCTGATGGGGTCATAAAAAATTGACATCCAACCCCCCCCCCCCCCAAAAAAAAATGGATAAATCTTTCAAAATATTCTTTAAAATTTGTTCAAAATTCACAAAACATCTTGGATATCCATGTTCTACTTTACAAATGCAAAAATAAAAATAAAATAAAATAATAATAATAAAAAACACAATAATGTCAAATCATCTAAATACTACCTTTTCTCTCATTATCAACATCCAAATCAAAATAGACATCAGAACTCACCTCCATTGTCATAAACTGTCCTGTCCCATCTGTGGGGAAATTGGAGATCACTCTTCTCAGGCCATAATCTAAATACTGGGTAAGACTGCCACCTCTTCCTCTGGCAGAAAATCCTCCATCTTCACTCCCATCCCCAAAGTATGGACCCAGCTTGTCTAATAGTCTGTGAAAGGATGATTTGGCAGCTTTAACGAGGAGCCTAGGGTCACTAGCACCAGCCTGCTGGAGCTGGTCAAGCACCTGCTGGACATCGGTCATTGATGAGAGCACTGTCTTCAGTAGGTCTGAGCTGGTGAGCCAGCTGAGTGCCATGCGTTCGTCCAGTGTGGCTGAACTATGAGCAGTAAGACCACCTCCGTAAGTTCTAGCTGATTTACTTAAACCAACACCTGCAAAAGAAAGTAACACTTAATATTACACTAACACAAATCATCAAATATTCAACAGCATAAAAGCATATGATACATTATTTCAAAGATCTCTTGATTTTCAAAAAAGCAGACAACTCCATTAAAATTTTATGTAAATAGATATTGGTTAACAATACTGGTAGCAAGTAAGGAGTAAGTGTTAAAATAGGACACACGTTCCAATTATATATTCCACACAAGTCTTTCCAATGGTCTCATTATATACATGCCTGTAAATACCCTCCTACTGCTCTGTGGTGTCCTGCCAGCACATACCAACATTCCACTGCTCCCTCTATTGGTATATGAGACAAATAACCTTGCTGAGCTATGACAGAGGTAGTTCAGTCTATTTGCTGCAATTACAACAATAGCAGCAGTTCGAAATTTCAGTAGGGGCCGCCGCCTCTTCCTACTGGGATCAAGAAAACTCAGTTCATTGTCTGCGCCCAGCTCGGCTGAGAGAGTTTCTACCAAAGTCTGAGCTTGTTCTTTCATCTCTTCACTATGTCTTGAGTGGATTTCTAATAAATTTCTCTGGGCGGCCAAGGCCTGGGCTCTGGTAAATAAAGGATAGTAAGCTCCACACAACAAAGCACAGGCAGTAAGCAGGGAGCCATGCTCCTGGTTCTTTTGGGCCAAGCGAGCCCGAAGTTCTGCACATTCTGCTTCAAGGCCTTGCTGAACTGTTCCTGTCTGTCGAATCTTCTCCCAGGCTTGATCTGCTATCACCTGTGTTTTCTGAAGTTTTGGTAAAATAGTGAAACAGATAAGTCACAAGCTTAGATAGATATAATAATGATGAATTAATGCCATATTACTCTATGCAATTAAGATGAATTACATTTTCTTTTCTTTTGAAGTGAAAAAATGATCAAACTTTACATAAATATCAAAACCAAAACAATATTGAAGATTCAAGGATAGAATTTAAACTTACATTTTCATTGACAACTCAACTCTTCATTCAACCTTGAAATTAATACTTTACCTTAGACCTTGTGTGTACCTCCCCCAGCAGTCTGTTATAATGCTCCTCCAGATCTTGTTTCTGTCTCTGCCAATCCAACTCTTGTTCCTCTGCCAATCTACTGAGTTTGTCAACCTGGTCTTCATGTGCCCTCTGCATGGCATCCATAGTCTCATCCTTACTGGTTATCACTTTTTCCAGGTGTTGAAGCTTTATAAATTATGAAGTGGTAAAAGAACTATTGAATGTGCTAGAAATATTGCAGATAGTTTTTCAAATTTATATGGAAAATACTGACCTATCAGGTTACTTAAAATCTCCAAACATCATACTTACTGACTTGAGAAGTTATTTTAAACTTTGCTCACCCTAAAACTAACAGTTAGACTCTTAACATTAATGCAATATCAAAGTGCTAACTTTCTGTTAAACTATTTAGGCTGAAAAATAATTATTTTGTTTCATCATTATTATGAGCTTGGGCCATAAAAACCATCTTAAAACATTGCAATACATTTTAATATGTATGCTGTGTATTATCTCCTATTGAAGTACTCACCTTTTCCTGTGTCCTGTAGAGTTTATTGAGTAATGCTGCAGAGTATTCCTGTACCACCACAGTGAGATCAACCCAGGACATGCCCTCTGTACTGGCTGGAGACTGATACTGGGAGCTCTCAGCACTCAGCAACTTGTGGTACAGTGACCTCAGATACTGGTAGTGGTCCTGAAAGTATGATTACATGATTTCAATCATTTCATCTCACTGTGACTTGCACAGAGCTGTCACATTTCTGAGGTTACAGTGTGCTCAACTTTCTGATGATTATAATTTATAATTCAAATTTTATTACATATAATACATATGGGCACTTAGAATATTAGTTAAATGCTCTCATGTTTCAAACATAAATCTACAAAAGACTTCAATGGAATATAACTGGGAAAAAATGATCGTAACCTGCCTTCAAAACTGTAAGGATAATCTCATGTATATTTTTTCAGCAAAGTCTATGGTAGATATCTATGTTTCTTTTATGCCTCACCTCAATTTCTGCGTCATGCTTCTTTGTTACTCTCATCATCTGAAAGTTAACAGGAAGAAATGATAATTTTGCTGTTTAACAACCTCATAATATACAGAAATCTCATTTAGATGACAACTATAAGACATAGAAAAAGAAAGAACAACGTCTCTATAATAATGCATTTACCTCCTCCTCAAGTTCCTGGGCCCTGGTGGCCTCCTTCTCATACCTCTGTGTAATTGTCTGAGCATCTACTTTGAATGTGGCCAGCGTGGCCTCCAGCTCACTGTATTCCTGGCGCAGTCTCTGTAGCTCCTTGCTGGCAGATCTATATCCCTGCTGGGTTTCCTGAAGCATGCAACAGAAGTTATTACACTTGTGTTCAGCAATCAACACCTAACTTTTAACTTCCACATTCAGGTATTGATATTCCCGGGCGCTCAATGGACATGTGAAAGCCAACACAAACTGAACACAAGTGCCTTATTTTGAAATGAATGTAGCTGATTTTATATAAACAGTGGAGATGAAATAATAGTAAGGAGTAAATTATTCATAACTATAGGCATCTTGTCATGCATCAGAAGATTTTGCAAGTAAAGAAATTCATAAGTATTTTTCTTGCAATTACTGTAGCATAAGTCATATTATTTACCTTTAAGTGTGAAAGAAAGTTATTTAGACTTCCTTTTGGGTTTGTAAAATTTTATTTTAAACTTTGCTCACCCTAAAACTAACAGTTGAATTGTTCAGTCTGATGTGCATAAAGTTGTATAATTGCCTAATGCAGTAAATCAAGGGATATTTCCAGTGCAGAAATACATCTACTGGTAATCACATCTTTTTTCATAACAAACCAAAAAATTGAATTATAGACCTTCTTACAAGCAGCTACACATGTATACCACCCATGTTTTGATCTTAAATCTGTGTACTTGCCTCCAATGCTTTATCTTTAGCCCAAATCATGTCTTTGTAGGAGTCTCCTTCTTTTGATAAGTTTTCAGTTAAAGATTTAACCTTTTGTAACTAAAACAGAAAAGTATAACATTTATATAGAATGCTTTGCTACTAAAATCCAGCTGAGTTGATTAACAGATCAAATAAAAATATGATTTTACTGAGGACAATATGAGATATTCACTAACTGTGTGGCTAAATTAAAGTATGCAATGAACTCTTAAAATAGACATCTTCAAGAACGTTAAAAACAACGCATGGGTAAAACTTGTCAACCCATAAATCTTGATCTAAGTCAGTTTCAGCTTATTGACATGTCCTGTGGTCTAACAGTCCAAATCAAAATATTTTAATAGACACAAAATGATTTATTTGTACCTCACTAGAGGTGGCATCCAGCCTTTTCTTGTACTCCAGTAGAGTGTGTCTCAGGGTTTCCAGAACTACAGATGGTGCCAGGGGTTTGGGCTTATCTTTTTTATCTCCTAAAATGTAGATATTTTTATGTTTGTACTTCATGTAGGTAAGAAATTATAATTATAACATTTACTTAAGCAAATGAGGAAAGGATTCACAAATCCATAAAAAATACCTTAACTATAATACAATAATATTAGCTTTTAATATAACAAATAAAAACTTCCCACAATTTACTTACTTTTCTTTTTTGGGGTTGGTTCTACTTGAAAATTTTGTATCAAGAGTTCCAACTCCCTCATGCTGCCTCCATATGTCTCTTCTAGGTAGATCTGCCTTTTCTTAGCCTAGAAGACGCAATTCTGTAAGTCATCAACTATTATAACCAGCATAAATACAGTAATGCCTATAACCTACTTTCAATTAAACAATATACATACCACTAACTGCAGGATATCAAATAGCATTACAGCTCCAAAATATTTTAACAACAAATTACCATTTACCAAACATGAGGCTTATGTTTTTTTTTAAACAGTCACAGAATATTGCACCTTTGCCAATTCTTCCTTGAGGTCATCAAAATTTTTTTGGTGTAGTTCTAGTTGTTTGGATAGGTTTGATATCACAGCCTTCTTATCCTCCACCTCAGAGGTCAACTGATGTTTAACATTTGCATATTCCTTCTCAAGTCTGAAAAGATTTAAGATGTATTATCAACTGCAGGCTACAACACTCTAAATTTTCATACAACACAATCCAGCTGTGAATACAGAAGTCAATTTATGATTTGTTATGACGTTGAGATTTTCAAATATGATTTCTTTTAACAACTGTAAATTAGAACAATTTTCAAACACAAATATTAAAGATAAGACACAGAAAACTTAGGATATACAAACTCACAGCTCACATGATGAATTCATTATTTCATCCTGTCATATTTCTTTTACAGTATCATAACAAAGATCATTCAATCCCAACTTACCTTTCAAACTTATCTCTTGTATGTTTTGACATTTTCCTCTCCTCCGTATAAGCTTGTTCTAGTTCCCTGGTAAAGTAAATAAATAATTTTCAAAAAAAAAAAAATAATAATAATAATAACCCTCTCTATATGACAAAAATTTATCAACCTGTTCACCACTGCAAATATCATAATGTAAAACTCACAATTGACACATTATTATGAGATAGGATCAGCCTTACAACATTACCATTTTACTTGTTTGTACTTCATCATGTAATATTTGTACAGCAGCATAATTAAACAGAATAAAAAAAATGCAATCAATTAGTATTTCATACATAATAAGTTGATTTTTGTTGCATTAAAGATATTACCTAAGTTGTTTTTGTTGCCTTTCAGCATCTGAAGCTATTTCATTTTTAGTTGTCTTCTCAAGTTCCAAGGCTGCCTCAACATCACGAACACGCAGCTGAAGTAGAGATTACTTGCAAATACTATTTTGAAAGTAAGAAATTTCTTCATCACCTGTAAGCCTTCTACACAGATGCTTCTTAATAAGATTTTAAAAAAATTTATTTTACTTTTACACAGCGATAAGTTCCAACTAATTATTACTACCATAAAAACAAATTGTGCTAACATACACAGAAATATAAGCAATCAAACTTATCAATCAATTGTATTAAGCACCTTAAATAAAAAAATTAGTACCTGTATAATCTCAGAGTTAAACTTTGACTGTAAATGTGTGGCCCTCTCAGCTTCTATGCTCTCTTCTAAGGTATGAATTCTTTGTAATGCCGTCTGAAAAGGAGGATCAAACATAACATGAATTTACATGCTTTTGTGATTGCATTGTTTTACAAATCAAGGTTACACAAAACTGAAATTCATGGCCTGAGTAAAAATCATGACATCACTTCTTTAACAGTCTCGGGCAGATTGAAAGATATATACCTCATAGTCAGCCTTCAGTCTATCTTCTCTTTCTCTTGCAAAATCCAAATCATTCATATGTCTTCTTAAACCTTCTGCTTGAGCTTTGCATTCATCTAAAATAGAAAAAGTGACTGGAAGGTTTAAATTTATTATATTTTTTAATTCTTCAATTTCTATCAATGACCATGCATGGTTTTTTGTATTTGTAAATCAAGTAATGCTACAATGAGTTTCTGCAGCTGTACAAAAATACTAAACACAACCATTACCTTCTAAATGCTGAACTTTTTCACTCAGGTCTGCTATGTTCCTGTGGAAAAATAATATGTATGTACACAAAAGCCTCTTTATCTCATGGCAATAGAGGGACAATTAAAGTTTTGAAGCTCTTATCTATCATTAGAACAAACTTGATGAAAAAGTAAGGACATGCAATAATCCTTTCAACTTCAATTCATCTAAAACAAAAACAAAGAGACTAAAACAGACAGCCAGTTTCTAAGATAACCATACAAATGTATAACAGTAAAGGTTATTGGAACAGACTGAGATCAATCTTAAACATTTTGTTTTAGTCAAATCAAATTTATCATTAAATAATTGGTTTATTGAAAAAAAAGGCCACTTTTACATTGAAGTAAAAAAAAAATGAAATTCTAATATGCAAGAGTGAACCATTTATACTTTAATGCAAAATTATAAAATGCTGGCCAGTATGTCTTCCTACCCCTCAAGTTCTGCAACAATATTTTCAAGTTTTTCCTTTTCAGTTTGCAAAATGTCCTGTTCTGTTTGATAACTTGCTATTATTTGCTCCTAAAAAGAAATTGGGGCACATTCTAAACAACACATCAAAAATAATGTGTTAAATTTGATTTAATAGTTATTAAAATTAACATAATTTATTATGAATGGGTTCTTTAAAAAGATAAAGAGACAGAGAGAAGCACCTTTTCCTGTAAACCTATATTTAAGTTAGCAGTCTCTTGCTCTGACGATTGCTTGAATTCTTTCAACTGTTTTTGAAGATCTGCTGTCTGTAAATTTATCTCAGTAAGTTTCTCTGCAAGATGAGAATATCAAGGATGATATTTTCTATATATATATACTTTTGAATTTAAACACACAGCTGTCAACTTCCGGTTAATAAATATGCAGTTTCTACCATCATCAAACAGTCATTTTGAATATGAAGTTGATTTTTTTTTTAAAAATTACCAATTTTTCAAATCTGCTATTCTAAACACCTATAATATGATAGAACAGTCTGGATGATAAAACACTGGCAATGATTTATTAGTTAAAAATATTGTTATGCAAACAATGCCTCCAACCTTTCATGTTATCATTGATGCTGCTCATCATAGCTTCTCTGTCTTCAGCAGACCTCCTCTCCTGTGCTGCCTCCCTCCTTGCCTTAGCTAACTCAAACTCCAGTGACTGTCTTGTTGCCTCCCCTTTCTCCAGTTGGGCACGAAACTTAGCTACCTGACTCTCTAAATCTGCAGTCTGAGAAATAAAACGAAGCTTTCTCAGAATGAATTCTTGTTCATGGAAAATTTAGTTCAGTAAAAATAAGGAATTGTTATACAGTAAAAATTAACAAGAAATCTAGTTTTAGCAGGCAAATCTCAGCAACTTTACTGTTACCTGTTCATTGCTCCTGCTTGTGAACTCCAGGCGCTCTTTTTCAACTGTGTTCAGTCTTCTTCTTAGCTGCTTCACTGTGTCTAGAAAAACCATACAATTTGATTTGTTAAAACATCTAATTGCAACAACATTTAACCAATCTTAGTTTAAATCAGTGAAACATGCTTTGTTTGGTTTACTGAAATGTTAGTTAACATAAGACCACGCCCTCCAATAATTATATCAAACCATTAAAACTTTGTTAAATCTTTCTTTAAATCTATTCACCCTGCTCAGTCTGTATCTCTGCCCTCATCTGCTTGAGCTGGTTCCTGAGGTACATCACCTCCTTGGAGCTGCCCCCATCCTCATTTGGTATACCTGGTGAGGCTGCCATTTGTGAGACACCCGTCATCTGAGATGTGCTCTGACTGGTGGAGGCTTCAGAAGGCCCAAACTGTAAAGGTTTGTTGGAAAACAGTACATATGGGCAAGGTGATTATACAATATGATACCAGATATGTGTATGAAGAAAATTAAAAAAAGATTGTTGACCACACAGATGGAAGTGTTGGCTTTTTTGTTTTTTCTACAGGGGCATGCTTAAAATGTTATGCAGTCTAAATTGTTAAAATTTACTAGTAGCTAGCAGTTCTTGTGAATATGAAGTGCATAGATTAAGATAACTCAAACTACAAGAGTTGTATTGGTGCCTTTTGAACAAAGGATAAGACATGCTCCTTCTGATTTCGGTCTGCTAACGCAAAATTAAAATATTACCTGTAAAACCTGCTCATTACTTGGAGTCATCAACAGTGAATCTCCACTCCCAGTCAGTGTGGACACTGGGGAGTAATTCCCAGTCGTTGTGGTACTAACACCACTATGTTGTTGCTGCTGCTGACTTGGTACCCGAGCAGATGCTGACATGTCGGAAACATCACTGCTTCTGGACATGCCACATTGGTTATGTTAGTTTTACAAATAAGATTCTTGTGTGCTGACTGCCACCAGATTTGATAAATTTTGATGAAACGCTTGCCCTTATGTCTGAGCACCTTCAAAGAAAATAAAATGTTATTTGGTGAGGAAACAAATGATTATATACTACTAGGAAACGTTAATTAGGTACAATGTCAATGTAAATTTCTGTTTCAAAAATATCAAAATTTGAAAATAAGCTAAGGTTGGAAGTCTTAAATTTTTTAAAAAATTTCACAGCCTAAAGCAGCCAATAATCTGAATAATTCCGATTCCTTGTAACTTTAATATGCCCTCTTATCTTACACTTGTATATCAAAACGATCAGATTTATCCTGCACTGCGGAGTACTGTCTGTAGCACGATTAAGTTTGTTGGTAGTTTATTTTCCACAACAGTTGATCGCTAAAAAAAGTTACATACAACGTACGTTGTTTATGACAAAATATTTGAATGATGTTAGCGTCCATGCCAAACCTTCACTGCACTCACCGAGATAAAAGAACATTGTCCTTCAAAACAATATTAAAAATTCAAAATTTGTGTGCACCCGCCATATTGTTTGAAAAAAAATGGGTCATAGGTTACACTTCCGGTTCGTGGTGCACACCCCTATCTCAACTACTGCAATGTACATGTCAAGAGGAGGCGGCTGCAGGGGTAAATTGTTCTCAAAACAAAAATAAAATGCTTGTCATCTGGAAAAATAATAAGGTCGCTTGAAAAGTGTTATAAGTGAGTTGCTAGTGACTATTCAAATTCTATTTTATTTCTTATTTGACATAATATTGTTCAAATTCTATTTTATTTCTTATTTGACATAATATAGTTCTAGACTGCAGTTATACAACAGTGAGAGATTCACAAAATTCTCTAATTATTTGAAAACAAATTTAGTTCGGTGATTGCCAATAAAGTACATATGAAGTACAAATTTAAGGTTGAGCGACAATTGGGCTACAGCGACATTTTTGATGGCCCTTCTTTATTGTAAGCGATTCTCAACACAGAAAAATATTTTCCAACTGTATAAAAATTAAATCTAGTGAGAAAACCTAATCAATATCGACTATGGTAGTAGGCCATGCTATTTAAGCATGCTCTTGAGATACAATATTTCATTTGAAAACACTTCATCGAAATATCAACAAAAGTTTGACTTTGAGTGAGGGGGGGGGAGAGAGAGAGAGATGAAGATGTTGGAGAAATCTGAGCGTACACTGGTGTGAAAATACTGGGTAAGAGGAGTATATTGGGAAATAATTTCTTTTGTTTCAAATTAAGAAATTTTCTTTGACTAAAGTCATGGCATGGACGGTTAATTTAAAAAGAGGCATAACGAAATGTCAGGCATAACGAATAAGAAATGTCAATCTAAAACTTGATTTTTAAAAAACGTTTTTCTTTAATAAACGAAAAAGGGATAAGTATAAACGTTAGAAAAGTATTGAAGAGGCTATTAAAATCATTTTCAGTAGATTATAAATCTAAGTTATTACAGTGTAGTGGCATTAATTTATTAATATGCATCACCTATGCATTGAGACAAAATTCTATTATAAATGAACGAAATCAAAACCCTCACCCACCGTATTTTGATTGCTTGCTTTAAAAATGCTTTTGATTTATTTATATATGAAATGTAAAAACCAAATAACAAAATTTTGTCCAGATCCTTCAGTTGTATAATCAGCCGATAATTGTATTGCAAAAAGCTGGTACAAAACAACATGTTAGAAGTATTTATTTTTTGGCTCCTCGATTCTCCCTGTCCTTAGTCCAAGCGCACCTGCCACAATTATGGTCACGTGTTTCCTGGCGCGTACCGGCGTCGGCCATGTTTATCTGAGCACATTGTTTTGTTTGCTCACAGTCCATTTAAAGATTAATCTACCTCTAAGGTACAGTGCATAACTCGCGATGTCTACGCGATCGGTAAAGAAGACCGTGACAACCACTACGACTTCTAGGGAGTCGACAGGGAGCGCTACGTCCACTCCAGCGGCGCAAGTACGCTCTCCCTCGGGTCGCCCTCCGTCGCCGGCACGGATAAGTCGGCTGCAGGAGAAAGAAGAGCTGGTCCACCTCAACGACCGGTTAGCAAATTACATCGACAAAGTAAGATCCTTGGAATCAGAGAATAGTCGGTTGATGGTCCAGGTGCGATCGTTCGAGGAAACTACCCATCGTGAAGTGACCAATATAAAGGCATTGTACGAGAGTGAGCTTCGAGATGCACGCAAGCTTTTAGATGAAACCAGCAAGGAGAAGGCCAAGCTACAGATTGATGTCGGGAAGTATAAAGCCGAAGCAGAGGAATGGATGGTCAAGTAAGTTTCAATTGTTTTGTCTTCCGTGTTGGTTATTTATTTGTATATTTTCAATGTGGGAAATGGTCGGTACGTCACAGTTTTGGTGATGTATGGATTAGGTTACATTAATAAGAATTAATTGGTTTGCAACATATTGATAATGACTGCAACATTGTTGCCAAAATCTGATTTAATGCACTGCTAAACTCCTTAAAGGCTGTAGCCACAGTTTGTTTTTTTATTGGAAAAATAATAAAACCTTCAACTGGAAGTGCATATGCATTTTACCCCATCTTCTTTATCAACTAAGATTTGAATAGATAATTCACCCATTGTCTCCATTAGATACTATCTAAAAGGTTTCACAGCATGTGATAATTACCTCAAGGTTGCCAGTTAGCTCCATTACTTTTCTGCATATGATTTAAAGAAAGCATGCATTTAATTAAACGCAAGCTACAGTACTGGTAGTAGGCTACTGCTGCACGTTTGTCGCCCTAAGCTGTGACTCATTCCAGTAAGCCCACGCAAGTAATCCATCATATCAACCCACGTTTAAATATCTTATACGTCCTACTTGTTAGGTGATATTGTCTACAAAGCAGGTTTGCATAAAACTATTTTTATGATAGAACAGATATTGCTTGTGTTAGAACTTTTAAAGAAATAGATGTGCCAAGTAGAGCGTGCTGCATATAAGCCCCTCCCCCACGCTACTTTATGTCCAGCAGTAACACTGGGTAACAAATTTAATGAGCTGAAAGAGGCATCAGTACAACCACAAGCCCACAGTAAATGATACTTTTAGCAATTTTGGGAAGGAACATTTTTCATCCAAGAATGGCCTTTTTTATTACATGAAGAGTTTGAAAGAAAATACTTTTAATGTGTTTTCAGAGTGTATTAGTATTATAGTTGAAGTTCCTGCTCAGTGTTCACGCATTCCCTCCTCAATTATTCTGGTATTAAAAGTGCATCAACAGGAAACATACAATGGCAAGATAAGACTATTAGAATTAATTATGTCTCCAGTTAGATTGTTATATTGTATTCTGTAAAATATTTATTTATTTATATACATACATATTTTTTTTCTTTTTTGAAACTAACAAATATGATCATAATGTATCTTTTATTTTTAAAAATAGTAATATTCAGTTAAATTGTTTAGAATAACAAAAATATCACTTTCACAAGCACGGTACATGCTGCATGATAGACTGTACAGTGTAGCATTGTGGTTAATCTGCATTGATCTTAATTGTTTCCCTTGGCCTTTGTTCATCATAGCACCTGCCAAGGCAGTGAATTTATAGTAAATTGATTGCCGGGGCTTCTGAACGTGTACTGCTCTACATATTACCCAAAGAAGTGAGTTTTGATATCACAAGGTTGTATTGTTCTCTGCGACTTTGTGGGTTTTGTTAACTCCTGTTAGTTTATGCACCAGTGTTGACTTAATCATCATAACAGTAATGAAAATAAACCAAGTATTCATCTTAGTTCCACATTCACTGAGGCTTTATAGTTTTGTTGATACTTGCTGACCAGGCATATTCCATATTTAAATATAAATGTTATGCTATTATATTGTATGTAGTTCCAAATGAATTTCAGTGAAAGTTATGTGAAATTACCATATCATTCCATTTTTATTGTTTCTCTGTATTTATGATATGTTTACCTCTCCTGTAAAAGTTTTGTATTTATTTCCCAACACAAATTAAGTGTCATGTGAAATAAAAAAAAAGAAAAAATCCTGTATGACATACATTTAGTTATTTAATTTGCTTAGAAAAAAGTTTCTTTTTTATTTATTTCTTTTTTATTTTTTTTTATTTATTTTATTTATTTTATTTTATTTTATTTTTTTTTTTTGACCAAGGAGTATTTATGTGAGGTCTTGGTTTACAATGCATGTCCCAACTTAATTTGATAAAAAAAGATAAAGCTATTTGCACATGACCTTCTTTGTCCTGGTATCCCATTAGACAGTTATGATAGTACAAAAATGTAGTTGACATGCGTATCAGGAATTTAAATTCTTACCCCTCCATATAAATGTGACTCTTTCTATGCTGGGGTTTACCTGCTCCTAAAAGTGCTTTATCTTAAGAACTCTGAAATAGTGGATATAAGAGTAATAAATTTTGAAGTAGGTATTACATGATAGCTGTATGTAAGAGGTCCTTGTGGGTCATGAAGCTTGTCATCCTTGCTTGCTCCAGTGGTGACTTTATTTGCTTTCCCATTGAAAAAGCTTAAATGGCTCACTGAGCAATTCAGAGTAGTAAAACGATCTATTTATGAAGTAGGCAAGTATTGAAATATAAAGAGTGCCTGTAAAGGTCATGAAAAACCACACCCTGTCCCAACAGCTTAATACCAGGTTTGGTGCTAAAGGGACATTGAGACATGTTTGAGTATAAAAAATTTAGTTGTCTAGCATACCTTACTTAAATTACATTCAAACAAAGGAGAACAATTGGATTAAGATCATTCCCCAAAACAGGATTCTGTGTTGTGTCATTTGCCCCGCATACTTTTTTATTGGCTTTTGTTCCATAACATGTCACAATGCCTAAGAGGTAAATATTTTCATATATGACCTCATTTCATTCTCTTTTTTCCCTTTTTCTTTTTAAATCTGTCAGCTGTGTGAGGGAACCAGAGGCAAGCTGAGTGATGACGTCAATGTACTAGTAATGAATGTTGTGTAAAAAGTTCTTACTGGACAGAAATGTCCACAGCTACTGAATAGTCCGAGAAATATCTGAGAATATCAAGTGAAGAAAACTCTTTGACCCTAGTAGAGGGTAGCACAAGGGCATCTTATTTGCCCTAGTTACTAATATGTTGCTAGGTGGAGTATTCCTGGTCAGGTGTCATTTAACCTTTCAGTATGAGTTAACCACAATACACTAACTAAACACAGTGTAGTCTAAAACAGTGGTCTATGTTGTGCCCATTAAACAAGGGCCCTTTGCTATAATTCCAAAATACTTTTATACCAGGCCAATTTTGTTTTATTGTAATCATCAGTTCTGGTGGATAGTGAACTCTTTCTAACTACCTAAAGTTTGTATGTCTGTCAATGGTAGCAGCTACATTCCATTTTGTTCCAATTTTTATTAAACTATCAAAAGTCAAAATTTTTGTTTGCTGAGCCATGCCCTGTTTTTACAGTCAGTTTACAATGCATGTGGTAATACTTTGCTCAAAATTCAGGCAGGCTTCATAATGATGAAACATGCAACTGACACATATTAAAGATAAATGTTTGCTAAAGGAAGAAAAATATATTTGACCTTTTTTTTTTACTTTAATATTAGTAGTTTTGAATGTATAAATATTTAATCTAACATAAAAAAACTTTTCTTTCCATCAAAAAATTAAAACAGTATATTAAGATGGCTCATCTCAAGTCACTTTTAAAAAAGTTTTTTATCATATATCACTTTTGTTTGTTCTTTTTGCATAGATGTGTTGCTATTTTTCACAAAGAAATTCATCAGTGAGCAGCCCCATGCTGATGTATAGGCAGAGGGCAAACACATACATCTGTTAGACATAAAGAGGGAAATTCCTGCAAAGTGTGGGCTTTATTTCTAATGATATATAAATCAAACATGTACCTGTTGTCATGGTTACAGGTCATATTAAAATCTCTGTTAAAGTAACAAAAGAATGACTTAGAAGCAGAGAACTGCCTTCCGCATGTTGAGATTAAAACTGAAAAGATGACACGGTGAAAAGCTAACTGTTAGTCATGATGATGGGTGCACTCCATGCAAGCAGTTGATTGGACGGGAGTTAATCAATGCTGTTTTCTGCTTTCCGCTCAAATATGTTTTCTTTGCAATTCCTTTCAAGCATAATACTGTTTTTCCTGAAAGTATTTCCCAGCAGTGGCATCATGCTTCTGTTTTTCAATTCAGATGCACCAAGAAAGAGCGGGAACTTGCTGCTGCCAATAAGAAGCTTGCAGACTTGGAGGCAAAGTTGAAGGAATTGGAATCTCTGGCAGCAGATGCACAGGCCCGAGCAAAGGCTGCTGAAGGAGAGAGGGCTGTAAGTAGAATGGGCACAAAAATGTTTTCAAACTAATTAATGCCACTTTTGTATGCTTGGTATTTTCTAGTTGTCCTTATCAATTCATTTCAGTATATTTGTAAAGCAAGTTGAACAAATAAAACATGAGCAAATGCTTACGTCATAGCTGAATTGTTTCTATTTATCCATTTTTAATTAACCTGGCTTTTTGTTTTTAACATCAGGGTCTGAAAGGTGAAATTTCCAACTTGGAGCGCCAGTTGGCTCAAGCCAAGAAACAGCTGGAAGAAGAGACCCTCCTGCGGGTTGATCTAGAAAACAGGGTGCAGAGTCTCAAAGAAGAACTTGCTTTCAATGCTCAGATACACACACAGGTAAAGTGAAGTCAACTTTTTTTGCTGGTTTTTCAATTGTAGTTGTTTTTGGAAATAAGGAGATTTGCTTTCTAATTTTTTATCGTTACCAAGGCAAAGGGATATTTTTAAAAAGTTGGTAGCAGATTCTTGAGTTGAATGTCATCTCCAAATGAAATGAATTTTGAAAAGTGGATAAATGAAATTTTGCTTGTTACCACAGGAGCTCAATGAAACCAGATCACGTTCAGAGATGCATCTTGAGGAGATTGACGGGCGTGTCCAGCAAGAGTATGAGAACAAGCTTGCAGACGCCCTACGTGAATTCCGTGAACAACAAGAAGTCTATACCAGAATGCACCAAGAAGAGATTGAGACCATGTATGAAACCAAGGTAAAGTACCCCCCCCCTCTTTTTTTTCTCCATTTTCTGAGAGTCAGAAAGTATTGACAAAAAAAAACATTATGTAATGTTAACAGCACGTTATCAGCTATGTATCCCTTCTATTTTATGTGATTTCTAAGTATGTAAGATATTCCAATGTTTCTGTATTTTAAGTGAAACATCTACCTGTAGTCTTGCTATGTTTCAGCTGAATGATTTGCGTGTGTTGGCAGAGCGCAATGACAACCTGGCATCTGCTGCACGTGAGGAGATGAGGACCTATAGGAAGAAGGTAGATGAGATGTCAGCACAACTGTCCAGGCTTCAAAACCAGGTATATTGTTTAAGTCTTTTGTGATTTATATGTGGTAAATTTAACAAGTAATGATAACAGAAGTTTGCTTTGTCAATGTTTGTGAAATACATAAATGCAACTCGGTGATTGATGTAAGCGCCCAAAGTGACTTAATACAATTTGTCATTAATATTTACTGTCTCATTTAGTTTTGACCAAGACATAGTTGTACTTACATGTTTTAAGTATTTTTAATTTGCTAGAATCCCCAAAATTGTGTTATTTTCCACTTCCCAGAACACCATCCTAGAGGCTCGCATCAAGGAACTGGAGGCACAATTGGCCAAGGAGCAGGAGGACTTCTCCATTGCCTTGAGTGCTCGTGAGAAAGAGATTGCTCAGTTACGTATCCAGATGGAAGAGCAGATGCAGGAGTACGGGGAACTCATGAATATCAAGATTGCCCTGGATCTAGAGATAGCTGCTTACAGGAAACTCTTGGAAGGAGAGGAAGAGAGGTGTGTGTGCCATTTCTAATGGAAAATATGAATTTATTTGCTCTGACAAGATTGAAAGTTAAGTCTAATTTATTTTGGCATGTCTACTTACCTTTATGTTTGTGTCTGTGTTCAATGTACAAGTATATTCTGGGGTTTTTTTCGGTGTCATTACTCGCAAAAATCAAAATCTGATATTTATTTAGAGCAGTGGCACTGTTGATGATACCAAAAATATTGACAAAACTCATAAAATGCTGTGCAAGTTCCGATTTGTTTTTTATTCTAGGCTAAACATTTCCATGTCATCACAAGAAGAGACTCCAAGACGTGCAGTTGCCCGTAAAAGAAAGCGTGATACAGACGAGTCCGAGTACACTCAGTTCTCCCAGTCCAGTTCCAGTAGTGGCTTTGCATCCCAGTCATCTGCCAAGGGAGGGATAGAGATAAGTGAAGTTGATCAAGAAGGAAAATTCATCAAAATCACCAACCCAACAGAGAAGGTGAATGTTTGAGGTTGTTTTTATAAAAATATATATTTTAGAAAAGATATGTATTTCTATACATACAGTGTTTCTTCCTTATGTCCAATTTATACAAATTCTTAAAACTAGTGTGTTTCTATTCAGTTATAAAGTCAGTGTAACAGGCTGAGTATATGAAATAAGAATTTTGTATGTTGTTATAATATTTTATTACTTTTTTCAGTGAAATAAGATTATAATTTTCTGATATTTTAGGATGTCCACCTTGGAGGCTGGCAGTTGAAACATGTGGCAGGAGATCAGGAAACCACTCACAAATTCCATCGTTCTTTGAATCTCAAAGTTGGAGCAACTACTACTGTAAGATTTCAGCATCAACTATTTAGAATATTTTTTCTTACTTTTGTAGATAAAATGTGGATAACTAAAACAATAAAGAAAACAGTCAGTATTTTTAAAGGATTTCATTGAGTCACCAGTACTTTGGCACTATATTTAACGTTGCGCCCAGTTAGATTCAGCAGAGATACATCAACAAGAAGGAACCAAGAGTTCTCTTGATTTGCCTTCCTTTGAGATGTTCATATAGCTTTTGCAGTATATTTGATTTCTCTTTATATATATATATATATATTTATTTATTTATTTATTTATTTTTAGGTCTGGAGTGCTGACAATGATGAGGTAACACACCACCCTCCGGATGATTTGAAAATGAAGAGCCAGAGGTGGTTCATTGCAGACAACATGAGAACTGCTCTCTTGAATCCACAGGGAGAGGTAAAGAAATGTGCATTGAATTAAAACCTTTAGTATTTATTACACTAATTGCACTCTCATTGATGGAATAACATGGGTTTATCAGTATCCTTTGAGAAAAGAATGTGTTCATCAGACAGATAGATTCTACAGTATTGGCGATTAGATTTTTGCTTAGATGTGTACTTAAATGCTAGCCCTGTTAATGCTGTGTGGAAATAATATCTGTGCTTGAAAAGATGGAAGTTGTCTGAGTGTGTGCCTTACTGTGTGTTTAGATATTGCAAGTGATTCCAGATACTGTGAGTATTGCAGATTCCAGTTTCAGACTAACAGATATTGAAGTTTTGTGTTACCAATTTTACTTGTTTTAAATATTAATCACTATATATGTTGTTATTACCCCTTCAACCCTAACTTTGATTTCCAGCTAAACTAACTGCACATGGTGATCAAGTATATCATTGATCCTATCCTTATTTAATCAATTATACAAAAATTAATACTAATATGTGAAACCTGTCCTGATTAGTTATTTTGAAAAATTCTTCTGTTTTCTTGAAGTTGATGTATTTTTGATCATTTGGGCTGTTCTGAGGCAGGAGTGCTTTTGTAAAACAAGATTGTTACTTATGCTTTAATAACATTCATAAGATAGGGAATGGTTTATGAAAATGGAAGTACTGTTTACTTGTCATGTAACATCAGCTTAAATTTATTACAGCAGTTTTTTTTTTGTACGTAGGAAATGGCATGGAGAGAAATGAAGAAATCTGTTGTACACACCACCAGAGAGTACAAGGGCCGCCGTATTGCAGGTGATAGCGGAGTTGAGGTGGGTGGTTAACACTTTTGTTTGTATGTTGAGTGTTTCTTGTTTAATTATGCTTCCAGGTCAATCATGTATGTATGAAAGATTATGTAATGAGAATAATTAAATGGGCTTTTGTCCGTTTTTTAAGCATTCACAATTTTATTAGGCAAACAGATTTTAAGGGCTATTTATGTGTGTCTGTTGTTTTTATTGGTGACAGGTAAGACCATTTGATGATGATCATGGTTAAAAGAACAAATGACAAAATCTAAAAATTAGTGAAGGTGTTTTCCACTATTAAAGGGTCACCTTTTTCCCTATTAGGTCTTTCCTTGTGGTGGAGTCAAGCTGGGATACCTCAAAGTATAAGTGTGATCTTAATTTAGTTATATATATATATGCTTTCAGTTTTCAGTGGCAGTTGCTATTAATGTATTTATATTATTTGAGTTTCCCTACCCTCCCTGCAGGCTGTGGAAAGGTATTTGTTTTGGTGCATGGATTGATTTTCCTTGAAGAGATGCTTCTTATGACACTGTGCCTATACATGCAAGGCATCATAAAGGAGATATCTATCACCAGTCCCTAATGCAGATACCACTGTACAAAACCCCTCCTGTATATTTCATTAATTTTATTAAATGTATTTTTGGCAGATAAATAAGTAAGTTTCTATGAATGAAATGTATTTTGAATTATTGTGTAGTTTAAAATCGTGAAATTGTAATCTGTTGGCATGCTAGTGGATTTACAGCCAAGTGGTGCTTTTCTGTTGTAATCAGAACATGGTAAAGGTGTCATACATTCACGATCAAAAAATGCTAATTATGAATGATCATCAAATGGCCTTGCCCTTGATTTATTTAGAAATTTAGTGTGGTAAAACATGTTAACAGTTTAACCCATATCTGTAACATTTGATGGAAATGCATCATCATATATTTTGAAGAACTAAAAGTGGACTAGTGACAAACTGTTTGGGAATAAAAGTGCATTGTGTGTCATAGTAGTTTATATAAGGAATAGGGTAATTTTGATTGTGTGCATTCATATTAAATGTTTTCCTTTTTTAAAAGTATTTTATTATTCATTACATGCTTGTATGTAACACACATTTGGTGATAGTCTGCATATCCATTTTTGCCAGAGGCAGAACTGACACTTCAGCTTTTATTCAGCTTTTGCAATGTTTCAGGCTTTTTGTACTCCAAGCATGATATAATGTCATATTTAGCACTAAATTAGTTCTTGTGGTTTATCCAGTAAAACATTTAATTCTCTTTGTTAATTTGGTAATTTCAGGGTGGACAGAAGGAGAAGGAATGCATAGTCATGTAAACATTTACCATCCAAGGGTACAGAACAGGGAGTTTGTTATCTTCAACAGAGCACTGTAAAGTGGTATTTAGAATCACAATACGAGAACAAAAGTGTCAGAAAGAACTGCATCCGTCATGTCATTCAAGTGACCCTGTACTCAATATTTTGCTAATTTGGCAGGCAATCTAATGGCATTTTAGAAGAGAAATAATAACCAGAGGACTTGAGAAAGAGGGAATTCAAATTCTACAGCATTGTTAACAGTCATGCTTTCTAATGCTTGATAAAAATGAGACAACTTTTCGTGAGGATTAAGGATGGGAGGGCATTGATTGTGACTGAACTATGCTGATCTTAAGTTACCCATGTATACCATGGCAGTAACTAATGTTGTTTAATTACATTTGATAAGTTGCATTCCTTTTAGATTAGAAAGATCCTTAAAGTGGCAATATAATCAGAGTTAAAATTAAGTCATTACAAAGTGTCTTTCTCTATTCAATATCAGTTAAGCAAGGGAATTCCTTGTCAAATGATTGTTCACAAGGAGTGGTGTCCTTCGACCTTGTTGTTTTTTTTTTAAATCACAAATGAGATGCTGTATAGATTTTGAGTAGTGCTTAAATGAGATTGTCAGTTAAAATACCACTTGGAAGTGATATTTTAATAAAGTCAAACGTGCTTGATCATGCTTCATGCCACACTTTATGTGCTCTGTTTTCCTGTCAAGTATAGCATATTTTTTTAGCAGAAAACCTGTATGTAAGTGTAGAAGTGTACTTATCTGAGTCTTCGGTGTTTTTGCACCTGATGTTATTTTTTTTTTTAAAGTTTGAGTATGATTTGAGGTCCAGCAGTGGCCTTCATGTAATACCCAAGGGAGAGGCAAAGTACTTTTGATATTTTCTGATGTCAAAAATATTTTTTCTCGTCCTGTTAGATTGTTCAAAGGTGATGTGAAAAGATACTGTACTAACTTTGGGCCCCTTGAAAGTTGGCAAAATTCTTTCATTGTTGCCTTTTGAAGGGAAGTTTTATTGTATATGACAGCTGCATTAAAGCTGAAGTAGATTTTAGTACCCTTGTATTATGTTATTTTATTGTATGGCTTCTAGTCTGTGTAGATGCTGAAATTTGATTGTATAGTTATTATAGTATAGTAGATTTAGTTGGCTAAATGAATGCTCTGAAAAGGATTCTTGTTTTGTGATAATAATGCGTCATTACCAGCTCATTGATGTATATATTTAATATACTTTTTTAGTCTGTCCACTAGATTTGTGAAGAATTCAAGAAAATTGTATTTCATACAAGCAGGAGTACAACATAAGTGTGATTCATTCATTTTGGAAACTGGTTTAAAAACAAACTTGCAAAAAAAATTTTTACTAACTTTAAACACTTTGTTCAAAATAGCATGGCTGAGGCATCCTATTTAACTATAACTGAAACTGAGAAGAAAGCAGTTTGCTCAAGGAAATTTCTACATTGATATCTATTGTAGATATGTTCTATTATCTGATGAAACTTAAATTCATAGAAAGACGTTGTTTTGTCTCTGTTACTAAACAACACGGCTACATCACTGCCTTACTTGTATAGTGTAAACACTAGCTTGTAGGAATGCTGGTGTAAGGTTTTTTTTCTTTTTTTGCTTGTCCTAGTCATGTGCAATTTTGATACTATATATGATAACGTGTATGTTTAGAAATCTTAGAAATTAAAAAAATGAAAAACCCATAATCACAATTGTTGTTCCTTATTTGAAGTCACAATGAACATAAGACCTTAAAATAGCAATAAATAAATAAATAAATAAACAATAATAATTTTCCAGGAAGTTTTTCCTTTAATCACCTAAATGCACCAATGTTGCGTCTTGGACATAATTTGTCATTATGTCCAAGGTTGTGTTAAAATTCTATAAATCTGTTTTTGAGTTCTGCCTTATGATTGACCACATTCATAATATGAGGGCTGAGTTTATTAAAAGCCCAAATGCTGGTCTAAACTTGGATCAAGATATAAGTATTTGACCCAATATAAATTTGTAGTAGCCCAATTAAATGGAATATGATACCTGTTGTATAACAAAGAAAAAAAGATTCTTAAAGATACATAAAGCGAGCACAGATTTAAAGTAACACATAAACCACTTCTGCTAGTATGTTTGGATGTATAACTGCACTCCCAGTTGCATACTTTTTCAAATGTGACTAATGCTAGTATTTATAGCACAGATATAAAGCATAAAATTTGTTTATATATCAGTTTTCAGGAAATATGAAACCGTGCCCTTTGATATTTCTCCAAATTATACTACTTGAAACTATATGGTGGGATTTTGTGGCAAAATCTGACTTTATATGCATCTTTAATGTTTCAGGGGAATACGTTGAGTTTTTTGCATGAATAACTGGAATTTTCCTGATATGAAGTGGACAAATTGTCAGACTAAAATTTTGGACCCAATTTCAAGCTGTAATTTTTTTTTTTTTTTTTTTTTTTTTTTTTTTTTTTGGGGGGGGGGGGGGTTGTAACTAAACCCTGGAAAACTTTTACTCCTAAATTTAGAAAATAACATAGCCCAAAGACTTTCCTTTTTTTTAGATTGTGATATTCACAACTTCATTTCTTAGATGAGGTAAATACATTGGTAAAAATGGAAATTTGCTCAGGTTTTCAGGGAAAATTATTAACTTAAATCTCTATATTCTATTTATTACCCCTATTACATAGTATGCATTTAATCAAGGGTTCATTAAACTAGTCTTAACATGGGTTAGGTTCTAAACAAAATTTAGATTATGCATTTTCTGCTTTTCTCTAAAAGATCAATGTTACCATCCAGAAACTAGCAAAAATTATCTTTTTATTCTATTTTGATTGGCCTAAATTAAACCACGCTCAACAGTCACCTTGATTGGTAAATTAACAAACAAAAAAATATATAACGTTTTAGACAACCATTCTAGTTTACTATAAAAACGATCGAAACCTATTAAATATCTTAAACTAATTTCATAAAAACACTATTTAAAAAACTTCGACTATGCTTCTCTTGATATGCAGTGGCATCTTTTGTACGCTTGGTGAACTATGATGGCCTCTAAAATAAAGATTGTGTAGCATTTTGTTGCTTTGTTAAGATCAAATATTGCCTTCATAAAGAGTTGTTATTTTTATTACTAATACATACATCTGCAATACTCCTAATATGAATTGCCATGTACAAATGATGTTTTTATCTTTGAAAATATCACATCTATTCCGCACAGTGATAGTTTTGAGAAATACAATATGGCAGCTTCCATGGAATCTTACAGGCGGTGGAAACGCGCTACTTATATGATTAAGACGAGCCTAGCCGTCAGTACCGGATATTGTTTTGTGACCTTGAGGAGCAATTAGGTTTGGTCTTTGCGGCACGCATGAACAGTAGTCGAACTACCACACCTGGGTCTTTTGTTTTTGACAACTGTTCACTCGTCATCGAGGCGCTTGTTCAAGACTACAGGCTGATATCTACTAGTACTACCAGTGGCTTCATTAGTAACGTTCCCACAATACTTAGTTTTCTGTCTGTGCGTACATACCCTGAAAAAAGCCAGCCTCGCTGACGAGAACAATGGACGTTTCTCACCCCTCTCTAGGATTACCCCTGAATCTTACATCTCTAGGATTACCCCTGAATCTTAGGATTACCCCTGGTTTTGTATGAGGCTTGCTAAGTAGAGCACCCCTTGTATGTTTGGAAGGTTTAGGCGGGGTTAAAACGTATTTAACAAACCACAGATGATTCGATTCTAAGTAAGCCAATCGAGATAACTTATAGTAAAATCATCAAAAATACTTCGACTGAGCTGGACGAAATATTGCCTCAGTTTTCGGGCAAAACGTTACAAGTTCCTTGCTAGGTACTTATAGCAGGTAAGTCCTCATTCCACTTCCACCTTTTGTTACAAGTTTTCAAGACTAATAAACCACATCCTGGTGAAACTGCGTGTCCGTGACCGCACCTTTTAGTACATTTGGATTTTTATTTACATTTTATGCCCCTTTTGTGGAATCCTGCACCAAATTCCACATTGGTGTAATCATTGTTAGTGAGCATGATATTATCTAATTTGTGTCTGTTCTGCATAAATAATTATCATTCTCTGCAGAGGCCTGTATGTACCCCTGAGACAGATGCATATCACTGGTCAGTAAATATTGCACAACAATAAGTATGTAAATAAGTAGCAGCCACTGGCACGCATGGTTTCCCTGTAGATAATTAGTATAAAGTCTGCATTTTGTACATAATAAAGACACTTTAGATTTGAAACTGAAGATGTGAAATTGTTCTGTTATACTTCTCTGAGCACTTAAAGTGAAAGACTAAGTTGGATCTGAAGTCGTGCCGGTGCCCATAGACAATTAATTCGTTAATGGAAATTGTTACACTGAAATTCAGTATAATTATTTATTGGAGTGAAAGTCATCTTGAATGGTTCACAGCACTTTGTACATGCACCATTTTGATAAAGTTTGTATTTTTTTTTTCCATCTGTTTAGAGAGTCGAAAAACTACTACCACAAACACTCATCATTTGTTAATGTCATCATATCTAGCCTCAAGAATGTGTAACTCTGGGTGGAATGGGGCCTCACCTGTGTAATATGTAAGGTCATAAACTGAGGTAGGAAGTAATTAATTTATTAAAAGATAACGTTATATATTGTTATACATAAGGGATGGGGAGCTATCTTATTTATCCTGAACCTTATTGCATTGCAAATTGACAAACATTCTTATCTTGAATTTATGCCCTTTCATTTTAATGCTTGATTTATTTTTTTTTCCCATTTTTTATGTAGAACTGTAGAGAGAGTCTCACCTGAGCTGATACCTTAATCTGAATTTAATCAGCCTTAAAGGGATAATAACTCTTCGTTTTGGCCAAAAAATGAATTTTCCTGGAGTAAACAACAATTTCCCCATACTTGCCAATGGTTAATAAATCCATTTTTACATTCAAAGTTAGTCCCTGTTTTTTTTCTAAAAAGTTTGTTTTTTTGTTAAAATCTCTTAAAAGATTATAACTGAGTACAGCCATCAATGGGGGTCACGTGATCTGAAGACAAGCACAGATATCAGAATAATAGCTATAACTGCCGTTTTTGAGGTAAAACAGAATATATATTATATTTCTATGAGTTGTTCACAATGTTTATATTGTGAAATATAGATATCATACAAAGTTATTATCCCTTTAAGCACTCTTATTGCTATTGTTATATAATATAACAAATTTAAAAAGGTAAACATTATTATTTGGACCTGATTATTTGGACCTTTCTTCTCATATACTTCTTTTTGTGAGTTTTGTTAAATTTTGATCCATTTAAATGATTTCAGTCAACTCATATTTGCAAGTATTATCATTATGTATTTTTAGAGGAGCTAAAATGCAGTCTTATCATCCACCATGGCAACATAATAAATCACAGGAGCTTAGCCAGCCCCAGCAAACCAACCTAGGGATGACAAACATGCCCCTATCACTGCCTCCACCACAACAAGATCTTGCAAGATTCAGTACTCCCAGATGGAGTGGTTCACAACAACAGGCCTGGATGCAGTCTCCACCTGGGTATCCTCCTCCGCCTCCATTGCCTCTGTCTTTTCAACAAGGACCACCTCCTCCCCCCCAACAGCCTCAGCCACAATTAGATTTTTCTTATAATCAAGGAAAGTCTCCATCACCTAGTTTTCCTGGAGAATCATGTCCTAGGCCACCTTGGCCACCAGGCCATTCTGGGGGGAGGCCATATGCTGTTTCTCAAGGATACTCACAACCTATGAATAAGATAAACAATCCTCAGTTGCAAAGTAATTTACTGCCACCAGTTAGTCACACAATCATAAACCCATACCATTATCAGGACAAAGGGTCTACTTCATTTGAGAGACAGTATGGAATGTCAGATAATGAGAATTTTTTTGAGACCAATAGCATGCAGAGTAGACCAGAAGAAAATGCTGGTTTTCAACCTCATTCTTTAGAGAATGATTGTAAATCTGTAAGAGATGCTGACAGGGAATGGGTGAAGAGGTGGTTATCATCCAGATGTCCCGTAAAAAGTGAACAAGGTTCAGAGAAGAAAGTAATCAATGGAAGCGTTTCAGTAAGTTTTTTATAAATAAATATCCTAAAAAAAGTCCTTGTTGAATTGCTTAGTGTGGTTGATTTTGGCATAGCAATTCTCAGTAGATTTACTATATGATTAATTTTAAAAAATAATTCATGATTAATAGTCAATCAAAAATAATATTGCTGTTATATATATGATACTCATTCATATAGATTTAAAGAAAAATACAAACTATAATTCTTTAAGGGTTATGAATTTCAGTATTTCAGTAAGGCATATTGATGATTATGTGATTAATAAATAATGTTTTTTTCAGATCCCTGAGTACCAAGACCTTGTGAAATCAACCATCCTTATCTTTGATCAGCTGAAGTCTCAGCAGCAAAATCTGAGAGAACATTTACATGATGTTAATTTTGACTGGGAACAGAATTATGCTAAATCTCTGGAAACAAAAGTATGTGCTTGAGTATTCTCCATAAAATATTCATCAGTTGTATTTAAGAAGGTACATATAGTTACAGGTAGATCCAGTCAACATTGATTTCCCTCTTTAATGCTTTGGACCCTTCTCAAAACTTTGTGTTACTTATTTCCATCAGTCTGTTCAAGAAACTTAGATGATATATTTTATGAGATTTTTCTTTATAAGGGATATGGAAATGTGAAAAAATCTTCAGGAAGAAAATAGATCTTATAGAAGAAGAAAATAGTGTTGTGTTGCCCTTCAGAGGATTCCAACCAACATTGTTTGGTTAGTCAAAGATATTTCATATATGATTTTCTGTTTTAGTTGCAGCTGCAGAGATTGAAGGAGACCCTGTTAAATCCTAACTTAACAAAGGTTATTGCAAAAAAGATAAAAAGGGCAGAGAAAAGAAAGGTGGGAAAATTATGGTAATGCCTAAAGCAATGTGTACAATTAAAAGTAAATATTAAAGACTATTGAAATGTTAGATTGATGATATTAGATATTTTTGAAAAGCTATCAATGACATGTAATAAGTTAAGTGTCTTGTTATATTGATTTTATTTGCTCATGTCAGTTGAAATTGTAAGTCATAATTTTTTTGACTCCTAAACCATTTAGATCAGGAGAGAGAAACAAAAGAGAAGTGAAAAGTTATCCGAAGTAGAGGCGCTTAAGAGACGAGAGGAACTTCATAAACAAATTGATGCCTGGCAAAATGCTATTTATCAAAAAGATCAGGATAAGAAAAGGGTAAGATAATTATCAGTTTATGATGACAATAAAGCAAAACTTCACTTTTGTTAATTTACAAGTGAACATGTTAGTATTTTCTGTTAAATGAATATATCTCTTGATTAAGAGATAACTTTTTTTGTTTCATTTAGGCAAAAGATCTTAAATCAGCAGCAGATTCTATCTTAGGTGAGGTAAGAAAGAAGAACATAGAGGCACTTAAGGCCATTCAACTAGTTGAAGGTCTGCAGAAATTGAGAACTCTCAGAATGAAGAGAGCACACGAAAGAGGTGAGGAATTTATAGTATTATAGATTTGCTGAAATGATATATTACTGAAGAGCATATAAATGCATGGTTTAGATAGTTATTTATGTCACCAAAAGCAACAGCCAATCTAAATACCATGAAGTGCCAGCACTGGTAACAGGTCAGTTCTGTTATTTTGTTTTCAGGTCTTCATCCTCCAAAGGAATGCGATCAAGTTTTTGAAGACACAACAAAGACTCTTTTAGAAATGATGAACAAACAAAAAGAGACGTATGAAGCTGAACAGCGGACTTTAGAGGTTTTAAGAATATAGCATTCCATTTTGCCATAATAGTCAGTCTTTCACTCAGTTTCTTTGCTGCTGCTCAGCATTTTATATTTCCTTTTGTCTTATTTTTGTTCTCCATTGATACAATTGTGGTTGACTTTTCCCATGAAAGATCAAAATCTTTGACTATGAAAAGAAAATCTTTCTTACTGAAGTTAACTCATCAATATATTTTAGGTAATGTTGGAAACAGAACAAGAAGAAAACTTAGAAAAGGAGAGAGAAGAAGCACGTTTGAAAAAAGAAGTTCTTAAGCGAAAGAAGGAAAGAAAAATAAAGGAATGGCTCTTTGGAAAAGAAGGTTTGTTTGTAAACCTTATTTTGCATCACACATGACATCTGTTTTAAGTTCACTTTTAAGCAAGCAATTTGTTGAAGACTGATGTTTTGATAATGACAATTAATTGAATGTAATTCATTCAGCAAATCCAACCAGAGAATGCATGCAAGCCAAACTTGTTTTTGTTGAGTAGATAATATACTGCAAAATAGTGTATATGATTAATGATTTTTTTACAGTTCCTCTTCTTCCTGGCGATCTTCTTTATCCATTTAGACAGTATTATGATCAAGCAGAGAACAGTGTAGAATCTTTACTTCAAATAAGGTATGTACTAAATATTGTTTGTATTTAGGCGTTTGCATGATAATGTAGAAATTTTGACTTTGGTGATTGAATTTCTGACAGTGTTACACATTTTAATGTTTTGAATGATATACAAAGATAAATTATTTAATGCCTATGTGTTTGTCATATCAAGTTTTTGATATTTTAATTGGTAATGTGGTATACTTTTGCATTTTTTCGATGAAAACAATAACATAAGTGTATGCACTATTAAGGGTTTTGTTTACTGTGCCATTTTAAATGGCATACACGGATTTCCTTTCTGATATTTATTTCAAAATAACCATTTCAGACAACAGTGGGACAACTTCCTTGTGTCACAAGATACCCCAGGCAGCAGTCATCTGCCAGTGGGCTGGGTGATACCAAATGAACCAAGTAGTGAAACATGGGCTTCTGCATTGAGTTAACACAGGAGTTGCAACTGAGATGTTCATATGTTTCATCTGTTCACTAACTGCATGTGCATTCCCAATATTTAGGGTTAAGCACTACAGACAGCTAAGGACCAAGTACACCAAGCACACTTAACTGTCACCTTGATTCATTGATAAACCTAGTAAGTTTACCAAACATCAGATCATGCTCTAATCTGATACACCCACCTTTTATTTTTGAAGCTGCATCCTTTCATCATTCATTTGTAAATCTGATGTTTATTAACCTAGCAAGGTGACAGATGAGCATAACACCAAGCAGGGATGCTTGGATAGATGTTTGGTTATCTGCCATGAGATAGTACTATATAAATCTTGTTACCGGCAGTAATAATGTATGGAGATGGTGAGAGAACTGAATGGTTTATGAGCAAAGGACATTTGGGTTTCCAGCGTGGCATTGTAACCTTGGACTTATTTAATAGAGACTGAAGCATATACCCAAGATGTGTTTTAAAGGTTACTTTTGATCACTTTTAAAGCAGTAACAGACATCCTGGAAAGGTATGGTAGATCGTCTGCGTAAAACTTTTTGTTGCAATGTCATGTAATTTTTAATTTCAACTTTACTGTGGGTTGTTTTCAAATAAAGTATGATAATTATTATTATGAAAGCTTTGTAAAAAAAAGACCTGTACTTGTTGATAACTTTTCAAAACAATGGAAAATGTAATGCCATATAATATGTAACATTTTTATTTTTATATTCAGACACTGTATGTATATATTCTGATTGGTCTGTCCGTCCAAGTCGTCACCATTGCTGTCCGACACATGACTTTCACCCCATAACTTCCAAACTGCATTTTTGTTTTACTCTAAATTTACTGAGTGGCTTTGTTTGGTAAAGAGGCAGGTTGCTTTCAAAAATCAGCATGATCAGTACATTTAGGTTAATTAACTTGTTTTTTTTTCTTTTTGCATAATTTTGACGTTCACCCCATAACTTTCAAACTGTATTATTGTTTTACTTTAAATTTACAGAGTGACTTTGTTTGGTAAAAAGGCAGGTTGCTTTTGAGAATGAGCATGTTCAGTTTACATTAACGATAATTATTTATTTTTTCACACATTAGCATTTTCAGTGGCTTTAATATCCCATGAAACTGAATCACGTTAGTTTTTCAGTGTCCATGTTACCTGTAGTACATAATGTAAGAAGGTAAGAGTTGATTATGTTGTTTTAAAGCATTATGTAACAGTACATCAAAATTGACCAAAACATTTTGTGCACTTCTTTCTGCATTACATATGTATTAACATTTGACAGCTTTGCTGCCTCGTTTCCTATATGGTGTCTGTATATTTGCCAGCTTTGCTGTCTAGTTAAATAAACCCAAAAGTTTAAAAGTTCATAAATGAGAATTGTGTGATGCTACATTTAATAATTCAAGTTGAATGCAAATGGTTTGGGATGTTAAGCAAGTATAACATAAATAAAGCAAATCATAGACAACATTAAAATTTTAAACAAAAACAAATTTTATTCTAGAAAACACAATATATACAACAAATGTATTTCATAACATGTTTATCTTATATATTTGTGTCACAGCCTATAGTAAAAAGTATCAATCCCATAAACTAAGGACAAAATGATATCAATTATACATTATTGACTTTGAAAGTAAATATAAATATCCCAATCGCATAAAATTTAGCATACATTACTTACAGCAATGCTTGGGTTTAGCAATTATTTATTCACTATTACTTTTGAAATTCATTATAAATATCCCTTTGGCATAAGATGCAGCATTCTTGTAATGAACAGGTTCATGAAACATGTTTTAAAGTTGTGAAACTAAAATAATTGGCATTGATTGCAGTGGCATGGTCACAACAGAAAAAAAAGAAAAAGTGTACATGACCCGCATGTAACTAAAACACACTGATAAAACAACAGCTCACTTGTTAAGTTGATAACTTATTGGGAATCTACAAATCCCCTTTTCCCCTTCTGCAGTCAGTGTGTTACATTATTTTCAGGTCTTGCATCATCATACTATGCTGCATTTCTCACAAGTACTGGCCAGCGATTTTGTATTTTAGATGTTAAACAGGTATACAAAGCAGTTTTAGTTGGAATTGATACACTAAAACAGCACTTTCACAACATCAGACACTCTACACAAACAAGATCTATTTCAAATTCAACATAAAACACCTGCCCAGTATGTAGAAATGAGGAAATAAAAATCACATTTACATCCTGTGATTGTAACCTTGCATGTCATGTGACTGAGAAACTAACATAAATGAACAGGCAGGAAGAAATGTGGAAAATTGCTTAACCTACTTTCCATTGGTGAAGGCCAAGTGAGAAGGCATACCACCGGACTGTCCTAATTTAAAAAGTAAATGCAGCGGTCGCTTTGAAGAAAAAAACCTTTTAAGCACATAAGAAGGATAAAAAGAAGGGAGTATGACAAAAGTAGGATAATAATAGAGAGGGCGACGGCATGTCAACAGACGTAAATGTGACATTAAACATTCAGAGACCTTGTACTGAAATAACTTTGAATGATGCAATAGCTTGTTGATCTGCAATGGTTTGATCTGGTTAGGTAACCAGATAGTAGGCGTAGTAAAATTTGCCTGTGCAGTGAAAGAGAATGGACAGAAAATGAAGTTAAAATGGTGTTTTGACCAATAATATACTTATCTCATGGTGAGGACTTTTAAGATAAATAATCTTAGACACCATTCTTATATCATCTCAACAATATGATAGCAGTCTTCCTCAATTTGTATGCCCCTTTAAACAGGCATCAAACCATCTATGAAATGTGATCCCTTTTAATACTAATCAACCGTGAAACTGAAAAATTAAACTTGATAAATAGAGGTTACACCTGTAATTGTTTAAATTTATGCTGTAAAATAATATTAAATATTTCTTAAATGTAGCAGATATTATACAGTATATTAACTCTACTGAATATTCATATGGCAGTTTCAAAATAATGCAGTTAAAAGAACGTGCAGCAATGTTTCTTGTATTATTGCCACACACTAGCATAGTTTCCCCAGAGTCCAGCAGGTAATGGCCCTCCTGCAGTGAACAGTTTTGTACCAGATGCATCATAGCAATGTGTGTATATGGCATTGGGATATTCTAAATCCATGAAGAAGTCTCGATAGGCATCATCATGACGCTGAAAATAATTTTAAAAAATTATATGTCATTTGTATAGTACATGAAGTAAGTAAAACTGAATACTTGCTTCAACTTATGATTTGGGTAGACACAGATGATATGATTATATTCATCTTTTAAAGATGTTACTTGAAATCCTCATCTATCCTAAACATTTACATACACAGATGCAAAACACCATTTGTGTGTGCTTGCTACCAAGACTGACATACTTTGAAGTTTTGTTGTGTTAGTTTACTTGGTTGCATACATAATTTTAATTTACGTAAAGAAGTCGACATATAGAGAGGGTAATGCATATATTGTATTAAGAAAAAAGCTAAGTAATTCATACCAGCCATCCCTTTCCCACATTCAGCATACAGGCATGCCCACAGTTACACTGTAAATATTTGCCTGTCCTAAGATCATAGAACAGCACAGCACCAGCTCCTGTTCCTATGGTTACTACAGATTCATTAAAACTCACTGACCGTATTCCTATATGGAGATAAAAAAAAGACATTCTTTTTATTGATGTATTTGGTCAGCAAAAATCCTTCAATCTTTTGTAGTTTATTAACTAACAAGAACCCATGAAATTTCACTTGCAAGTTGCTGGCAGATCCAGTGTTTTTTATCATTACACCATACATCTAATACAATACAACAGAATGCAGAGACTGAGTGTGTGTTACTTGCCCCCACCCTTCCTCACAGGTTATTTTGGTATATAACCATCGCTTAGATAAGTTAGAACTTACCACATCCCCTCTGTCTTGACAATATGGTCAGACTGTTTTTCATAGTTCTAGGATCTATCAGAGTGACATGTGACTGTGACCCAACTGCATACAATGTCCTCTTGTTACAAAAAGACATACATACATTCTCTCTTGTATAGGACAATTTTCTGTAATTTTTCTGGAAAAGAAAATATGCCATTAGTTTAATATATGTATTTCTTTTTGCGTTATTTAAGTCTAATATTACTTAATAACTACAACAGACATGGTTTTGGGCTGTAAGAAAAAAGGTAAGATAAAATGGTTCTATGCCTTTATGACAGCTGCTAGATTTTACTGCTTACACAGACATTAAACATGCCAGTGGTCAACCTGGACACTGATTCTTCTCAACTCATCAAACATCTGGGTACATCAAAATACTTTCTAAAATTCTCAAGGCTGCAAAATTTCGAAAGCATGTCTGCTGTCATTGGAAATATTGGTCACTTTCTGAGGAAGGCCATTCAAATGACTCCTCTCTTGTTCATGGAACAATATACATTCCCCCCATTAAAACTGGTTTTGCACCTATTGTCAGTAACTAAGAGCAAGACCGGTTAATCCGAATTTGCAGATGTTGAAAAAATAATAACAAAAGAGCTTTAACCAAATGCTATTAAAATGAAATAATCTCAATCTTTATCTGTATCATAATAAAGTATACTTACTATCTGATGCTCTGAACTTACTTGTGAAAACCTTACTGCATCCCATAGATGTATGTATCCATTTAATGATAATGCTGCTATCTCCTGAAAAGTGTAAAAAAACCCTTCAAGACAATGATCATGTGAGAATGCATGCTGGGAACCATTTATTGGTCATTAAACAATTGTTTATTTTCATGCATAAAACATTTAAACAACATGAATAATCATTATATTAAGCTAATGGCAGTCTATAACAATACAGCCAGTGGGGAAGGGTTTAAATGTCATAAATTAGAAACTAAGCTTGCAAACCATTTACAAAGTACAATCAAATGATCACTGAAATTTACCTGATCTCTTTTGTTATAAGCCAGTGCCCTCACTTTCTCTGCTCTCCTACACTGCCTCACTGCCACTGGCTTAGAAATTACATATTCTGGCACCTGTAAGCTTTTTAACTTAGAAACACTGCCATCATCATCATCTTTAACCTGCCATAATGCCATTTTACTATCCCTAGATCCTAGAATATATAGAACAAGTAGTTAAACAGGGTTGATAAAGAATTGAAAAGACAGCTTAGTATTATTTACTTTATTAACAGGTGCAATTTGATTACAATTAATATTATTAAATCATATTATTTTTAAAAATTACATCAACCTGAGTATAACTATGTCCATAAACTTTTCTGACACCTGATCTTGACATATCTAAAAACTCACCTCAATTAAGTAAATCGTTATTCACAGAGATCAGTCATATTTCATATACATAATACAGCTGAAGTAAAATCAGCTACAAAAAAGTTTACTTATCAATTTTGGATTTTACCTGTGACTAAAAATTCATCATCTAGCCATTTGATGTCAAATATCCAATCATCATGCCCACACTAGAAAAGACAAACAACAATCACTGCAAGGTTTAAGCACTGGTAATAGTGCAGGATCTGCACACCAGACTAGTGACAATATTGCATTACATACTAAAAGGTAGTCTATAATAATAAAAATATTCCATACAAGTTGCTAGTTGTTTGCCTCAATTTACAATTTAGCTCAATTTTCATAATGAACTAAGAGAAAACGTTTTTTTTTTTTTTTGCCATAATGTATAGCATCAAGTACATTATGCATGTGCATGAATGTTTTTATGTCAATGTTGAGAAAAAAATTATTACCTCTCCTAGGAAAACTGGATCAAATGTTGGCAACCTGTAAACAGCTAGATCATTTGTGTGATCTGCCCCTGTGGCTATCAGAGTGTTTGATGGATTGATGGCAATACTGTGAATCCCACATGGACAGTCGGCCTCAATACTCTCGTCACTACTTTTAAGGCTTGGTATTGTACTCATCTGGCACGTCTGGAGATCCAATACTATTATCTACCAGAAGAAAGAAGTTGGGAAAGGTTAAGCACATTCAAGTATTAGAACAGATATGATATTTATTTATTTAATTCGTTATTTAATAAAAAAATCTATTTTTTCAATCTTGTTTTTTTTTTTTCAAAAAATGAACTTTTAACCAACTAATACAACAATTCAAATATAAATGGACTACTGGCAGAATTTCAAATGTTGACTTATATTATAGCTGAGAGTTATCAATATTAATATATAAAATTAGAACTCTAACCTTATTGCACTTTGTTCCTACTACTACTTGTCTATCTGACAGCCACTGTGAGGTAAAAACTTTATTTATCGTTCCTAGATTGTATTCCTTTTCTTGAAAAAGTCCTGGCATCTGTTGGGCTAAAAACCTGTTTGTCAAATTATCTGGGTTGCCCTTGTATAAACCCATAGGCCTATATTGAGTGTATCGAAAAATATCCATCTTGAATGTGAATCAGCTGCCTGTAATAATATCTTTCTCTTCAGAAAATTAATACTGGAAAAGAAAAAGATATTACAAATTAACATGCCGTTGTATTAGCAAATAAGACAAAGCTGAATTTTGTGACTTTTCCAGACAATATATATTGATGGTTATACATGAAAATTATCAAACATCGAAATATTTTTGTACCGTTAGCTTACGGCCAACCTGGTCGAAGGCCTTCATCCGACTGATGTGAGTAGATGTTCTCACTTACTGACTGTTAGGTGGTATAGCGGACAGGACCCTCTTATAAATGTCAGGTAGATCAACCCCTCTCCCCCACCCCCCCATCCCTATTCATGGGTGGGTGGTGATGGCTGATGTTGATAGCCTCTCGTATTTTTCGCGGGACCTAGCGGTCAGTGAGTGTGACATCTATTCACATCAGTCTGATGAAGGCCTTCGACCAGGTTGGCTGTAAGCTAACAGTACAAAAATATTTCGGCTTGTGTTTGATAATTTTCATGTATGAATCAACTACCAAGCTAATGAACATTTTTGCTCATATATTGATGGTTATTTTAAAAATGTATTTGGTTTCAACATAAAAAACAGAAAATGGTGATCTCTAAACTAAATATACAACTAACTATTGTCTTAAATAAGTTTTTACATTTTGTTAATACTTTGAATCCCAACATGGCTGCTTTCAGTACATTTTACATACATTTACAGTAGCAAAGGTCTCAATTCAGGCCTCAAATTTGCTTGCCTCCAAATAAAAAGTTAGTCCTTAATCATGGAGGCTTGTTCTGCAAAAACATCAGTTCATTTTCCTCCCATGAGACTAGCATAAAGGAAATATGCTATGCAGCCAAAGACAATCAACAAAATGCTACTGGCTGATGGATTTGGTTGAAGTAAGCCTGCATAAAATGAAAGAATCTACATTATTACGTACATTCATTTGGTGTTCGTCATTAATAATGGTTATATATATATAAATTTTGATCCTGCCATATTCCATTTCTCCTCAATCTTGACATGGAGCCATTCATCCCAAAGTAAAATCTTGTCATTACATTAAAATTGACTTCAGTACTGAAGGAAACAAATCAGTTTAGAAGATCTGAAGAAATCACCCCATTCAGCAGATACTTTTCTGAAAGAATAGCAGGGGTACAAAAGAAGAAGATCTGTTTTTTTTTTATTCAGGTCTGTTTTCATAGAAATAACTGCAACTGCTATTCATCATTATTGCAACACAATGCATTTAATGCAAAGATGAAACATTAATGCAGTTTTCTTTCAATGTTGTCACTAGAGTCTTTTATCATTGTTGACCTCTACTGTTCCACAGATTAGGTACCATGGTAGTTGTTACTGTATTCAACTCTCCCAAACTTAGCATGAAATTCATGCATAAGCACTCCTATTGACAATTGACCTCTGCATTGAGCTAACACATGGAAACAATGCTGATGGAAAAGCTGGTTGGTTTTACAGGACTGTGGGAGTTGAGGAGATGAGAGGTAAGATAAAAATTTGAGAGCTCTGGCAATGTGTCTGGTTTGGAAACTGATTCTTCATTTTACATGCACTTTCTGGGGTCTTTCCATTCGAGTGTTAGCTTAGATATTAAAATTGTCAATGGGAGTGTTAGCGCATGAATTTCATACTATCCCAAAATGTGCTTTATAAAAAAAATATAGCAGGGATGTAGCAAATGGTTTGGATTATTTATTACTTTTAGATCAATCTGTGCTATATATAGAGTAATGTCACAAGAAAATATTTTGAACGGTGCAAGATTCATCTCTCAAAGAGCTGCTGCGTTTCAATAATGCACAAATGACAATGAAAGATACTGAGTAAGACTATTTGTAGTCTTAACACATATGATATATTAATGGCAAATACGTAGACTTCTATGCTACTTATCAAATCAAGTGGCATCAGAGAAATGCGTCAATTACCTTAAAATATGACTTGCATTTGTACAGAATACTTACTCCAAAAACTCTGCTTGTGATTTAACCAATCAGAGAAATATGAAATAATACTATCTCCTCATTTTGGCTAGCGTATTACAGGGACGCAAAAAACTGATGCTTCGGTGACCTGTTGGAAACCACTTCCGTCCAATGTGCGCATGCGTGAAAAGGCCACCAGCTTACTCAAGAAATTCTGAATGGGCGTTCTTTCTCTTCTTGTTACATATGATAAAAGATTATAACTCTTCATTGCAGGGGCCTTACTAGGCCTTTAGAAATTGTACCCACAAATTTTCATAATCCTCGGATCCAAACAGCTTAATTGTAACATTTGGAAAGTCGGGGAAGTCACCGCGGGAGCGTTTAAGCCTAGGCCTACCGTATGCGTGCACGTGAAAACAGCTGGCGCAAAAGGGCATTATTATACAGATTAAAATAAGTTATTTAATGACAGGCTTTTTAAAACTAAACTAAACTAAAACTTTTAAACGGATTAGGCGTTTACTAAGAACACCCGCAGATCTTTTAGCACTAAAACCTGTATTTACCACATAATCCACAAATTAACCAGCGCTACCAGAGCGGATCAGTGTTAGTCCATGATAGGTATCGCTTTGTTGGTGCTAAGCAATTGTACGATGTGTTGGTTAATACATGGGCGTTAGTGCTAATATATCTGCGGGTAATACGTGTAAATAAAGGTTTGATCCGTTTAAAAGACCTCAACGACATGCATCTATGAAGATCTAGGCCCTATTAACTTGAAAGATGTAGGCCTAATATAGGCCTATCCTAGCTTTCGGCTGTGCTATGCCTTCTTCACAGGGATTTAACACATAACCAACGTCACGCACCCTAGAAGTATGGTTGTTTACCATGTTTGCCGAAGAAAGCCTAGGGGCCGAAAGCTTGGATAGGATAAAAAAATCTTTATAGTAGATCTTCATAGATGCATTATTATGATAGCATTTAATATATAGGCCTATTATAAAGATCAATACGGTAAATTGATATGAATGTTCATAGTATACAGATTAAGTCAGATTACCACTATAACTCTTTATTTGCAGGGACGTAATCAGACCTTTAGAAATTGTACGAATAAATTTTCATAAACCCCAGGTACAAGTCAAATTTACCTTTCTGATTTTCAAAGTTTATGAGCTGTGACTTCTCAGCAGTTCTCCTTTACCAGTCATGGCTGAACATTCAGAACATTGCCCGCATTGCATGCTTCAGGTGACACCACGAATGTTGTTCTCTTATAGGTCCAGTAGGTCTGATAGGCGCAGACCTTCCAAATCTCACAGATTTGCCGTGAGAATCACCAAATACGCAAAATTGCAAGCGAATGCTGGATAAATAACTGAAATAACGGTATTGCCGATGTGAGGAACAACATGGCAAGCTCCAGCAACAGGTTTGGATACCTTCCATAGAGTCTTTAAGCTTTCATCTGCAAAATTTTCATTAGGAAAGTATATGATTTAAGCTTCTTTCATTGTCTTGCATTACACGCATCTTTCTTAATATTGTGCTTTTTTATTACAAGGGAAGGAAATTAAAATATAGGCCTATCTCATTTGACAGTGCTTTGTTGCAATCCCACTGATAAAAAAGGAACTTCTGACAGTTGGATCCATGGGGTTGGAGCAAAGCGGGGAAATGCCCTTATTTCACCTGCTGAAGAACCCACTTTTAAATTAGCATCTGAAGTACCCATTGCTGTTCTATACTGTACTTGAACGAAACAAGGCATGTGCCCCGCCTCATCTTAGCAAAATCGATCCTGGAACCGCTAGAGTACACGGGAAGTATTTTGACACCGTACTTGTGTGGGAAGACGGACATACCCAGTAAGAGAAATCAGCTGGGTAGACAAGTGAAAACAGTTAAATATATTTTGCTTCCGATTCCAAGTAGAAAAGTAGTCCAGCTATAGGCCTGTTGCTCTTCATATTAAGCATAGGCTTACCATGCCCTCCACCAGGGTGGCAGATATTATAGGGAAATCTTGAAAAAGCCATAGAATGAAATGACTGTCTATTTATCTAAAGACATATCTGTGAATATCTTGTGAAAAAATCAATCTGTCGCCCTGGTAGAGGGTAGGCCTACCACTACCAAAAACAGCATATAATGTGCACTAAAGCGTGACATATTGATGAAATAACGAAACGGTGAAACATTTAAAACTTCAATTGAGAATTGATTATTTTAATAATTTTAATAATTTTAATTCAAAATTAAAAATTGCTAAAAGAAGTATTTATACCTTTCGATTACAGTGGATGGTTGGACCGCCGATAGCCTGAGCGTATGCTAGTGTTTTGAACATGGGGGGGGGGGGGGTNTTTCCTCCCATGAGACTAGCATAAAGGAAATATGCTATGCAGCCAAAGACAATCAACAAACTGCTACTGGCTGATGGATTTGGTTGAAGTAAGCCTGCATAAAATGAAAGAATCTACATTATTACGTACATTCATTTGGTGTTCGTCATTAATAATGGTTATATATATATATATATATATATATATATATATATAAATTTTGATCCTGCCATATTCCATTTCTCCTGAATCTTGACATGGAGCCATTCATCCCAAAGTAAAATCTTGTCATTACATTAAAATTGACTTCAGTACTGAAGGAAACAAATCAGTTTAGAAGATCTGAAGAAATCACCCCATTCAGCAGATACTTTTCTGAAAGAATAGCAGGGGTACAAAAGAAGAAGATCTGTTTTTTTTTATTCAGTTCTGTTTTCATAGAAATAACTGCAACTGCTATTCATCATTATTGCAACACAATGCATTTAATGCAAAGATGAAACATTAATGCAGTTTTCTTTCAATGTTGTCACTAGAGTCTTTTATCATTGTTGACCTCTACTGTTCCACAGATTAGGTACCATGGTAGTTGTTACTGTATTCAACTCTCCCAAACTTACCATGAAATTCATGCATAAGCACTCCTATTGACAATTGACCTCTGCATTGAGCTAACACATGAAACAATGCTGATGGAAAAGCTGGTTGGTTTTACAGGACTGTGGGAGTTGAGGAGATGAGAGGTAAGATAAAAATTTGAGAGCTCTGGCAATGTGTCTGGTTTGGAAACTGATTCTTCATTTTACATGCACTTTCTGGGGTCTTTCCATTCGAGTGTTAGCTTAGATATTAAAATTGTCAATGGGAGTGTTAGCGCATGAATTTCATACTATCCCAAAATGTGCTTTATAAAAAAAATATAGCAGGGATGTAGCAAATGGTTTGGATTATTTATTACTTTTAGATCAATCTGTGCTATATATAGAGTAATGTCACAAGAAAATATTTTGAACGGTGCAAGATTCATCTCTCAAAGAGCTGCTGCGTTTCAATAATGCACAAATGACAATGAAAGATACTGAGTAAGACTATTTGTAGTCTAAACACATATGATATATTAATGGCAAATACGTAGACTTCTATGCTACTTATCAAATCAAGTGGTATCAGAGAAATGCGTCAATTACCTTAAAATATGACTTGCATTTGTACAGAATACTTACTCCAAAAACTCTGCTTGTGATTTAACCAATCAGAGAAATATGAAATAATACTATCTCCTCATTTTGGCTAGCGTATTACAGGGACGCAAAAAACTGATGCTTCGGTGACCTGTTGGAAACCACTTCCGTCCAATGTGCGCATGCGTGAAAAGGCCACCAGCTTACTCAAGAAATTCTGAATGGGCGTTCTCTCTCTTCTTGTTACATATGATAAAAGATTATAACTCTTCATTGCAGGGGCCTTACTAGGCCTTTAGAAATTGTACCCACAAATTTTCATAATCCTCGGATCCAAACAGCTTAATTGTAACATTTGGAAAGTCGGGGAAGTCACCGCGGGAGCGTTTAAGCCTAGGCCTACCGTATGCGTGAAAACAGCTGGCGCAAAAGGGCATTATATACAGATTAAAATAAGTTATTTAATGACAGGCTTTTTAAACGGATTAGGCGTTTACTAACAACACCCGCAGATCTTTTAGCACTAAAACCTGTATTTAGGCCTACCACATAATCCACAAATTAACCAGCGCTACCAGAGCGGATCAGTGTTAGTCCATGATAGGTAGCCTATCGCTTTGTTGGTGCTAAGCAATTGTACGATGTGTTGGTTAATACATGGGCGTTAGTGCTAATATATCTGCGGGTAGTACGTGTAAATAAAGGTTTGGTCCGTTTAAAAGACCTCAACGACATGCATCTATGAAGATCTAGGCCCTATTAACTTGAAAGATGTAGGCCTAATATAGGCCTATCCTAGCTTTCGGCTGTGCTATGCTTTCTTCAGGGATTTAACACATTACCAACGTCACGCACCCTAGAAGTATGGTTGTTTACCATGTTTGCCGAAGAAAGCCTAGGGGCCGAAAGCTTGGATAGGATAAAAAAATCTTTATAGTAGATCTTCATAGATGCATTATTATGATACCTTTTAATATATAGGCCTATTATAAAGATCAATACGGTAAATTGATATGAATGTTCATAGTATACAGATTAAGTCAGATTACCACTATAACTCTTTATTTGCAGGGACGTAATCAGACCTTTAGAAATTGTACGAATAAATTTTCATAAACCCCAGGTACAAGTCAAATTTACCTTTCTGATTTTCAAAGTTTATGAGCTGTGACTTCTCAGCAGTTCTCCTTTACCAGTCATGGCTGAACATTCAGAACATTGCTCGCATTAGGAAAGTATATGATTTAAGCTTCTTTCATTGTCTTGCATTACCCGCATCTTTCTTAATATTGTGCTTTTTTATTACAAGGGAAGGAAATTAAAATATAGGCCTATCTCATTTGACAGTGCTTTGTTGCAATCCCACTGATAAAAAAGGAACTTCTGACAGTTGGATCCATGGGGTTGGAGCAAAGCGGGGAAATGCCCTTATTTCACCTGCTGAAGAACCCACTTTTAAATTAGCATCTGAAGTACCCATTGCTCTTCTATACTGTAGGCCTACTTGAACGAAACAAGGCATGTGCCCCGCCTCCTCTTAGCAAAATCGATCCTGGAACCGCTAGAGTACACGGGAAGTATTTTGACACCGTACTTGTGTGGGAAGACGGACATACCCAGTAAGAGAAATCAGCTGGGTAGACAAGTGAAAACAGTTAAATATATTTTGCTTCCGATTCCAAGTAGAAAAGTAGTCCAGCTATAGGCCTGTTGCTCTTCATATTAAGCATAGGCCTACCATGCCCTCCACCAGGGTGGCAGATATTATAGGGAAATCTTGAAAAAGCCATAGAATGAAATGACTGTCTATTTATCTAAAGACATAGGCTATCTATGAATATCTTGTGAAAAAATCAATCTGTCGCCCTGGTAGAGGGTAGGCCTACCACTACCAAAGACAGCATATAATGTGCACTAAAGCGTGACATATTGATGAAATAACGAAACGGTGAAACATTTAAAACTTCAATTGAGAATTGATTATTTTAATAATTTTAATTCAAAATTGTTAAAGAAGTATTTATACCTTTCGATTACAGTGGACGGTTGGACCGCCGATAGCCTGAGCGTATGCTAGTGTTTTGAACATGGGGGGGGAGTCATCTGAAAATGATACAATTGTAACACACAGTCTACAACACAGTTGACAACAAACGGGAATAAAATTTTCTTATTTTCTAATATATATGGTATGAGATGTGACAACGTGTTCGTTGCATACAAATTACGTAACCCAAGAATTAAAGGATTATACCGTTATACTCATGATCAGTATGCACGCAAGCAAGGCTTGCTATTTGCCGATGCCCAGGCAACGTATCCTTTCAGTGCTTGCTACTGTACTCATTGATTATGTATTTATTGATCAAGACCATAAGTGGTTCGAATGATCCTATAAACATTCCATCTGTTAACCGATTATCAATAAGCTTTCAGTTTAATGCTAAACACGCCTGCTTTGGCAACGGGGTTTGAGGAAAAACAGATAAGCAAAGGGAAAACAGGACCTAAATATTTTTTATGAATATCGTACCCCCCAAAAACTCCCAACAGTTTTTCATTGTCAAGAAATCGGCACGGTTTTTGCCGGTTTTTACACGTGATGAATTATTGTTTATACCTTTCAATACCGTTGAATATTTTTGTCTCTCTTTTCTGTTTTCAAATGGCCTTTAAAGACCTTAGATCTCAAATGATACGTGCTTTTTTAGCAACGCTGTTGCATTAAGTGAAAAGGTAAAGCATTAATGTACCGTTCAGAAGGCTAGTGACATTAGATTAAAAAAGGTGCAAAAAGAGGGAGGAAAAACGTACACTAGTGAAGGGATGGGATTTTAGGTGTTTGACAGAAAAACTGCTGATGGTGCCAGGAATTTCATAATTTGCTCTATCGCCCAAACATTTCTCTGTCTCACAACTAATTAACCGACTGTTGCCATTTAGCATTCGAAGATAACATTGTTTGCGAAACGACTTCCCATGATATCATAAAGTGAAATTAATAGAAAATCGCATCCCGCAAGATGTATTTCATCTATTTGTTTGTCGTAGTACTTCACCTATTTATTGTCGTTGTATACGTGATAATGTAGTCTTATACCACAGGAAAATATAAGCAGCTTCCGTGTTTCTACATATTATATGAAATCATATCTGTGCTCACTACCAAGGAGCATACGTTAGTCTCAATATATATATATATATATATATATATATATATATATATATATATATATATTCGTGATCGTACAGCAAAATCGCGGTGAAACGCAAGGATGGACTAATTGTATGACTCTGTGACATGCGTGGTTACCATGGTTTCCTGGGCTCTATTATCACCTACCAGCACGTGCATAGGCCTATATACGGACGCACCAGGTGCTTAACGCACTTGGTAATTGCATGTGTCATTTGAAGAGGAATCTAATATAGGCAGTGAGAGGCACACACACAGCAATATGTAGCATGTTGTCTGTCATCTTGCTCATCAACTGGGTATTATAGCAAGTTCATATTAAAAGATATGAACTATTCAGATTCGTCGGCATATATTCGCAACGGGAAATCTTAGCACTGTTTTTGCCACTGAATGAAAGCAGACGACATAAATTAAATGGCGGACGGCTACGAATTTACTATAACGTTTAAGGGATCTGAAGCCCTCTTCCACGCGGGTGACAAGATTCAAGGTTATGTAACATTGAAATTGACGGATATGTTAGCCATTAAAGGTATGTGGTATACGTAATCTAAGACGGTACTTGTCGACTGTGGCAATATAATGATTAATGGAAAAGGAAACTCTAGGTCTGTACCTATATTTCTTGTTGACAGCAGAGTCGTCTTCGAACTTCGCGGCGCATTTGACTCATGTGATAAAGTATGATTTTCCAATTTTGTTTTTGTTTTTATGTCGGTCTAAGAAATAAAACTGGCTTAATAACCCCAACAAAATATAATAGTCAAAATGAATGTTTTGCAATTGCCTAGTAAATATTATCTCCATGTGCTCTCTCTTTTCTATGTAATATAGGTAATGATCCTCTGTTCATGCTATCAATGTCGATGACTGTCCTTTCTTTGTATTTAGAAATTTCCGTAATGAAAATGGGCAGAAACTATTATGCTATTCGAAGATTGACGAGATTGAGCACTTATTGGCTTACCGGCTGCAGTATTCACGTTAATTATGGAACTCAGAAAATGTAGGCCTTTGGTCATGTTTGAAGCATTTTTGTTCAGTGACATGTAGATTTCTTTGTCAGTTTAATGCGGGTAGTGTAGTATCTACTTTCCTCGATTCCACGATTTTCACGATTCACTGTAAAATGTGCAGTTGCACATCAGCTAGGGAACAAGCAAAAGAATATTCAAAAGGTTATAGTCTTGTTATCAGAATTTGATAAAGATGTACATTAGGTAGTATCAGCCTGCTTTTCGAGTAAAAATGTCAAATTGTGCCATAAAAAAGAGATAGCTGATTTTGCAAAGTATTTTTTTTTTTTTTGCTGGCAAATCAAACGACTTCACAATACATCATACTTAATTGATTATAGTTCGAATTGGTTTGCGCCTTCCACTGATGTACAATACATAGATGCTTCGATCTGATCGTCTTTTTTCATATCTATATGAGCTTTCTTACGTTTGAAACATCTCAGTCTATGTCAGATCATGGAATGGGTATTAGTATAGTCAGAATTACTTCCTCTGGAAGTCAACTGAAGCATTTTGCCAATTGGTTTAATTTGCAAAGTAGGCCTATACCAGACTACGTGATTTATACAGTTTAATATGCATCTTCTTGGACGAATAGGTTAGACAGTTATATCAGCTTATTTGTTGCAATTGCATTATGATGGAATGTAATGCACTGATTATGGTAGAAACCTCTATGGATGATAATGCGTCAAAATTAAGATAGAATAGACATGGTGAAATATTCAGTATCCATTTTATATCACAGCTATGGTAGTTTATTTTTCGTGAATGCAAAGCAACCATAATTACCTTGCTAAAACATTTTTGTTCCTCTCGCCCTGTGTTCGGGAGGGCCAATCTTTCTAAGAAAAGTCATTTACACAATAAATTATCCATAGGTATCGAATTAGTTTTATATGGCTATGGGAAGATCTTCTGGAAGCAACAGTCAGCTGCTAAAGGAGACAACAGCCAAACGAATTATGAAGCGTCTGAGACTTACCTTGCAGAGCACCTCTGGCTTTGGGGAGATTGTAAGTGTTTTGTGCTCTCTCTCTCTCTCTCTCTCTCTCTCTCTCTCTCTCATCATGTACTCCTATTCACTTATACACATTCTCCTAGTTTTACTGAGGTTTGGCTTCTGTATTTTCTGTTTCCTAAAATGTGTACTGAATGGAAACGTTAACCTCCAAGGTTGCAATGATATTAAAATTTATTTCAAGTGAAGCTTTACCTGTTATATTCAATATCTCTAATATTTTAATTTCAGCCCCATCGGGTTTTGCAGTCCCCGAAGTTCTCTCCGCTGGTACCCACGATTTTCCATTTAGTTACGAATTGCCATCAGACTTGCCTTGTTCTTTCACTTCACAGCATGGCCGGATCTCCTATAGTGCCAGTGCTATACTCTGGATGCCCAATAACATGAAGTTGAAAACTACAGCACCACTTTTGATCCTAAAAGATCTAGATCTAAGCATGGAGCCATTTGTATTGGTAATGTTATGTAATGTATATGCCCCTGCTAACTTAGTATCTTACTTTCGTTTGGTTAAATTGACCATTTATTTTCATAATCATGTCAAAATGTTTTTTTTTTTTCATTTGACAGGGCATTGTTTATCGTTGGAAGATACTCAAAAAATTGATAGATGTACTGTTTTGCGAATTTACACAATTTACACACCAACACTATTATTGGTGAAACACAATACAAAGACCGTAGGCGTTAAAACGCAGCAGATCCGATTTTTCAATTTGTTTTCAGACACGATTTTTGTGTGTCATGTTCTGTACTGTATATGTATTCATTGTCAGGACGGTATCAAAGATGCCAAGGACGTGTCTTGGGAAACGGCGTGCTTTACGTGTAGGCTGATGAAATGTTGTGCAAAAACAGATCGAAACGGGTTCGTGCCAGGAGAGGTCATTCGAGTTTGGGTTCAGGTGGATAATCTCACTTCAACCAGAGTTTACGTGCGAGGATTATCTGTTGAGCTAAAACAGGTAAAAGATAATACTAGATACTTCTGTTCAAATGGCGCGTCAGTTAAATTAAACCTGTAACTGTATTCTGTATTACCTAACAAATTTTAGTAAAAGTCTTTGCCCATACTTTTTGTCAATTTTTGAAACATAATTTCCCTGTAGGCCCCATGTTGTGATATGACTAACAAATAAGACGAGACAATACTTCAGCTGCATCCATTTACTGTCATTATATTATGAACATATACCTATGACTAGAATATCTTTGATATCTGCATTATTCATGCTATGCAATGGCTTATTTATATTTTATGTATCTTGTAGATTTTAATATACGGTACAAATCCATTAAATGTCTGCTCTGCCTCACACAAGACTATAGCAGTAGTGACAAGACACCAGGAAGGACGAAGACAAAAAGTTAAACGCCTGCACAGTTTTGCGTGGAAAAGCGTATTTCTGCGCATCCCACCGCTGCCACCATCACGACTCGATGGCTGTCGATTTCTAAATATAAAATACGAAATAACGGTGCGTACCCAATTTCGAATCCTTTATATTCTCTATATATTACATTTATCATTATTTTTTTATTTCATTCCAATTCAATTTTTTATTTTCCATTCATTATAATCTAAATAAAGACGTATAAGTGTATAAACCCCTATCACCAAGTGGGTTTTATGCGGATAATTCATTTCTGCAAAATAATAGGGCTCACCGATTACCTTACTTTGTCTTAAAGACATATTTCTGTCGTTTACAGAATTGCTCTTTATCGCCTTCATACTAAATTAAACAGTGCCAGCAATAATAACAAAATGCTCTCCTTCATAAGATATGCTGTTTGATCTGTTGTCGTGTATGAACCCACGCATTGCACAGTAGGCATGCTGTGGTGTAAGAAAAGCCAAATGTCATTTCAGCCGTAACAAAGCAGAACATACTGGGCTAAAAGCGACAAAATTCCTCATCTGTAAACACATTTAATTGAAAACGTATGTCTAATGTCAAATTGTTGATTGGAGAAATGTCGCAATACAGTTGTATGTAAATTGATCATCGAAACGGAAGTCGGTGCTTCTTTGACCAAATCTGTTTCTGGGTTTGTAATGATGGAATGAAATAAACGTTTATTATCAATTTTCATAAAGATTCAAATGGCACAGGATATTTCCAGTTTCATTGCATTACTTCGTATAACAGAACCTTAGGCCAACAATCATATCCAAATGAAACTTGTTCCCAGGATACAGTTTATGTTGTTTCAGGTCAAATTCAATGTCCACGGAAAAACGATGCAATTAACATTACCAGTTCTTATTGGGACTTTGCCTCATAGAAATACTGAAATTTACAAGACTGGGATCTTGGCCTATGAAGAAGGTTGGTCTCATTTACCTCATAATCAGAATGCTATGGATTATCTTTCTGCATTGTAAATCAAGGCATAAAAACCAGTATTTTCCACCAACATATACATGTAGTTGTTCTAAAGAAATGTTGCTTGGGAAATTAATCAGACTTACATGCAGTCAGTGCTACATGCAATTTCACTTGCAGGTTTTCATATGCCAGAGGGCCGCGAGGAGCACGAAGTGAAACTGTGCGAGTGTGAAAATGGAGACGTGGATGAAATACACCCTGGTTACCGGCTTCTCCCTCGATACAGAATATACCGTCACATGCGTACCACAAGTAACGACACCCTCATATATAGCCTTGAAAGCAGTCCGCAGCCTTTCCGCAAGCACGAGTCTTGGGTGGAATACGAAAAATGTACAAATCGAGAATCGTTGGTGTAATTCTTCATGGGACTGGCCTTTCGTGTATTTATTTGGTTTAAGCGTTAGGCTATATTTCCGGTAGTAAATATGTACTTTTTTAGACTTATACTTTTTATATAAGTATAGTGATTATTATTATTTAATATTGTTATAACTGATTTTTGCAAGAGTCTTAAATTTTTCAACAGAATGAAAAGTATTTAAATAACTGGGGATTTTATTTTTCTCTGTCCGGATATTTTGTCCTTCAACACAGTATGTGAAGTATGGCTTTCTCTGTGATACCTTGTTTAACAAAAAGAAATATATGTATGTTTAAATATTTCAAATTCAAAAAAGTTTAGAAGTAATTTAATAAAAAAAAAAACGCTGCTGACACATGCATGCGCAGCACCATATTGCTTTTATGTAACATTTGTTATTGTTTTATCTCTATCATCTTGTATCATACATCATTGTTGCCTTAATCTATCTTTTAGATAGGATAGCCTACATTAAGTATTAGAAATGCATGTTGAGAGCTTTTAAGAAATCAATTGAAAACTGTGATCACGCATTGAAAGTGCAATGAATGCGTGAAAGCGGATGCTAGACTTCAGCTAATGGAAAAAATGTTAAAACATGTACAGCGTAAGTTATTACTGAGTTTAGAAATGTGTACGTTCACTTGCTTCGTCGTCAGTTTTCCCAGCTCTATTTCCCTTTTTAGTCTGTTCAGAAGGGGATGGGCTGTACCCCCTCGCAGGGATTGCAGGGGATGGTCCACCTCTACACTGTTTTAACAAATTAAAATCCAGCCAACGGCTTTAGACACAGCGGGTATTCTTTTATTTGCTTTAACATTAAAATATTAAAGTAAAATATTCTATTTGAGGCAAATGAAAAACAAATCGATTTTTTTTCTGAAATGGGCAGTGCGTTGTCTTGAAATCTAAGAATTCCAACATTAAAACGTCGTTAAAAACAAAAATTTAGACTCTTCTTGTAAATGTTCTTATCAGTTGACATAACATTACGTGATTTTGTCACCATTTTGATATATGATTGTCAGGGGAATAAAAATTATTGATTGAACCTGTATTTGCAGAAACCGTTAACTAGTTTAGCAAAACATCGAAATGCAACGAAAACATATTTTAAAGAACATGTTTTTTTTTTCTTCAATACACTGACTTCTTCACAAATTTCTACCCAAATGGATGCTAAGGGAAGATATATATTTGAATACGTTCTTCTATCTTACTGCTTAATATGAGTCGGGTATTTGTATTCTTTCAATAACACGCAAGTGTTAACAGCATGCAGCATCCATATGGTTGTATATTTTTGAAGCATTAGTTTTATGCAGAAATGTAACATTGTGACACACTATTTGCACCGTCTGCCAACAACACGTAATGAGAAGACTATTAAACCTCAAACATAATCCTTTACCGGACATCTTAAAAAAACATTTAAGCACACATCTGCTTACAAATGGTAATTAGAGTAGGAATGATTATTATGATATTCAATTAAGTTTTATAATGCAATCGTTTGTAATACTCTTAACTGATGTCTAAGTGATTAGTTAAAGTGCATATTTTATGAGCCATGGCTATTTGAATATACAAGGGTTGGTGTTTTAACGGGGCCGTAGCAATAGTCCGAAGGTTCAATGGTCCGAAGGTTCATTGGTCCGAATGTTCACTACAGAAACTTCGGACCAATGAACCCTTGATTAAAAAACCGATGAAAATGTTACCGTTTTTCGGACCAATGAACCTTCGGACTATCGAGACGCCCCCGTTTTAACTGCATCAGAATATACTACAAGTCCATATTAAATATGCATCACAGCCTTTCTCCTTTTTTCTCCGATCTTACGCAGAAAACTCAAAACAGAATCATAAAGCCGGAATTCTTTAAAAAAAATCAAATCAAGGCTAGATATTATCTTGCTTTGGTAGCTCTATCTGCCATTTACAGAATTAATGAAAGATTCCATAGGCTGTCCTCGAAGCAACTACGATGTCCGTTTTGGGGGTCTAGGGGGCACCTTTTCTATGCTGATTGAAACGTCCTCTGTTCCAGCTGGTTGGTACCTATAATACATAAAAATTCACGTTTTATAATTAATCTGCCAGTATGGTTTTGGGATAAAATTATCTATCTAGAAAAAAAAAAGGGATTTGCTAGCATGCAAAGAATCAAATTTATATATATATATATATATATATATATATATATATATATATATATATATATATATATATATATATATGTACTTTTTTCTCCAAAATAATAAGAAGAAATTGTTTAATAATTTGTAATGGTGATCTATAACCTGACGAACGATGTACTGAAGTCTCGACTTGCGCCAACAAATAAGATTACCAGGACTCACCTGGCGTGTACCACATTCTCGTACTCATCATCTGGTTCCTCGGATTCTTCAATAGCAGCAGAATCTGGTATGCTAAGGAAAGTGGTGTGATGGTCATCCTCCCGGGGTGACCTGTCTTGTCCGGCGGGACTTTCACGGGGCGTTGGGCGGGGTTTTCTGCGGGATTTCTGGAAGCGTTGGGTGTTTGTGGCAGCTCGTTTCCTGAACTTGGGAACTGGTGCGGATACCTGGGGGATATAAGATATATTTAAAGAAAGTATGCTTATGTAAGTCAAATGCCCATTTTGCTTTTCCTGGTGATAGTAATGCTAATAAGTACAGCCTATGTGGTAATATTATGCGGCATAAAAATGATTATGTAGGACTTTAATACGGTCACAATCATCACCAAAGATCACTGGCTACGGACATAGAGAAGACAAAGAAGACACAGGTTCACATGTACTTATTATAGATATGACGATGACCACAGTGTCAAAGATTGGAACTGAACCGTACAGGGTTTTCATAAACATTGTCGTCCGAAGCGTCGTCCTCGTTGGTGCCATTTGGTGACCCAGACGACATAGGGAGGTAACTCGTCGTAAGTTCTTCTTTGCTTTCACCATTTTCTTTCTGCCTCAGTCCTTTGTTGCTTATGCGCAAGGCTTTCCGGTTCACGTCGTCTTGATCGGGATCTAAGGATAGAAAATTCCTCAACATGCATTCCAATTCTCGTTTCACTTTCAGCTAAAACTTTTCAAGTCATAAGATAATTGCTTAACAGAATAATGTCACTTTCAGAATAATTTCACTTTCAATACAAACTTGAAATACAGATAAACACGTATGGATTTTATCGCATCTTTGTAAGTCGTGTAATTAAATCGTGACTAAAGAATATTTTGGAGAACATCGATTTTCTTAATTTTACACATCTGCATTAAAAGTGGTAAAGTTTCGATTTTCATTTTGAAAGAGAGTCTTTGAGAAATGTGTAGGCTTTCCAAACTATAGGAGGGTATATTTTACAAATGTCTTAAGTCGTGTATAAATATATTCTAATTGTCTTCGAAAAATACTGCAACACTTTTTATTAACAATTTCACAGTTCCAAAATCTGTTATTTCCAAAAATGTAAAAAAGTTGACCACTCCCTCAATTTCTAGCTGAATATTTTTCACTTCTACTAACCAGCATAATATTCTTCCCAATCTTGCAAAACATCAACTCCAAAAAACGTTGATATTTCACTCGGAAACCTTAAGTCCATGAACAGTATTATCATGGAGAAGACGATACTGAGAACTCCTGTAAATGAAAGAGAATCCAGGTAAATCCGGGACAGTAAATGCATCATGTTCACGCACTTTCATTTGTGTTTGTAAAAGGGTCAAATTTTTTTAAAAACTAAATTTCGTTGAATTTGTGACTGCTGAAAACGATTCTTTGATAAAGGGTGAAACTTAATCAACATTTTACAAACACCAGTGCATTTTTAGATTGCCATGTTAGATTGCTATGCAATGCTAATAAACTGTATTTCTGACAAAAAAGGACCAGAACCAGAATGCCTTTTAGTACGAATTTTGAATAACTCACTTTTCCCGCTTCGCTTACCTGTTATCAAACAAAGCCAAAAACACCATCCATAATGAAATTCCATCACTGCCTCCTCCCAAGGTATCACAAGTTCTGTAGGGTTTCGTATACTGGCGTAAAGGATGTTGGCCAAGACCATGCAGCTCCCCGTAAAGAACAGAAAATAGCTGCCGTACCGAATGACCATGAAGAACAAGATGTTACAAATGATCCACAGAGGAAACGCTAACCTGGTGAATAGAAAAAAAAAGTTATTTTTAGATTATATTAATTTTTTTCTTAAAATAATGTTATTTGAATCTCTCTCTCTCTCTCTCGAACGCACTCACAAACTTCAATCCAACTTAAATGGACACCTGAGGGTCGAGTTAAATTGGAAAACCAATTAGATACCTACCAGAGCATGATATGACTATAAAAGCCCGCCTGTCTGTAGTGTCGCCCCCACCGTATTCCTTCCCCGTCCAGAGTGAAGTACTCGGCCACCCATAAGATGGGATAGGGTAGACCACGGTACTGACCACGGCGGAACTCACGCTGTACCAAGCCAGCTGCAAATATATTGATAAGTTCTCCATCAATTGAACTGTTAAAAGGAAACTCTCAGAAAAAAATATTTAATTTAACTCTATCGTTAGTAATATACATGTAGTAACGGAATAGTGAAGGCACTCTGTCCTTCTGCTATTCATTGTGTCCACACTCCTGAAATATTTTTATTAAATAAAAAAAAATATAATAACAATGCACATTCTGCATAAACTTACAATATGGTCCAAAGCCAAATCGTCCTTGTTGCCACCCAGGTTCTTCATCCCAGTGGAACCGCTCGTTGTAGTTAATTGTCTCACTCACTTGATTTTCCGGAGTTCCTACAGGTAATAAGTAAAACAATATAACAGTTTTCTCGTTGACGAATATCTGCAAGTGCCATTTCACGTGTTTCTTTCTTTTAAAATATTAATTAGAAATAATCCAAAATTGTCCAAAATTTTTTACAGTATGTGATTCAATACAACGACAGTCTTTATTTAACTTTTAAATGCTAAAATCAAAACTTCTTTCTGGTGTAGGGTCACGGAATCCTTATTAGCTGACGATTTCTAATTAAAGGCTTCGTTCACTTAATTTTCACGTCAACCTCACACGAAATGTTAGGTAAGGTATGTGACATGAATTTTTAGCTCCCCTCTAAGAACTGTCGCCTGATCTGGTCACCGTCGCACCTGTCACAATGTCACCTACCTTTTAATGTGATATTGACACTTCTTAGTCCTATGGCGACCTTAATGCTAGCGTTTATCTCGTGGTTAATGCCGGCACGGTACTGGGTCTTAGTGTGGACCTCGGATAACTCCCATTCTTGCCCAAAGTTAGCCACTACGAAAGATAAAAACACGTGGTCTTCAATAAAATAAAGTTTTAATGATAAAGCTTTTGACAATTTGTTTTACATCTAATAGGGTGTTCAAAATTAATGTATGGATAGCGAATATGCAGAAAAAGAGTTTTATTTTCAGGTGAATATACGGTACAACATTCGATACACCAGGAAGTGCTAAAAGTGATCTTGCTATCGATGTCCAGTGTACCTTCCGATTTAGCTTAAAATAAGCATATTGGCCAGTATTTCCTCCTTTCACTAAATGTCTTCAGATAGCCCTATACGTGTACCGACTTCCAAAGGTCATCAGTAATAGCAGGGCACAATATTCAGTACGGGGCATCAAAATATTGATAAATGGCAGTTCGCCAAAGAGAAACCCTGACTCAATGTCACGCTGAGGAAGAGACGAAACAAAAAAGGGGAATGCCAGTGTCAAGTTCCAAGAAGCGGTGAATTAAATTTAGGAGGTTAGACTCTACTTCATTTCATTTGCAGGGAAATTCCAATCGTAAATTTCCTGGAAGCATAATGGGAGGGGAAATGGGATGGGAGCTGAAGCATGCAATAGTCTGTGTTCACTATAAAAAAGAAAGGGATTCTGATACCTATAGGAGTCACATAAATTGACTTAATCTTTTTTTATTGTTAATTCAGGCATTTTTGTTTCAGATGTCAACGTTGTGTCACGAAATAATTGCATGAGTGTATGGATGTAAAGTGCGCGGGTGAACATAACACAGTACCCTTACACCGGGCCTTAGTGGATTTCCACTACACATGTACTTCACATACCCTGAGTGTCAGGGCACAGTAAAAGCTAGCTTGTTAAAAATCTTGTGATGGGATCGCTTTTTGCTGGTATGGGTTTTATATGAAATCAAGATCGAGCTGGCAATACGGAAATCTAGAACCTAGGGTAACTTCGCATTGTCATGCGTGCAATATTCAGTCATCAAAAATGAATATTATTGATTGAATAAATTCCTCCCAATTTATCCCAAGTTTGATACTGCACAGCGAGTGGTTCAATTTCACCTTGTCATTGAAGACGTCAAAAGGTGCCGCGTAAGGTTTCAGTCATTAGTCAATGAAAGTATTTAGAAGAGATAAGAACTCAATAGAATAACACATGATGAGTCATGTGATTAAAAAGGATACACTGACAGACTTCAAGCTTACGGTTTGGTAATATACAGCACAAGTGTAATGAATGTGCACAATTAACGCTTCATTTACGCAACGTAAGTTATGACGTTAACACTTAACATTGCAAATCACTAAAAGTAAGTAACAGTGACTAAATGCCGTAGGTTGATAAATCACTACAATAAAATCATCCATGCAAAAGTCTGATCGAAATATCAGATGGAATCAATCTGACATTTATCTTTCTCAACGTTTACCAACACACTGTACATGTACCAACCGATATGATTACGTTATAATAATTGCCATTGAAAATAACCAACTGGAAAAAATCAAAAATATAGTTAAAGGGAAAAAACTCACATACTTGGCCCCTTTGAATGAAAAAGATATCTATTTGCAACCTTAAATGAATAATGAATAAATAACTTCGATTCAAATTTGATCAGCCAATACATAATCCATGATTGTCAAATTAAGTAGACCAAGCCACACATGATGAACCTAATCAAAGAATGGGTCTATACGTTTCTGCGTGATTGATCAAACAACCTCGAAGCTACTTACATATAATAATTGATCCTATCCAAAGACTCACGACAACTCGTACAAAGTAGAAGATTCTCTGCAAGAAAAAATAAAGACAATAATTCAGACAAATTAAACAAATGAGTTCAAAGGTTTCGTTGAGGCTAGGGTGTATCTTCAGTATCTTGGGAGAGGGCACGCCACACATATATCGGATATTATAGGCCTACATGTGATAAGCCTATCTAAAATTATTTAATCTCTGCACTATGCACACATAAGACAAGCCACCTTGCATTATGTGGTAATTTTTTCGTATAAAAAGGCGATGTAAGAAAGAAATTTAACTGGAATTGTCAAACTTACTTCTTTGTGCCTGACGCCCGGGAGAATAATGAGGAGCGAGAAAGCAAGTATGGCAATAGCGTAGATGAAACCAGCTTCCAAAACGTCGGCTGTCACTGGCGTTTTCAGCGGGCCGTACAACGTTGGGCCGGATTTGTTGCGGAATGTGTCGAAGAGGCCTGGCGTCCATGCCCTTGATATAACAGGTTCTTTGCTCTCGATTATGCCCATTGTCACTCTCCTTATTTAATCCCCTCTAGTCGCAGTTCTTAACGTTGGTGTTTATACTCTGTACAGGAACTATTGCGTTAATGAGTGTCTGCTGCTCCTCAAGGTTTGGTGGTTGAGCCTAGGCTGGTCGTTACGGCGCTAAAATCTCTAACCATTCCCGGATCTTAGTAAGTGACTGGTGCGAGGGCTTTCCTTTCTCCGCTTTCCGCTCTGACTACCCTTTAGAAGGCGCAGGAATACACTTAAAGTAGAATGAAACTTAAAGGCGTCTGTAAATAGAGAGTGGCGTTTTATTAGGGGAGGGGAGAGGGGAGAATCTAATTCACATATTTTATCTAACAGCCCGCCCTTAACCACTAAAATAACCTGGTTTGCTTTGGAATTTATATGGAGAGGACCTACTTTATCACCTTATGAATAGTTTTTTCTTTACCTTTTGACGACTTGTCTTATATTAAAGGCAAATTTGACTTATTTCAAATTTTTAAGAGGATTCTGTGTAAAAAGTCTGCATATAAGTTTGCGTAATTTTGAATTAATTCACTCAAACGATTCATAATAGTTTTGGAGACCGAGCTATATCTCCTCAATATTTGATATGCCAAATACATTTTAACATGGTTTGTGCCCGGAAATTTTACATATTTGTGCCCTCTCCCTCAAAAGGTGCCCACTCAATGGAATTCCCTCAGACCGCGGTGAAGCGGCTTAGGTAAACATAAGAAGGGGTTTAGTCACTTGTCGCAGAGGACTTATATTGATATTGCTTGATAAACGGCAGATCAGGAAGTTACGAAGACCGGCATAAGAAGAATTCGTACCGATGTACAAGGGCAGGTCAGGCTCTTTAGTAGCGATTTAAGAAGGGACAACGACTATTACACGAGAGAAGAAGCGGTCCACTAAACTGCGGAGCCGTGACAGATAAGCACTTAACCTGAAAGTACAATGAAGGAACTTGCTTTTTGTGCCCTACTTCTTACAGTAGCAGTAAATGGTGAGTGCAGTAAAATTGGATTAGTCTTTTGTCATAGATTGTTAAACTTAATTAGAAATACTGTGGCATATTTTGGCATTAGCTCAGATTTAGGTGAGGTATAGCTAATAAAGTTATAATAATCCTCATCGCGCTCAACAGGTGGTTCATCGTCGTGTATCGATCACCCACAGTTCTCCAGTTGAACGCATCGTTGTTCTCTGAATCAGAATAATTGCTATAAGACTGGTGAGGTGAAATGATGTTAGTACCATACAACTGGCGATGAAAATCCCTTAGCTGTACGAGGTAGTCACGAAGGGTGAGCTGCTACTTACACAGGGAGCAAAATATATCATTTGTAATGATTTATGCTCATGTTATCTTGTGAATGCAAGGAGCAGTTTCCTTTTCAATAAGTGAAAGTAGAAGGACTGCGTCGAGAGAAAAAAGATAAGACATTGCTTCACGGGGTGGGTTGCCAGTCAGGCTCATCAAATTAGAATATTTCTACACTATTAGTCTCTGGCCCTGCTAAGGCCCTGTGTTATACAAACGATGTCAAAATTAAATGCTGTCCACGATATCGATTTTTTTCAGGGCAAACCACAGTCGATGTTACCCAGCCTTCGAGCGGAACAAACAATGCGACTTCAAACCTCTTACTGTCCACGACAGTGGGGTCCACCGTGACTCCACAGAACGCCGCTGGTAAAGGGGAGGAAGAGCTGGAGAAAGAGTACCCTCCATACGATGGCTGGTATAATAACTGGGCTCACCCAGACTGGGGCGGTGCAGGTGGGTTTGGGCTCTTGTGATCCCATCATCAATTCACTTCCAAACTTCAAGAAAAGGACTCCCTACTGTATCACCTGATCCAGTGCCCTCCCTTTTTTCTTGTCCTAGGATGACTTAGTGGTCGGTCAAAAATGAAGAGATTTTTAAAATGATAAGTTATTTGATAAAAAATAGTTGTGTGGCTTTCACTGGATGAATATATAATTCTTTAGTGTAATTAGGAAAATTATTTTGTTTTATGGGTTAAATAATTTACAGATATGCCCATGGTCCGTAGAGTACCCTCTGCCTATAATGATGGCACATACGAGCCTTCAGGTTTTGACAGACCCAATCCCATTGAAATTGCCACTGCTACCATGAATGGAGACACAGGCTATGCTTCTTATGCAAACAGGACGGCATTTCTTGTATTCTTTGGTAAGTATATTGGATATAAATATTGATGTAGGTTCACATATTATGGTTTATGCCTCTTATTGCATTGTGGATTTCATATATTTGCATTTCATTTTTATAAAAATTCTTAGTCTTTTTTAGATACCAAAGTGCTATTTTGGAATGCAAAGATTTTGCATTCTTTTTCGTAACATGTTTCATAGGATAATTTTTGAAATTTTGAACAAAAGAATATTATGGTCATATGCATATGATTTATTTTTTGTCCAACAGGTCAACAGGTGGTTGAAGAAATCCTGGACGCCCAGAGAGGAGGCTGCCCGGTAGAATATTTCAACATCCCCATACCTAAAAATGACAGTCGTTATAACATCAACCAGGAAGATGGTCTATACATCCCATTTGTGAGGTCAAGGTATGACCAGGGGACCACTGGCTACTCACCCAATAACCCCAGACAACAGGTGAGTGTCATTTCAATACCATGATGATGAGATGCTCTTTTACCTCATGCGTGTAGGCTACATCTCTCTATTCAATATTGAAAAGATAATGACTCTGCACTATATTCTATGTAGTTTGACCATTGGATTAACAACAGATGAATTGATTTGGCAGATTTGAAGTCATGATGAGTAATTGATGCCATAATGGAGACTAGTTTTCTAAAGGTAACATATATGCAAGGTGCATTTATGCATAACCAACATGCACAGTCTTGTACAGTTACATATATAGGGGCAGTCACTCTTTCTTCATATTTGTCAGTGAGGATGCATTATTTTTTTGGCATACCATTTTTTCCTTCAAATTAATGAGTAAATGTGACAAGTAATTGACAAGATCATCAATATATAAAATGGACAAGCATCTTAGCATTAAATTAGAATAAAGAGAAAGTTAAATAATTTGTCATTTAGTGTTTGCATAGGCATTTTATATTTGAGGTCACAATAAACAAATATATGGACAAAGTTCATTTAATAAACAGTTAAGTTAATGAAGCTAAGATGCTATATATTATTGGCAAATAAGTGATATATTGTTGTTAAGTCAATTTAAAGCATGATTAAGTCCCTTAGCTCAATGTTAGCTCAATATAAGCAAAATAAAACTAAATTGAGTTGCTATTTTGTTGTTTCATTTTGGATTACTTCCTGGTATTCATTTGGAATTCTGTGTAAATATCTTGAAGGGAATTTGCTTTTTATGTGATACTTAGAACTGGAACCATTCATATTTTTGGAAAGGTGCCAAGTGAAACTTCAATGTTACAAATATATACCTACAATAAAAATGTCTCATTGTTTCTATTTTAAAAGCATTTGCACTGACTGACATGCTGAAAAATAAGATATAAATGAAACAAGCTTCAATTGCCAAAAAAGTTTTAAAAAGAAAAGATAAAAGAACAAGTTGATGATGACAAAGATTAAAAAAAAACAACAAAACCTTGGATGAATAAAAAAATAAGGACATTTTTTCTTTCAAGGCAGAACACACTAATGTAAAAAAGAAAAAGAAACAGAAATGCCAAGCAGGTATCTTTAGTTTTGGTCATGGATACATTAAATTAAATGCTTCAAGTGGTTTATCATTAGGTCATTCATATGTAAACTATTTGTCAAATGATTAGCAAAGTGGGTGGATTTTAGGATTGGCTAGTGGAGACGCATTGTGCATATCTTTTAGGTATATCTAAAAATTGATGCACTAGATAGGTACCAGTAGGGTGCAACTAGGGTGTGGAACTGCAGATGTAATCTTCTAATTCTGTATAAACATGTTACACATGCACACACAGACACACACACAAACACACACACACACACACACACACACACACACTATAAATATATATAAAAAGATTGGTGCATGAGCTTAAGCCAGACACCCTGAGCTTCAGAGCTAACTTGACACGATGAAGATAGGCTACAGTGAAGAGGTTAGTGTCAAGTTAGCTCTGAAGCTCAGGGTGAAGCCAGAAAAAAACAAACTAAATCAGTCCTAATACCTTTGGTGTTAATTAATTGGAAAAATGTTAAGAGAACAAATCTGGGAATTCGACATGAAAAGAAAAAAAAAATAGTAAAAGGGCATCAAATTAGTAAGAAAAGGCATAAGCTTGCAAAAGTTGGAAATTAATAAGGTACATAGCTTGCACAAGTTGGGAGTTGAGTTACATTATATATATTAGGAGACATGACATCCTATTGTATAAACTAAGATGTGACCTTGTAGAACAGGATGTGCCCAATTGTAGAGGTTTTTCCCCCTCCCACTGCTTTGAGTAATATTTTTACAAACAATACATGAAATCTTATGATGTGCCACATTCCAACTTTCAGCTTACATCCGTCAAAACCTGTGATGACTAAAATGTTGGTGCCCTAATTTCATTTTGTCAAAGTAATTTTTTTCTAAATTGCTTGGGAAGAAATTTAAAGAAAGCCTTTAAGGCTGTGGTCTTTTTACTGAAAAAGAAATAAGTTTATGAAAGATATGATGTTTTAAATGGATATCAGATGATGATTCAGGCATGTTTTAAGATATTAATTGAGGGCCAGTTAGTGAAATTTACCTCTTTTTTGTACTTTTTGAAACTTTTATTCCTTTTGTGTAGCATTAAAAAACACCAACTTTAATAAAAATGAAACTATAAAACAAAAATTATAGCAAAGGGATTTACTATGATAGGGTTTCACAGTTTTTTCACTTGTTAATGTTTTTTCTATACAACGTTTTCAGGTATGTGGATAGTGGAAATATTAGTAAATGTTATGCCCTGTATCTAGTTTAGCTTCATATTAACCCCATTTGTATGGGAACTATTTGTCAGGTCATACTGACTAGCTTTGTTCAGGGGGCTTCTTATAACAAAGCATTCAGAAGCATTGGTTAATATGTACACTGTATTACTCAATCATGATTTTCAATGGCATATGATGCACTATCCTTGTAGACTAAAGTGTCACTAAATGATACAAATATGTGCTGAGATGGGGCATGCCACCAGTGTTCTTTGATGTACTGTTTTGTATTAGTAAAAAGACCTTGTGAAATAATGTCCCAAGTGGCTATATTTTTAAACAAAAATCACAGGGTTGTAATAATTTTGATACATGTAGCATTTGTGTTAAATCATATCAAATTTTGAACATAAGAGAATCAAATGGAAATTTTCCTACACATTTTATGGAGGCCAGGAATGATGTTGGTCACTAAGCATTACGTACATACCTTCTCCATTGTTGAGTGAGCATATTAAATTACTTGTAGAATAGATTGAGTAATCAGCGACTATATGGTACTGTACAGGCAGGTGTGACTTGAAGGGCTACAAAATACAGTTTGGGTGAGATCCACATTTAGGCTAGGTATTTTAGTCAATATATATATATGTATAATACATCAGTACAACCTTTCTCTGCTATCTTAGCATACAAACACTACACCAGCTGGAAAGTACTGGTATGAGGGAGAACTTGAACCATTCAAATATCAATGTCAACTAAGGTTGGGTATCTCTTTGAAATTTTATCTAAACTGCACCAAAACATATTGTTATCTGAATACAGAATGCAGTGTGGCACAGAGTATTGCAAATAACATCCTTTTGAGGTCACTGAAAGAAAGAACAGACAGTAGTGATCCAGTAGATATCACTTTCATTAAGTCCTGTCATTGTCATCAGAAATAAAATGAAAATCTAACAAAAAGGGAATCTATTTCACATTAATTGCTTCCAATTAAGAACTAAAAATGAGCAGAAAAATACAAGTTCCTTCCTTCAAACATAAGAAATAAAATGTATTTTAACAAGAATAAAATCAGTTTGATGTTACTGGATTCCAATTTTAATTCTTTAAAAAAAAAAAAAAAAAAAAAAAAAAAAAAAAAACTCAAAAGTTAGCATAGAGGAGAAGTTCAGTCTTCAATTACATATTATAGAAGTAAAAATATTTGTGGGTCACCATTCCGGTTTTGCAGAAAGACATCTGAAATAGTTGTGTGTGTAACCTAGCTAGGTTTTCTTTCCATCTTTATGTTGGAATATTGCCAATATATAATGTTCTAAATGCAGAACAATACAAACAGGGTGTCCTTGGAGGAAATTATGAGTTATGCTAACCTGATAATATACAGCTCAAAGTTTGCCTGTAACATGTTTATAGACAGTGTTAAATGTGTTTGGAGGAATGTGATGTTTTTCAGACACTTTTTGATGTGGAGAAAGAAGATTAAAATTACTTCAAAGAAGTGAAATATAAGAAGTTTTTAATGTACAGGATTTGTATTTATAAATTGTTCTTATCAAATTTTCATTCTTTTTTATACAACTGTAATAACTATTGATGGAAATAAAATATATGTATGTTTATTATTTTAAACTTAGTAAAATATTTTTTCTGTTCTTATTCAGCTGAATGAGATCACACCGTGGATGGATGGAGGACTCATGTATGGAGTGGGAAAAGCCTGGGCAGATGCACTACGTTCTTTTTGTGGTGGACGCTTGGCATCTACCAATGAGACATGTGACAAATATAAACTGGGCGGCAATAAGGCAGTGACTATAACATCTAATGAGGAGGAGGGCACCAACTACAGCACTGAATATCCTGCCTTTAATGATGTCCGTCTGCCTATGGCTAACCCACCACCTCCAAGAGACCATTACATTAAAGAGGTCAAACGTTTTTTCAGTAAGCATCTTTATTATTGTTTCAGTTTTTTTTTATTTCTTCCAGTGTACATATATCTTTTAGTATCTTAGGCCTGGCCTTTCCAGAAAACACACAAGCTAGTTTCAAGCCAGTATGTAAGATATTTGAGAAGTCTTAAATGTATAGTATTACATTTTGGCTAATAAATTGAGAAAAAGTTAGATGATTTAATAATGATTTTATGAAAAATTAATCTTTGAAACAAAAATTTTGGTATAATGACCCCAGCATAGAACAGTGTTGAAAATGACAATGATGAAAAAGGTAAAGCCTGGAGGCAAAAACACTGTCATGGCTCATATGCATGAGATGAAGTGTCTTACTATTTAAAACAGGAAATGTTTTTGCATGAAGATAGTGATACTTCTACATTTTAGACTATTACTCCATTTCTGCAAACTCTGATGGCACTGCCATGTATTTTCAAAAATATATAAAACATCTACCAATTTTTCAGAGCTTGGAAACCCCCGAGGAAATGAGAATCCATTTCTGCTGACATTTGGTGTTTTGTGGTTCAGATACCACAACTGGTGGGCCAGAAAACTTGAGCAAGAACATTCCAGTTGGAGCGATGAAAAACTCTTCAATGAAGCCAGAATTAGGACTATAGCAACACATCAAGTAAGGAGCGACAAAAGGGTTAAAATTTTGCAATAATGCCATGGTGCAGTACTACTTTTCCGAGTCTGTTGGGCAAGGTTCTTTATTTGAACTTTTCTTTGACCACTTTTACTATTACTAATACATAGTTCAACTACAAGTAGGTCTGATGTTTATAAGATTTCCAGAGAATTGCAGAGATTTGCACATCCTAGTGCTTGTCACTGCAATAAGGGATTAGTGTCTAGCCCATTATGGTAGACAGATGTGCCACAGAATTTGTCAATATTTCGTAACTGATCACCATAAGGCGCTTGGTCATGTTAAACTTGAACACTTATCGATCAGTCTGTTCACTTTTTTTGATTAATTGATCAAATTGTCAAAGTAAAGTTATAAAAGCTAATTCAAGTCTGATACAAAATGAAAAATCTCTTTAACTCTCCAGTCAATCAACCTATATATATTGTGTGATGTCTTTTATGAATCTCCTTTAAAACAACACACATTCGGGCTTAAGTCACCTTTATTCCTACACCTCTAATACTACTGTAAACTACTGAACAAAGGCACAAGATACATGTAATACATTTAAAAGGCACAGTGTCTTTGGCACGAGAACTTCCCGAGGGGGAAAAAAAAAATTTAATACAGGTAATACATTGCACTGTTCATGTAATCTTACAATGAGCTCTGCATGGCTTGCTGCTGCCGCTGTGCAGTTTAAAGCTGTAAGTGACCGTTGGGCAGTTACACGTGACCAAATATTGAAACGAGGCAGCTGGTTCTGATTGGACTGGCCGCTGGTCAGTTACACGTGACCCACTGAATGCTATAACAAAGAGGATGCGGGGATAAAGGTCCCTAGGCAACCCTCCTGTGTGAGTTTTAAATACCATTTAGTTTAAATGGGCACATTTCTTAGGATAGAGAAAAATAAATGTACTTATCACCACTTCACTGTTGTATTTGTCAACAATGAGACTTGTAATATAAAGTTCTAGTATATTATAAAACTTCACAAAAATACCCCAATCAAATTAAACTATCTGCATGCGTGCCCCATTTTTCCTGTGCTGCCTCTTTTTGACAGTTCCATATTTTCCCAACACAATCCTCTCACGTATATTTATCCTTGCAAATGTTTTCCTTTTTTCCAGAAAATTGTTGCTTATGATTGGCTTCCATCTTGGATAGGAGAAGATGAAAATGGAACCACCTATGGTCTCCCAGACTATAAAGGTAAAGCAAACCTTATTCAAATGTGTGAGCAAACTAATGCTGAAAAATGTCAGTAAAAAAAGTTTAGTTTTGTGTGGTAAGTTCAAATTTGCAAGTCCATTGTAATATTACTTTACATATATTTGCATTGCAAGTTTTACACTAATATGTGCATTTGAAATATGTTGTATTTAATATAACATGTATGTTTTGGATAAAACATTGTAAAGCAAATGACATTTTTATTTTTTCTTGAACTCTAAGTGCACTGAATGCATTTAGGAATTTGTTGCATTTTTAATCTTGTTAGTTAACTTGTACATGTATGTTGGTTGTAATAGCTCTTTGGCATTTTTTCTTTGTAATATACTTAAATAGGGGCTGTCTGCCATCAGTGTATGGTTTTGATAAATGCAAATCCAGTGGTTTACTTAAGGTGATTTGCCAAGTTTTTGTTGAGTTAATAGGGCAGAATGTACACACATCAGTTGCTAGTCAGTCACTTTGTAAAAATTAACCTAACTATATACAGGCTAAGGAACAAACCACCCATTATATATAAGCATTTGATCAGGATAAAATGATATGCAATGAAGCATTTGACTTCTCTTGGAACTGTTGATAACAGCCTACAAAGGACAAGGAAGTAGTAGTAGGGTTTTCATTTCTTTACATATGAAAGGCTTTTCAGTAATAGTTTTTCAACTGAAGGCCTCCCAACAAACAGAATGTTATTATAACGTTACCATAGCATTGTTATCTACCCCCCCCCCCCAAATATTTTTTATATTTCTGGGTGGTTACAAGGACAAGTTAAGGTGAAATATGGACTCGTGTGACTATAATCCCTCATGACTTTGTAGGGTGTGTCTACAGTGTAATTGTAGTGGATAGGTGACGGTACACCTGGCAAACTTATCATCACATCTAAGAGAAAATGGAATTTCCAACAGTTGAACACAAAAGTGAAACTGATTATTGGAAAGCAAGTGATGCTTGAGAGTTCTTAATACTATACAAACTAGTACTAGCTAATATATAAAGCATTACCAATTTAAGCATTACTGTGATTTATGATCAGGTTATTTACCAACCAGAAGAGCATTATAATTTCTGTTTGTGATATCAAGTCAGCATAATACAGAACAGTTGAACACTTACCAGGAATGGCAATCTATGTTTTTATCAAATTGTTAAGACTCTCTGAAATGAAAGTGATTTAATTTTTTCTCACATATTGAATAAAAAAAAACCCAAAAATTTTGTTTGATAACTGGAAATATGAATACAGGTGCAGAAATCAAACTTTGTTATTTCATTGATGCTAAGTTGAATATATTAATTTTTTAGTTTAAGGTCTATAATTTCCAGACAGCAAGTAGTACATAAACATCAACTAAGATAAGAGTCTTCTTTTGTTTGAGAACAGGGAGAGGTCTATTATGTTTCATGTTACAACTTGATTTATTGCCAATGTAAAATTGTTTTGTTCAAAATATGTTATAAGGGTTTGTTTTAATAAGGGTAGTGTTAAAACACTAAGACCAACTTAATAGCTCAGATTAAAAGTAGATGTGACAGTAATGTCTTTTACCAGACTGACTTTGTTTTCTTGTCATAGTGAATCTAATTTTTCTGTTGTCCAGCCTGATGCTATTTTATTGGAATGGATGTAATATGTCCATCAATCAATACATATTAGTATGTAGTTTTTTCATATTAGAAATAGCTTGGTATAGGTGGTTGAAGCAAGCTGCTAGTTCTTTTAAGGTGTCTGTTTCTAGACAAATTTAGTCCTAATGCAAACTTGACTTTAATGCTTTGCTCATAGTTTTTTTATGGTGAGTTGACATTAAAATGCCAACCTTGGTGATTGGTTTCTATGCAAGTTTAGCTTTGTTGTTTACACAATGATACATGTACTTGTATTGAATTCTGATAAACTTTGAAAAACTTCCTTGTTAGGAGTAGTTGTTCAGTGGATAAGGTATACCTCAATAGGGACAAAGGTGCAAGGTCGATCTTCATAAGATGTGAAGAATAAAGTCGGCAGATTGTTTCATCTTTTGATATACTGGATGAGCATATTATAGAAATTTTAAAAATATTTAATATTTAAGTAGAATGTATTCAGGAAAGGCAAAAAAGAAACTTGTGTAGTCTTATTTTTTCATTTTTTAAAATTTCTTCCTTAGTCACCCTTATAACCAGAGTTTTGTCATCTTTTACTGTAGCAAAATTCAGTATTGTTTTATCACATCATGTTTCATAGGTTACAACCCCAATGTCAACCCCCAGATTGCCCACATTTTCCAGTCTGCTGCAATGAGATATGGTCATACACTGGTGCCACCTGGTGTCTACCGAAGGTAACTACCAGCATAAGATTAAGATGCATTTAAGAAGTAAATTATATTTAAGGTTAGAACTTACAGGAATAGAAATTGAAAGTTACATGCATATTACTGAAACAGTGATGTTATTCAATACATTATTGTGGCGTATGAATTGTTGACAGTTTGCATTTGATTTTATTTATTCAGGAATCAAAATTGTAATTTCCGCAATACCTCCATACTGACAGGCACTGCCCACAAGGCTGCTCTGAGAACTTGTAACACCTACTGGAACCCACAGGTAGTGGATTTTACCTTTTCTGATATCATTTAAATGACTGAGAGAAATTTCTACTTTTTCAAAAGTTTAAATGTTATAATAACTACAATAAAATTAATGAGTGACTTAAAAGTAGTAAATAAAAGTTTGTTAATACTTTACTCTAGGTATATCTGATATTTTATCCTCCATGTCTTACAGGAAGCAGTATTGGAAAGTGGTGTAGAAGAACTGATGATGGGCATGGCCTCACAGATAACAGAGAGAGAAGATAATATTATCACACCTGATCTCAGAGGTTAGTGGTGATCGGAAACATATTGAGGTCATTGCATTTTAGAACAGATTAAAGTGAGTTGAATATTTTGTTTTGGACAGCTCAGAAAAGAAATTTTGTCTGTTAAGAATAAGAACCAAATCTTTCAAAACAGAATTTAATTTCAAGATAGATCAAACTGTTGAATAGACTGAAAATTTCAACTAGAAAAGTAAATGTTATCATCATAATATGATCATCTGACCTAAGTCACACCTACTAGTAATACCTCTCAGGCCTTCCTCAGACAGTTTAATATTAATCTAACTTGTTTAACCATTAAAAGGATAAATTGCAATGGGTTATTTTGATTATATATTACCCACTTCGTTCGTTCCAGGGTTTGTGTTTGGCACCCTTGATTTCTCACGCCGTGACCTGATGGCTGTCAACATTCAGCGTGGCCGTGATCATGGTCTGCCAGATTACAACACTGCTCGCAAGTTCCTGCAACTTAAACCAAGAGAGAAATGGGAAGACATTAACCAAGATTTATGTCAAGGAGACATCAACAGTGAAGGTTGCAGTGTAGGTATCAGTGTAGCATGAGGTGCCATGCATAATTTATGATGTAGAATCGGTTTCTCTTGTTGAAATATTTTTGATATTCATTGTGCACTTGAAATTCTAAATAAAGGATGATGTTCATGAAAGGCAAATGAACAGATTAAAATTCATAGTTAAATGAAAAAGTACATATTTTGTATAGTAGTGGGCTTATTATGTCTCAACTAGAATCTTGTAAATTTTAAAGCAATACATTATGTATGACATGTACATGGTAAGGGTGCATTGATAACAACTTGTCTCAATGTTGACTTTTAGGCCATTAGAAGACTGCGTGATGTTTACAAGAACAACATCAACAATTTGGATATTTGGGCTGCAGGGCTACTGGAGACAACTCCACGGGGTCCGGGAGAACTCTTCCGAACTGTCATCCTGGACCAATTCCAGCGAATCAGAGATGGAGACAGATTCTGGTTTGAAAATTATGAATACAATGGGTAAGATCCACTTTAAATTTGGACATGATTAAAACTTCTTTGCCTGTTTATTTGTTGAGCTGTATTTATTAAAATTTATTTTTTAAACAAATGAGTATGAAAATTGACAATATTATGATAATCTTTTCAGAATATATATTTTCTTTAATTACAAAGTCTGCTATCAAGAATTACATTGATTTATTCATATGTTAAGCATAAAGAATTGAGATTTTTCTTCCAAAGGTGGATAATGAATAATTATTTTCCTTCTTGAATTAGACTTTTCACTAAGGAGGAAGTAGAAGACATCTGGAACACAGGAATATATGATGTAGTTATAAGAACCACTGGTCTTCCCCATAATGCAATCCAGAAGGATCCATTCCGTTTCAACCCTAATGACCACCGATGCAAGCAGCCTGCACAGATTAATGGTAGTGTTGAGAGCATAGTAGAAGAATGTACTCCAATGGAGACGTATGATTACTTCACTGGAAGTGATGTCCCCTTCGTTTTGACCTTCTTAGCAGCAGGGGTATGGCTCCTGGGTAGGTGTCTACAGGAAGAGACAATGTGTGTTTGCTGTTCCATTTAGTAATGCCTTTGATGAATCCTGAATGCTTATGAAAAATGTACCTTATTGAAAACTTTTGATTATGTGCATGCATATCAAGCATCGATGTAGCATTGAAACTGATAGAAAATATATACTAACATAACCATGCAGTTGATATAAGAGACCTATGGTTTTCTTGTATAAGCTGTTTTTGTCTATACATGTAGTTATTTTCTATCTCTTGATTCATTTAATCTTACATGTGCCTATGTATCTGTCTCAATTGTTTCAGGCTGCATTGGTTTGTTGTATCTCCTGGCAAAGATACATATTCGGAAAACTTCATCTATAAAGGCCTTATCTAGGCAGAGGTCCCGTAAATCATCTGAAAGCAGCATTATTACAGGTTAGTGTGGAAATTGAGAATGAGAATCCATAAATATTCATGTACAGTATCCTTAGATATAAAAATGATGATCACTTTAAATGCTTCAATTTACAAACTAGAGTTGTTTTGACTTTTTAGTGAAGTGATTTTATTTTAGAAATGAGCTAAGTAGAATATCAGAAATTGTATTGTATTTAGAAATAGCCATCATCCAGTATATTTATGTATTCTGTTTAAAAAATTGGATATAGCATAAAAGCAATCTTCAATTTTATTTTTAGCTCAAGAGTGGGTGGGTAAGAAGGAGGGTAACAGAAATATAAAAATCAAATTTGACAGCAATAAAAAGGCAGTGCAGGTCAACAGTGAAAGGAATCGCCCTCTGAGAACTGTAGATCTGTCCCATGCACAGGATGTGACATTTCAGATTTCCACAGACAAACAAATGAAGGTGATGCTGCTCAGAGTTGATAAGGAATATGACTTGGTATGTACTGTTTTTAACTTTGTAAGCTCACAATAAATGCTCTCACAGTTGATTTTAATACTGACATGAGTGACTAAATATGTAGATTCCAAGTAAACAACTTCCAGATTGCACAATGCCAATGGGATGACATTGGGCCGCTGGCTGACCATTTGTTGGCCCACCAGCAATTGGTGACAAAGGTTGCTTCCAGTGACCTATAACATTACAGTTTTGACATTCTCTTTAAATACCATTTACTTGCATTATATATATATATATATATATATATATATATATATATATATATAATATGTAAAATGCATGTAACACTGATCATCACCATTCATAATTTTGACTCACAATTTGTTATTTAAAGGTGCTGAGATTTGATAGTATGGTCGAGCGTGGTGATTTTATCGACAAACTAGAGCGTTTCTTAGGAGATACTGGTCTTGGAAGAAATGTTCAGACAATTCAGGAAGCACACATCTTGGAAGGAGCTGTCACCAAGGCGAAGCGTCAGAGTCTTCTTGAGAAGTTTTTCCGTGTCACCTTTGCCCATGTATGTATGCACTTTTTTTACATATTTGTTGTAAACATAGTATTTAAAAAAAACTTTCATAATCACTGATTAAATAGTTCAAAAAATTAGATTAAATAGTTTTAAAAAATCTGTATGATTAACTAAATGGAAATATATTTCTAGGCATTTGACATCAAAAATGAACATGTTGACCCCAAAACACTTGATGCCAATGAAGCTAAGGATATTGTCAACTGTGAACTGACCAAGATAGAATTTGCTGAAGCTCTGTCCATGAAGCCCAGCTCTGTGTTTGTAGAGAATATGTTTAAACTAGTGGATAAAGATATGAATGGATACATTTCTTTCCGAGAGTTTTTGGATATGATTGTCATTTTTTCTAAAGGTAAAAGTCAATGTGTAACTTAAAAAAAATTTTTTTTAATCGAATTTAGTGTTTTGGATAAATAGAAAATATTTCAAAGTAGAATTATTTTTATGATTTGATTCTTTTTAAAAAATCTCATATGTAATATTCTTAAAGGAATTTACTGAAATGATGAATTAGAAAAGTATAAAACACGGCTACTAAAATTTTATTTTAAATTTAAGGCTCAGCTGAAGATCGTATGAAGTTGCTGTTTGACATGTATGATATTACCTCTGCTGGATGTCTTACTAAGAAGGAGTTCAATGTCATGATCAAGTAAGTAAGAGAACAATACTTTACATACCTTATTTTGAATAAATATACCTGTGTATGTTTAATCTCCCAGGATTGCAATCATTAAAGCACTCAGAATTTGAGGATGTATTGTTTAACATTTTATCAGCAAATAAAACACAATGAAAAATAAAACTGTTGATTTCCTATACAAGCATTGACCTACCAAATGAATTAATCAAATTTTTTTATCAAGAGACATTTTGAACAAATTGGGACATACTTGTATGACATATTACGATTATGTATTGTATTGTTTGCATTTATGGAATGTTAATTTTTCCTTAAGGTCTTTGATGGAATTGGCCAACACTTCAGTGGAGGAAAGCCAGATCAACCAAGTAGTTGACAACATGATGAAGTCTGCTGGTTTGGCTGATAAATCCCAAATCACATTTGAGGATTTCCAGCGGCTCCTGAGAGGCCATGAGGACATACTGCAGTATGCACAGCTGAACTGGCAAGGTAACTGGGTGCTTCATTTACAACAGGATAGTCCAGTAGATACTTTCAGACCCAAATTGTGTGTTTACTATGACCTTTTTCTCTTTAATGTCAGGAAAAAAAATAGTAGAAAAAGTGCCTTGTTTGGCATTTAGAAAAATTTATTTTAAAAAAGTTACTGAGATTTTTAAAGTTTTTTAAAACGCTTAAAGGGTGTCCCCTTTTTTAAAAGTTAAAAAAGATTTTATTTATTTATTTTTACAATATACATGATGACAGTTTCCACATAATGCAATGCCTTGTTCTGTTTTCTTCAGCGACTGGTGTTGATGTGCCACAGCAGAAACCAACAGGTGCACGCAATACTGTATTACGTGAAAATGCACCAACTAGAGCACGCAAGACTATTGTCAGAGCATTTAGGTAATTGTAAAAGATGTAGTTATATTTCTCTGAGTTGTTTACCATGAATTTATTTTGAAATATGGATATCATATGAACAGTTGTTATCCCTTAAGTGTGCATGATGTTTCAAGGCCTGAAATGTGCATAGGTATGTGTTAAAATAAATAAACAATTGTACATTGTTATTCATAAAGGCATAGAATATGAGGTGAATAAGTAATATATATCAGGTACATAACAAATACAATACTATACTTTTATCATTATTTTCTATTTAGTGTTGAGAATGATGGCTCCAGGTCCAAACGGATGTCTTCTACCCCAGGATTCAAGGTGGAGACAACCAAGCAGAAGGCACCAAAAACTAAGACACAAAAAAGATACACAGCAGTTCTTCGATATTTTGAGAATTACCGCTTTCACATTTTCTGGAGTGTACTATATTCCTTGGTCTGCATTGGAATCTTTGTTGAAAGAGCTTACTGTAAGTTGACTTGACAAATGATTGGGTTTTGAAAATGGTAGATTTTGTAAGGTTGAGAAAATGTTAAGGCTTTTTGAAAATTTAAAGCTCAACAGAAAGCAAAGTTTTTTAATATTCAAATTGAAGGAGTTTTTGGTCAGATATTGTAAAGGAGATGCTTTGATTTCAAAGAAACCTTTAAAAAGAAGTGCAGAAATGTTACAAAGAATAGGTGAATTATTATGTGTATGTTTTTATCTAATATCAGATGTAGTGTTCTTAATTCATCTACTTTCATAGATTTTTGTATATGTACATTTTCTGTCATTGTAGACTACTCTATTGAGAGAGAACATGCAGGTCTTCGTAGGATTGCAGGCTTTGGTGTCACTGTTACACGTGGTGCTGCTAGTGGAATGATGTTTACCTTTGCATGTCTACTTGTGACAATGTGTCGCAATCTCATCACATTCCTCAGAGAAACAGTTGCACATAGGTTTATCCCATTTGATTCTGCCATTACATTCCACAAGTTTATTGCAGCATGGGCCCTTTTCTTTACAGGTAAGGTAATATATACATGTATTAAAAAGTTAAATCTGCTGGATTTTGTAACTTTTGCTATTCAACAGTTGTGAAATTATGCTTGATTAATAGATCATTGATAACTTTTTTTCAGCAATGCATATTATTGGTCATGGTATCAACTTTTACCACATTTCTACTCAGTTGCCTGGGGACGTCACTTGCTACTTTAGGGACTTTTTCAGGGCGTAAGTATGAACAATATAAAAATTAGCTATATTTGATATATTGATTCAATATGCTTTTTGAAGGAATCCAATAATGTTAGATTCTCTGCTGCTTATTTTGTGGACATGAATATATTTGTTTGGGACTCTGCTTCTGGTTTTAAATTAAGAATTATGCTTTCTAGATAAATTATAGAAAAAACATAGCAATGAACAAGTCAACCACATGTAGAACTAGCAGTAAGACAAGGTGTAAGACAGTAAGACAAAGCCCATAAAAGTACAATCCATATATCTGCATGGGTACTTGCATAGAATAAATTTGATGATTTTATATTTTTTCAGAACCCATTTTCAGTTAAAGGTAAAAAGAACCCCAGACTTTTCAATTCATTTGGTGTATTTAAAATAAAGTAGAAGTCATTTATGTTCTATTTTCTCCAGAACCCATCAACTGCCCACATTCACCTACTGGTGTTGGAATACCATCACAGGCTTTACTGGTGTCCTGCTTACGTTACTGGTCATCTTGATGTATGTGTTTGCCACCCAGTACTCCAGACGCCATTGCTTCCAAGCTTTTTGGATTACGCACAACATGTTTTATCTTTTGTACATATTGATGGTGATGCATGGTGCAGGTCGTCTGGTCCAGCCAGGCTTCACCCATTATTTCATTCTGGGTCCCTTGATCTTGTTTGCCCTGGACAAGTTAGTCAGTGTGAGCAGAAACAAGGTGGAAATTGCTGTGCTCAAGGCTGAGGCACTGCCATCAGGTATTTTTCTTTTTTTTTTGTGATTTAGTGATAACCTACTGAACTTTAAATACTTCAATAACAGTGTAAATTGTATTTTTTTTCTAATCAGTGTTATATTTTAATTTCCCACAGACATTACCTTCCTGGAGTTCAAGAAACCAACCAGTTTTGAGTACAAGTCAGGCCAGTGGGTACGCATTGCTTGTATTACAATGGGGGAGAACGAATATCATCCATTTACATTAACATCTGCTCCACATGAAGACACACTGTCTCTACACATCAGAGCAGTGGGGCCCTGGACCATGAATTTGAGACACACATATGACCCATCTGTACTGAAGGAACATGCTTTTCCAAAGGTAAATGAATATATGTTTGGTTAGAAGCAATTATACCTTTTAACTATATGGTGTGTGTGTGTGTGTGTGTGTGTGTATGTGTGTGTGTGGATATGTGTGTGTAGAGTAAGAATGCAAGAAGTCGCAACTTCTCAGTTTATATAAATGGAAGATAGGATTATAACAGTAATAACTTGTAATATGTTTATATTTTGTTTATCATTTTTGAATGTAAATATAACAGTATTTTGTGTAAAACATTACATTACATTTTTAGAATAAAGAGTATCTAAATAAGATTCAATATCTCACATATTTGCATCCTTTATGATTGCTGCAGTTTATCCAGTACATATACTACATGATCTGTTTATTTTCTTGCACACAGTTATACCTTGATGGTCCATTTGGAGAGGGTCACCAGGACTGGTACAAATTTGATGTCTCTGTTCTGGTGGGGGGTGGTATTGGTGTCACACCATTTGCCTCCATCTTGAAGGACCTTGTCCATCGCTCTGCCATTGGAGCTAAATTTACATGCAAAAAGGTATTTTCTTTCTGCTCTAATTTTTCTGTTTTTTTTTTTTAATCAGATTGGATTATGTGAAAACTAGTGGTGTCCAAACTGTATCAGAGTCCATGGTTTTATTGCTTCCTTAAAGAAATAAAAGTGAAACAAAATATTCCTTTTTGATATTTCCAGATTTATTTCTTGTGGGTGACAAGGACACAGAAGCACTTTGAGTGGTTAACAGACATCATCCGTGAAGTTGAAGAAAAGGACAGAAATGGGCTAGTGTCTGTGCATATTTTCATTACACAGTTTTTCCACAAATTTGACTTAAGGACAACCATGCTGGTAAGCATATAGAAATATTTTGTTATCATTGTATATATTTGCATTTCCAATGTCATGATATTTTTCCTTATTTTTCATTTTGAGTTGTATGAAATTATTCAATTTTATTATTGATATTATAATTATTATTATTATTATTATTATTATTTTGTTGAATTCATGAAATTATTTTTTTTTGGGATCAATATTAAGATGCCATTATATTAAATCAAAGATAAAAAGTATTTAATCTTTTTCAGTACATCTGTGAGAGGCATTTTCAAAAGATCTCAGAACGCAGTTTATTTACTGGTCTGAGGTCAATCACACATTTTGGACGACCACAGTTTGAGAACTTTCTCGACTCACTGCAAGAAGAGCACCCAGATGTGAGTAGTTTGAGGGATTTTTGTAATTCTTAGTCAAATGATAATGTATGTTTAAGTTGACTAAGGTTATTACTCTTTTATATCCTGAATCAGTATTGAAATAAATATTTTGTTTCCCATATATTTTATGATCTTGTCTCACATTGTATATGTGAACGTGTTTTTCTGATGAAAGCAAATTCTTTCCATTTGACTTTTTAAAAACATCAGTTATCAGTTTCATGATGAGTAAATGTTTTCAGTCATCTGTTAGGATTACAATTGGAAATATGTATGATTTTTATTCTGGAACTTACATTAGCAAGTGACCAATGTTACGGTCTCACCTTTCAGTAGTTAGGTATGGATGGACTGATCACCTGATTTATTGATATATAAATACTATATTGACATACTAGCCATATGTCAATAAACAGGTGACCAGTCAGGTAACATTCCTTATGTGTAGTTTTAATTTTCTTTTCTCTTATTTCAGGTTGGAAAAATTGGTGTGTTTAGTTGCGGTCCTCCTGCAATGACGAGAAATGTGGAAACTGCTTGCACTAATCTCAACAAGTATGATGGCGCAGCTTTCATCCACCATTATGAGAACTTTTAGATGCAGCTCTTCCATACCAACAGAAAATATTTGTTGAATAGACTTTCATACTGTATGCTCATTTCCGCAGAATGATTGAGCAGGTTTCATTTTATGTAACTATACTTTTCAAATGTGAAACTTTGCATAAAAACTAGCATGATTGAAGTGAACTTCACATTTATATTTTGTATGCATTTCATCATGTGGATCCAAAGTTATCCATTCACTTATTGGTTTTGCTTAAAGACATAATATAGAAAATTGCCAATACCATTTTATACAGCGGTGCTTTTGATGCCAATGATAAGGTATTTAAGACCAAATATTATGGTTGGAGTGAAAAGGCTACATGCAATATTATTTTCATAAATAGTTTTCTTGAAGCCAGTTTGAATGTAGAGAAGTGAGGTCATTGAAGGGCTTTAATATCATGGTGCAGAATACAGATCAATAGTAATAGGGAGGCCTTGATAAGTGAGTATATAGAATTGTAAAGATGAATGGTAAAATATTTTAGTATGTTTCTGGTTTCTCAGAATGTAAGGAAACTGTCGAATTTAATTGTTGAATTAAAAATCTCATCTTCCAAAAGGTCATATTATCTTTTTTTGCTATATGCAGAATGCAATCTTTCTTGCTATACAGTAGAGTTTTGTCAATATTATTATCAACTTGAGAAAGTGTTATCTTAACTACCAGTACAAGTAGACATGTCAGATTGTAGAGTATCAGCATGTTAATTCAATTTCACCTTAAAGTCGGATAGGATACTACCCAGTACATTAATAACAACATCACACATCATTAATCACCATTTGTCATTGTAACATACAATTAGGCTGCAGCTTTGTTATTATGCCAAATATGGCTTTGTTATTATGCAATTGTGATTTCTTTGTATTATTTCAGTTCCCATAAGAAGTCTTGCAAGTTTTTTATGAGAAATTGTGATCAAAACGGGCTGACAGAAAAGCCAACTTGCACTTAAACTTATAGGTGTCATTGGAAATTTATTTTGTACAGTCATATATGAATTATTTTAGTTGGTCCATGGATTTGCTTGTCTTGTAATATTTTAAGCATAATGAGTTCATTTTATATAATAACTATTTAGGATGACCAATTTGTAACATTTTATTAAATTGCCTCTAAAATCTTATTGGATGCTATTTACTTTTTATTTTCTTAAAGGAAAACATGATTTCACTTAACAATAAATTTGCTGATACCCACTTTTGCAAATCATAATGATAAAGAACCCAAACAAAAATTGTAACATTTATTACAAAATGATAATAAAATATAAGATACATGAAGAAAAATGTCATGTTTTATATGCAAAATATTCAAAACCTTATATCAAGTGTTAGAGAGAACTAATCTGAATTAAAAGAGTAAATCTGCTGCAGTGCAGTTGGTAAATGACATAATCTACAAAGAAGGTAAAATTATAAAAAAAAGTAGGAACCTTTCATTTTTGCTGAAAATATATTATATTAATTTTCAGATTTAATTACCAACACTACATGTTCTTATGTAAACTCTGGTTTAACACGTTTCTGACATGTTGTTTTACAGATATTTTAATTTGAGAAAATATTTTGAAAAGGAATGGCTCCCTGAAACTGTCTTCTTCAGTCTTTTAAAGTAATTTTAATGATAATTAACATGTAGAACATCAAACAAAAGTCACATATGAACTATGAAATAGGTGGTAATTGCTGATACCTAACTCTTATGCCTTACAGAAAAGGCTCATTTGCTACATTGCACAACATAATCCTCATTACAAGATGGAAAATAGGGAAAAAAACAGGTTTTTTTATGATCAAAGCTTACATTGAAAGCAAGGTCACAATTTGGTATTTAAAATAAAGTATGATTCAAAAACAAGGTTAATTTTGACATATATGATAAAAATATGGCATTTTCATGTTACTATTTGTAAGACTAAAATATGTATGATATATAAAACAATCATCAGAATATACCCTTATCAAAATTAATAGGCCTTAGATTTTCTGAGCAGTATCCACTTCTAATCACAGGACAATACATGTAACTGGGCTTATACAGGTGCTTGTCAAATATTACAACGTATTTTGCCTAAAATGCAAAGTAATAGACTATCAGATTTGGATAAATTGCCTTTAAAAGCAAAAAAAAAAAAAAAAAACTTTTTTCTCACTTAATGGTGCAGAGTGAGAAGTGAGCTGTTTTTTCCACACTTGTGTATGCACCACAAATAATGCATAGGCCATTCAAAACCTGCTCTAAGCAAAAAAATGCATCATTATCTGTTCTGTGTGATCAAAATCACCCATTCTCAGTGCAGAAAATAGCATATATTTCATACTATGACATATTTGCAAATGATCAAACTACTGTTTCTGATGCTCTCCCTTTCTTTCCTTTTTTGGCCTTGCCTTTTTGACCTTTCCCTTTTGACCTCCTTGACCTTTCGTTCATAGGTGTTTCTTCATCTCTAGCTTCCTCTTCTTGTGGCTCTTTGTAATAAATCATAGAAAAATCCCTGCCTGGTATACACTTTGGTAAAAACATTGTCCATACATATATGATGACACATGTCCAACTAGATGCCATTTTCACCCACACAGACGACCAGTTGAAACCAAAGCTATTTATGTCAGCATCTTCTGGCCTGAAACAGTGTATTTATATAACTCTTTTAATTTCATATCCCTTAGAAATGGTAATACTACATACTTCACAAAAGGCACAGCACTGATATTTGTTATAATTATACTGCTGCTATAACTACTAATTACACACTTTTGGCTGGTCGATAAATCTTACCGATAAATGTCACTCCCTCTGAAGCAATCTTACTACATCAGTATGCAAAGAAGTATGTTTATTGACTTACATGTACCAGTTAGTGAGCTGCATCATAATATACAAACTGGCCAATGAGAACATGAGGTGGAAGAAAGAATAGCTGTAGACCACTCCACCCTTTTCATTACGCATCAAGTTTGGGTAGTTCTCCCCATCTACTTCATCTGACTCTTGTGCTGCAGGACAATTGAATTGCAGCACTGTGATTTTGTAAAGATTTTTTTAAAAACAAAAATATGTTTGAAGCTCTTTATTATAATTATCGCTTTAAACAAAAAGGTCATTACATTTATGCACCCATAAAAATAATAAAAGATTGATTGGTTTCACATGATTTGTTCATCATACAGTTAAATGAATCTGACTTGAGGTGTAAAAAAAAAAGTAATGTACTTTTAGCCATGAGAACTCCAAATGGGAAAGAAAGCTGTAATACATAAGCATCCTCAACAAGTTTGTTATTTGAAAATATCTTATGGAAATATTTTTGGATTGTATCTTGAATTTCTATCTGATTGCTTTCAATTTCAAAAACTTGACAGTCGTATATGAAAAGTGCTTACCTGCACAGCATGTACACCAGTCATGCTGTAAAAAATAAACAAGGCATCATAAAAAAACAAATTAGCAAAAAGATGCTGGGGAAACTCACTTCTAGGGAATCCTTTATATCTGAGTTGATTATCTTTCAGATATTCATAAATGGCATACAAACAATTGTAAATTAGATGCATAAGAAAAAATAATCTTAGTAATACTTACTGGCTCACTGGGGACCACACCCAACCGATGGGACTCGTGAGATGTACTCAGACTAAATGTAATAAACAACAAGTACTAATGTAATAAGCGAACTCTTAAATACTTCTAAATTTGACAAAGATGTTTATACAAATTTTAAGATACTTTACTACACAAATCATTAATCTTCTGATTACTTTTATTTATACTGTTAATATTTTTAATACAAGTTTTTTCAACATATAACTTTTTTTCCACAGGATAATTTGCCCTGAATGCAACTTAAACTTAAACACCAATATTACCTTGCATATATAGCCATAATTAATGTTATAAACAAGCCAACATAAGCTGCAACCATGTCTGCCCTGTCTGTGTCATCAAATCTTAAGAAACTAAATGAGGGTGGGCGACATAAGACCTCAGTGTGGTTTGTTTTCTCCTCTGCCATCACCCCCGCTGGAGAGGGAAGAGGGGTTGAAGGTAAAGGTTTTCCCTCTGATGCTATCTTTGTAGGCACATCCCTGTGGTAAGAGTCATCATGAGGCACTGGGGGAAATAAGAAGGAAAAAAAGTGAGAAGGAACACATCACTGGATAAACAAAATGACAAAATACCCTAGAGTTGAATTGAGAATTGAGAAAAAATATTCACCGTTTGCCATTTTCAAATATCTACATGAGAGTGCCAGGGTAGCAAAATCCAAGTTTTCGAAAAGTGTCACTGAACATTCCAAAAATATTTCAATGTAAAGCCAGTTTAACTGGATTTATTAACTTAAAAACATTGTTTTTTAGTTAATAAAAGTTTCCATTACATATGATTTTACATCTTGCAAAATTTCAGCACTCTAATCTTACCAATTTCTGGAGGTTCACTGGTCATGGCAGACCAGGTGAGGTAGATCACATAGACTGATATTATGGAAGACTGGAGTAAACCAGAATTAGGATTACCTACAGAAACAATAACAAAATCATATCAATAGTCATGCAGATGCTGGTCATATTTCATTTGGAAAAGAGCTGATAAATCCAACAAAGAAACATTCCCAACTAAAACCAATGCAATCAAACTCATACATATATGATCATTGTAAACACTTGAATTCCAATCTCAAGAGTACAGTAAAATCTCAAGAGTACAGTAAAATTTCTTACCGAGAAAACCAATACAATCCTTTAACTGATATTAGTAATTGCCAATATTATTACCACTATGCTTTAGTCCATAAGCCTATTTTTGGTGGATAAACCTCGAAAACATATCAAATACTAAACAAATAATGCACAATCATTTTAGGGCATCTCTGTCATCTTTTGCTGTAAATTTTTATTAATACAAACTAAGAACAACAAAGACAATGGCTTACTTTTCATCACACAAGGTGTGATAGAGAGAAGTGACATGAGTAAGCACAGTCCTGCATTGACCCCAATAAAGATTTTATTCTTCACACAAAACCTTGGATTGGGGTGGGTGAAGTTGACAAACAGAAAGGCTATACCCACAATGGCAATGGTGAAGAATACTAGAGCCACTGTTATCACAACTAAAAGAAAATAAGGCAAATCAAAACAAATTTAGTAAAATCAATAAATGCATGTTTGTCTGTTGAAAAAGACCTTTCAAAACATTTTTTCATGTAAACAAGACTTTAAAATATTTTCAATGCTCTTTTCATATAACTTTTAAATAAACTGCAATTATACTTGAATACATGTACAATATAACAATCAATTTTAATGTTATATATAACTGAAAAAGATTCGTCCCAATCTTAAGTGCATGTGTGACTATATATCTGACAGTATACCAAGACTTACCACCATGCCAACATCTGTTCCCTTTTACACCTTTTGTTTTCCCAAGCCTGTATGTAAGAAATATATTATATTGAAAGAAACATCTTGCCATCTTTATACATTTAAGGAGAAATAAGTTATTGACTGTCAAGTAGACCTTCAGAATCCAGACACACAATTGCTTTTCAGTCCCATAACCCACGGTGAGAAATGTAATCAGAGAACATTTTGTCCTTAAATAAAAATGACATAATATTTAAGACTATATGAAAATTAAGTTACACAAAATTTAATTTTTCTTCGATATGGACATTTTGCTGTGATGCTTTTTTGGTGCTGAAGTTTGTTTCTAAACTTTGGACTGTCTGAAGCACCATCCTACCATTTTCCATTCCAAGTGTGTGCAAAATCCACCAATAGCAGTAACTGCAGCACAATGAATATGAAGCCTCCAACCATTCCCACATACATCCATACTAGAGACAAATAACAGTAAAGTCAATATTTTACGATTTCCATTTGTGCAAAGGTCAAATATGTAATACATTAATAGACACAGTAAATGCACTAAAAGCCTAAGGCTTGATATGAAAAATTTTTATCGCTAAACTGTATCACACACAAACTGCACTAATGCAATAACTCGAGCAGAAGTCCATATTAATATGTGTTTATACAGGAGAAATTAGAACCTTAGAGATGAATTGTACATACTGACACTGTGACTATATACAATCATAAGCAAACATTAAGATTTTTGTTATGCCAGAATAGTTCTTGATTCATGGTGTTACACTGCTAGACTTACTTATCAAACTTACCAAGGCTTATAATTTTATTATTCTTAATGAAAAATGAGCCAATTATGATCCCAATAAATATTAGAAGCTTAAAGCACCAGAACCTGAAAGAAAAAGTGATGATAACCTACAATCGTTACTTCAAGGATAAATAGAAAAAAATTATGAATAAACTGAATGAATGAACATGTCTATACTTAAATTTTCATTAAAACATTAAAATGTGCATTCTTTGTGACACTTTTTAATCATTCTTTTCATATTTTAATAACTATTAAAATATCTGCATGCTTGCAAAGCTATTATAAATAGAGCATTTAGTGAAGTCTAAAACAGTTCATGTCATTACCCATTATGTATTCCTGCCCTACAACTTTTGCTGGTAGCAACACCAAATGTGATGACCATAAAGATCAGATAGAAGGCCGTCATGGCAAAGCCTATCCTGTATACAGCCATATAGCCCACCAAACGCCTACAGTTTGGACCTGCATTCAGGAACATGCAGGTTTCATTGAAGTATGGCATCTGAAAAGTTGTACATTCATAACTTTTTATTGTTTCTCTTCCATAAAACTTCTGCAATATAAAACTATTCATTAAGAACTTTGTGTGACCATACAGAACAAATCACCCATGATAATATTGCATATTGGTGCAAAAACATGTTTTTTTTTGTTTATATGTAAATAATACCCATAAAAACTTGTTACTGCCACAGTACGGCATGCTTCTTAAGAAGAGAAACAACACAGAAAAATAAAATAACTTTGTGTTAAGACAAAACAAGAAAAAAAAACCTGTTTTAAAAATATTTCTATTTAACTTGCATCATTACATGATATGCATATGCCTTTTTTGGGGGGGAGGGGATTGTATTTTTTAATTGTTGTTCAACTATTATAAGATCAGGGACAAGTTTCACAAAAAAAAAAAAAAAAAAAAAAGTTCAGTTGATATACAATTATTACAATTAATTACACTATAGTAGTGATTTATTCTAGATACAGATAGTGAACCAAAACTTTCAGTCTTCCAAGTTATGAAAAACTGGATGGTTTTGGCGATAGGAAAATTTTTGTGATAGTGGACCCGGTGTACCATGAAAATGTGACACCCCCAAAATGTGACTCCTCAGTCAATTTTTCATGATGAAAATGTGACTCCCCTTCCATGAAATTTTGACTCCCCCACAAAGCTTTATAAATCTTATTTTACTTGAGTATATGACTTTTATACTGAAGTATGCACAATGGAGTATATATTGGCACTTTTTATTAGTTTGCAGGTGAAAACTTTAATGAGAAAATAAGAAAATTAAAAATGTGTATTTTACCACCCAATGACTATGAAAAAGCTAATTTGTTTGATATTTGGTGATCATTTCAACATCTTTCCCTTAGCATTATTTATGAAGAATATATTGGAAGTATTTGGAAGTTTGGTGGTAAAATATTGGGTGCAAAAAAAAAACAAAACAAAAAAAAACAAAAAGAAAAATCTTCATATTCAAACCTATGGGCTTTGGACTCCCATGAAGAAAAGGCCCTATTTTATATTTAGCCACCATACCATTGTTTTCATTGTTTGCATTGTGACATATTTTTTGTAAGTATTTGAAAGTTTGGTGGTGAAAATTTTGGTGAAAATCGATTATTTTTGAAATAAGTATTCATCTTACTACCTGTAGGGTGGAAAAATACAAATAGGGTAGAAAAATACACATTTCAAAATTTCTTATTTTCTCATAAAAATTTTCTAAAAGTGCCAATGTATCCCCCATTGTTCATACTACAAGATAAAAAGTTATATACTCAAATAAAATAAGATTTATTAAGTTTTGTGAAGGGGAGTCAATATTTCATGGGGGGAGTCAGATTTTCATTATGAAATTTTGACTGGGGGAGTCAGATTTTCATGTTACACCAGTTAGCTTACATTTTCCACCAGCTCTTCCTGTATCTGTGGTGTGAGCATGAGGACTGCTATTAATGTCCCCAGTATATAGAACAATGTGTACATGATACGAGTGCTGGTGGATTCATTGATGGAAGGGCAACATGCACAGCACAGGGAACAGGCCACTGAGCCACAACAGCAGGCCACCTGAGAAGAAACAATAACAATGTTATGAACATACTAACTGTGAAAAATCAATTCTAGTTCTGCAGTGGATGTGGGTAAAGTTACTGCATACTGCAGATTTTTTATCACTAAATGGATAACACATAGAGCATTATTTTATCTCGATGAAAGAAGTTGAAAATGCACCTTTTTTTTCTAGATCATCTTTTGCAATCAAGACAATAAAGAATGTATCTTATCATGATACAATATGCAGCAAGGAAGAATATCCTTCAACCAAACAGAAAGAATTTCCTTCAACCAAACAGATAATATATCTAAATGAATCACGATTATATAGATTATAATTATTGGATGAACATCTATCTCTAAATAAACAGAATTTAAAATTATCACTGTAGTTTAAGAACTGTAGTAATAGCCTTAGAATATGTTTTTATGTCATACTCATTGTAAAGATTTACTTGGACCAAAAATAAGATAAACTAGAGGATCAGAGAGGCGTTACCGCCTCCGAATATTGTACCACCAGCTGGGGTAAGCACGATCGTATAGACCCCCACACACACAAAAAAGGGACACCACCACCAGTCTTGTGCTTGACAAGCTGTAAAAAATGCAATCAACAAGAATTCTCAAAATATGCAAAAAAA